AAATCCGACAGCTCCTGGTAAGCCCACTAGAGCCAGACTATTAAGTGCCGGCCGGTCACTCGGAACGGGAAAGCTCCACGACTGTCGGGGAAATCCTTAGGGCCTAGTGTAGTTGGCCTAGAAAATGCCCATCAGGGGGAGGGAGGGGGGAAATGTGCTGTATTGCCATAGGCGATTCTCTGTTTAGCTGCCTGGCTGGCTGGCCCCGCCCCCATCTCCTCCGTCTCCGTCTCCCTCGCTAGTGAGTCTAGTACTAAGTAATAGTACTGGCTGAGGTGATCGGACCCTCGACCTTCAGCCACACGTCTGTTTAACCCAGATCCTTGCAGCGGGTGAAACAGATTACGTGGAATAATCCGCATCAGTCGACTGCAGAGATTTCGATGAGAGAAATCAAATCCTTGTTCCTCTTGGCTTCGGTGATTGGAGAATTAGGCCGATGCAGCTTTCGGGGGACTCCGCTGAGGTATTGATTTGGCAAGAGACAGTCCGTTTGGCTATATGCTTTGGTTTTGGAAGGGTCATAGTGCGTTCATGTCTCATGCTTATTTTTCTTTTTCTTTTTCTTTTTTCCCTTTCACTCCACGACCACAACGTCGTCCCCGTCCATAAATCCGCTATCAGTCTGGTCTTTGCTACGGTCATCGTCGGACCGAGGCATGTTCCCGTCCACCTCTTCAATTGGCCCTGTGGCCGTGGCGTACCAGCCCTTGTCAACCGACTCCACCAGCACTTTGCATGCATCGGACACAAGTAAATTAAAGGCCGGATTCTCGTTCGGCAAGAACATGCTAATGTGTGCTTTGATTTCGTCTGCAGCTTTATCGTTCACGGCCCTAGCCCATCGGATGTCTTGCTGGGAAGACGCCGGACTTTCCACTTCCGCGGGAAGCGAGCAGAAAGTGCGATTTTTGGAGCGTATAATCTTCTGGCTGAACGACGAAGTCCCAGCGTTCTTGTTCTCCACTAGATCACTTGCATTTTTGCCCAAGCACGTATAGAAATTAGTGCAGCCGATACCTCGGTCCCTTTGGACTTCGGCAAGGAGTGCAAGGCGCCTCCGTAATTCAGAAGGTCGTGCTAGAGAGCCGACAAATGACAGGTGGGATGATACCCAGCCCCAGCCATCCGTCAGTCGATCTCGCTGTGAATACATTGCGGCCGCCCCGCCCGCAGCCAGTGCTCCTGCAGCTCCTGCAAACATGGCATATTTGCCCCATCGTTGCCATGATGGTGTTGCGGCAGCATCTGCACTTGAAGACGAGCTAGGACCCGAAGGAGGTAGGCTCTTGTTGGAAGTTCTTTCCTGGTCGGTAGAAGTTGCCTTGTTCGAAGAGTTACCGCCACCCAGGCCGAACAAGCCAGCAACTTCTGAGATCGCGGTGTACGCCGTAGTGGCATTTCGGTAATGGCCCTCTGCACCATACGATACGACACCAGGGGCAATCCCTAGGAAGGGGGTGTCGAATGCGATAACACCCTGGATGTGAGGGAACATGAAAGAGTGCGCCCCCACCGCAGATTCAGAATCCACTAGGGTGTCGGTTGCAGAATGTGCAGAAGAGGGTGCAGGAATTGGCTGTTCCGATGCAAGCAGAAGAAGGGTCTCAGCAGCCACTATCCCACCCATAGAGTGGCCGAGCAGAATAACATGTACCGAAGGATCAACTGTCGGTGAAGCCGTTCGATTCGAGACCTCCAGGTCGATGACTTTGTTCTGAAGCCTATGACGGTCAATGACACGCTCCATCTCTTGGGAAGACTATCGTATGAGCTACTAGACGTACCATTCCCGAAAATAACTTACGCATCCTTTGAGTTCGCCTCGGGTCTCATACTTCGGGTAAACAGTGGCGACAACCTGGACAGCGGGGAGGGCGCGACTAATTAGAGCACAAAAGCGCCCTGGAAACTCCCCAAACGTATCGTCATCTCCCTGAGGGCGTTAGTGAGGTTCAGAGTATACACTTCCGCAGGGTTCATGCACGTGCAGCCTTAAAAGAGGGAGACGGGCTGGCTGAGAGTGGGTGGAGCATGCACGGTACCTTGAAGCCATGGATAAACACTAGGAGCAGCGTCTTCTTCATCGTATCATACCGGATAACCCGGAAGGCACATTTCTTTTTTTCAAGTTCGAGTAGTTGAACGGCTAACTGATACTACCTCCGTAATATGGATGGTTTGGACGCAGGGGAGGAGAGACACGAAGAGAGAAGATCTCGGTCGGCACTGAAATAGGCAGCTACGTCATCGGGCATCCCGACCACGTGACAGGTACATTGACAGAGAGTGAACACCACAAATTGGTATCACCCTTGCACATCCATCACTTTTGCTACCTCTAGGCCGTACGGTGACCCTGGGGCCAGTAAATAAGATGAGACGATTCGCAACACTGGTCTTTCTCTCATTGAGACTTCCTACTACTGCTTGTCGAGGTGATTACAGCTAACACTTGACTACAATCATCATATAATGGAAGGCTTAAGTGGTATAAGCCTACTTATTGCTGCTTTAGTAGCAAGACACGCAAATTATCAAGATGTTTGTGATAGATCTGGGCAGTTTCTGGCCCTGCGATTGAAACTGGTGGTTATGCAGAACTTCCTTGCGGTAGCCAATGGGCCTTTATATATATTTGCACTCCAACAGCTACTAAGTTAGCACTCAGACGACTTGATGGTTGAAAACGTGATGAAGACCTACATGAACTTGGATCGCATTGACAAGGATACCATGTCAATCAAGAATACTAGTTTACTATTCGAATGATTCACTAAACCGTGAATGTACATGGCCTTTGGGCTCATAAATATTCGCCAGAACCCAAGCACCTTCCAAAAACAATCGCCTTTGGCCGAATCAGAGTTCAGATGCTATACAATCCTTAATCTTTTTTGGGTGGACAGTCGGACGCACCACTTCGAGCGTCTATGTGCATACAACGTGCGGGTTAACCAGAAGCCATATCGAGCATGGATTACGTGAAGAAGATATAGCTAGAATTGGATACTAGCAGTTCACTGCTCAATTTGGTTGACTGCTATTCTGTTGCTGGCTTTTCTTTGATATCGGACTACTGTATAGGATGGATTACATTGATACCCTTGTCCTTTAAGGTATAACTAGCGCACAATTACCAGAAATGAGTCTAGGTCGTGCCGCGGAACCGACTATTTCTATGATTACTTGTCTCCCAGACAGCTGCCGAGTGATTTCTATTGACTACAATGTGCCGACATTTACGGTCCTGTAGACTAGTGCCTTGACTCTACAGGCCATGTTCTGTTTCAAGGATAATTCAAATCACCCTTCTAGAACTAGATGATTCTCCTAGTAGATATGATTTCATTACGGTGAGTATTCAGTCTAAAAGCTATAGATGACTGCAATCAGCTATATAATTCACTGTATCCGAATAACCCCTGTACATTGTCCCCAATGCATCTAAAAAAAATGTCTACACCAATCATATTAAAGCTTCCCCCGTGAACTCGTCAACCGCAACAAACTATCCTGATAACTCGTAGCCAACAACTTCCCATCCGGAGTCCACAACCAACTCTCATGAACCGCCCGATTCTCCGCAGACCTAGGAGTCCACCCCTCCTGTATGAACCACTTCTTCCCCACGTCCTCATTCCCCTCAGAACCCCAATCAAGCATCCGCAATGCCTCTCCCAACTCATGAAACACAACCGTAAGCATCAAACTCGCCATAGACGACCACGTTGTCTCCCCCAACGCCCTTGGAATCAACAGCAACGAGTTCCTATCACAAGCATACATATGCGCACATGCATACAAATTATCAAACTCTCCCGCCTCCTCCCTCTCCCTCACCCTCCTTTCCTCCTCCCCAAGTACCGGAAGTCCCTTGATCGAATACATCGCCAACTGCCGATACCTCTCCGGATGACTCTTCACATCCTCCCCTTGACTGAACGTCCCCATATCAACCTTTCGCACATCCACCCCAGGAAACTCCCTTTCCGTCAAATCGCCAGCCTTCACCCCCTCAATCCACCAGTCTGCATCCACGCTCGGACTAACGGGGTAATCCTCGGCCCTCTTTCCAGAGATAATGGACGCATACCGTTCCTGCACTGGCGCAGGCTGATGCGCAAACCCGCTCTGCTTCTCCCCCCGCTTGAAGGAACATAAGCAAGAGAAACAAATCTGGTTCGCCTGTCGCACGTCCACGGATCGCGTGCAGTACATTTTCCCGTCACGCAGGTGACGCACTGTGTACTCGTATGGAACGTCTAGGAGGCCTCCTAGGATGAATGTTCCGCTTACGCTCTGGTGGTGTTGGCGTTAGTCTGTGCTCTTTTTCTGCGTGTGAGGAAGGGGGTACTTACGTGGATCACGAACCCCTTCTCTACGGTTTGAGAGGCTGCGTATGCGGATTGGGCGTAGACATGTCCGCCAAAGGCGCGGGTTCCTTCACCTGGTGGGTAGGGTGGTGCTATGGATTCGAATCGCTCGGTTGGCTCGGTGGTACTGCTGCTGGGTGGGCTGGGTAGGCGGCGGAGAGCCATGAGCTCTGCCCAGGAGGATGGGCTTTGGTTGGATGTTGGGTCATGCATTGTGTGTATCTACAATGTGGGAGGGTGTACGGTTGCGCTTATTTGCTGCTGCTGATGTTGTTGATAGTGGTGGTGTCTGCGTGAGGGGTATGCGCCGGGTGGGATGTATGTACCAGTAATGGCTGTGATGTCTGAGTGCTTCAATGTGTATATCCACTGTACAGTGCAACGGCAGGAATGTTATGTTTGAGATTGCGCCCCTTTACTCTTCACATGGGAGAATGATACGGGTGAAAGTGGGATCGTATGTCGGCGCTTGAGTCTATCGATTGACTACTCATTAGCCGACATGGTTCACCAGAGCCTCGGCTGACCGGGCGGAGTTGGTTGGCTACCCGTGAAGCATATTCGATGATCAACATAGTGCCGTTCCTGGTATGCACCCCATATGGCAAGGCTATGCCGCTTACCCTTTTATCTTATTCAGAGTGATTTCTTGCAGTAGGTCTGGATCATCTTTGTTCCATTCCTTGTGTATATCGCTGTTTCAAGGATCCGTGCTGTGTAACCCCGGCAAGGATTCATGTATTGCCGATAGACTGGGAGTATGTAGCATATCACAGATTTTCTCTAAAATATAGACAAATGCTCCTCAAAAGGTCACTGATGATCATCCAATCATTTGGAGTATTTCCCTGATCCTAGGATGTTCCAATGCTCAACCTTCATGAACGCATAATGACAAAACTGCCGCAGAAGAAACAGATCACCATCTTTATTGACCAAATCTGCCAAATAAGGTATATGCGCCGATAATGCTGATATGATATACAAAGAAACCCATCCCATAGATAATACATTGACAATTAAATCATTTTCCATGTCCCGAACGACGAACAATCGCAAAGCTGCAACCAATCCACATCACATTCAAAACACAATTAAAACGTTTCGGAGATGCTACGGTTGTTGTTCCACTCAACCTTGCCATCGACGTGCTTGATTTCCTCCAGCTTGTCGCCCAACTTGACAACGGAGAACCGAACCATCCGGGGATCGAGACCAAGAGTTCTGCGGACAGCCGCTTGCACGGGACCGGAGGCATCGAAGCGCATGATGAAGTGGTGGCCTTCCCTGTAGCGGGCCTGATGCTTCGTCGTGGGCCTGGGCAGACGGAAGGTGCCCCAGTTGGTGAATCCGCGGACTACGCCGCCGGAGCGGAGGACCTGGATGCCGGCATTGCGGGCGATACTGTCGTCTGTCAGTTAGGATTCGTGGATATTGATGGTTTTGCGATAGTAGGATGTTGCGTAAGGATATGAGGTGGTCAGATAGGGTCGGCAGGCACGCACTCTCTAACCTCCTGGAGGCTACCGGGACGGACCTGCACTCATCAATTAGCATCGATCCAAAGCATATAGTGAAAGTCATCCAACAGAATCGCCAGGAAACATACAACAGCGATCAGTTCGTACAACATGGCGCCGACAAGGTAGAGTGGGGTCTGGACTGTGAAAATAGCGTCGGGGAACGTAAAGGACGACGGAGAACCAAACACGGAACTGGAAGGGGATGAGATTTTTCCGAAGGTCTTTTGCGGAGGCTCGAACTCGACTTCCTTATCAGCACCCGGCTTGGCGCCCGCTATCAGCGCCGGGAATCGCTCTCTCCTCCGTCATTCATATTTAATTTACTTCCCTCTTTCCTTCTTCTCTTCTTCTCTCCAATTCAACCCACACTTCCTCACATTTCCAGACTCTCTCCTCTCTCTCTCCTTCTCCCTCAAATCCAGCTACCCACCATGTCTTTCGCCGCCAGATCCCTCCGCCCCTTCGCTTCTCGCGTCCTGTCGCAGAAGCTCCCCCTCTCTTCCGTCTGCAGGGCCGCACCCGCCAGTTTCCCGCGGGGAAGTGTCCGGAGCTTCTCCCAGAGCCCACTTTGTGAGCAACCCCCTTGATCTCAGTCGCATGAGGGCATTCAGACCTCCTATATTCAATGCAAAGCTAATGGTTGACCCCCGACAGCTCAATTGAAGAAGTACACCGAGTCGCACGAGTGGATCGAGCTCGCCGCTGACGGCAAGACTGGTTCGTCTACCACAGCCCTTTCCCGGCCAAACAACACTCAATTAATTACTAACGCTTTCTTCTACCTCTGTAGCCAAGATCGGCATTACTGAATACGCTGCCAAGTCCCTTGGTGACGTTGTGTTCGTTGAGCTCCCCGAGGTTGATCTGGAGGTTAGCGCCGGTGAGCCCGTCGGTGCTGTTGAGTCCGTCAAGTCCGCTTCGGACGTCCTTTCTCCTGTCTCGGGAACTGTTACGCAGGGCAATGCTGTGCTGGACGACAATGCCAAGTTCATCAACCAGAGCCCCGAGGGTGACGCCTGGATTGCGGAGATCAAGGTGAACGATGTCGCGGAGTTGGACGGACTTTTGGACGAGGCTGCTTACAAGGCTACCATTGATGAGGAGTAAGTGTGATATGTGTGTGAGTGCGTGTTTGAATCATGAAGTATTTGGATGGGTGGATGGATCAAGTCTGGGTTTGGATTATATGCGCGCCGCCGCTTCTGTGCCTGGCGTCGATTTTATTATGATTGTTAAGTCATTTGAACTGTTTTCCTTTGTCTTGGGTTTCATTGGGTGTGATTGCTGTGTGTGGATGGTTATGTTTTCACCACATAATGACTGTCTAGAGAGCTGGCTACGTCATGCCGCTATCGGCGGGCCCTTTTATTCAACAGAAGGCTGTCTGCGGTTATAAGAATATACAATATCACTATTATTGGCTTTCCATGACCTTAAGTGGTCATATAGAAGCAAACGGATTGTATTTTTAGGCTCAATTACTTGTCTTCAATGAGGGATGGGGCCTGCGATTGAGGCACTGCAGCAGAAGTCTCACGTACTTGAAGCAGATAGTATAAGATCCATAAACGGGGTGTATAAATTGAATCCAGTACCAGCGTACCCCTAGTGCCTATACTATCAAGTAGTAGGAAATTGGGGGTCTCTGTCATTTCGGCACCCCGCCAACTATACAAGTTGCACAGCGATGCATAGTACCACTATGGGAATGCGCCGGGCGGTGAGCCCCCCTCTCCACCGCGGATGGGGCCGAAGGCCAACCGACGAGGCCTGGAGTGATAAGGCTATCCCGCAACATTCCCGACCTCAGGCCCTTGCTTGTCTCCATACTTCACCTCTATACACTTTTGCGCGTGTTTCGCACGTGTAACGCGACTTTCTTCGAGCTAGCACCGAGGCCATTCGGCGCGGGTGCCAGCTCTTGTCGTCATCTGAACATGGCATCCAATCTCCCTATCCCTATTCCTCCGCGCACCCCGACGCCTCCCGCGGATGATCCCCCTAGCACTTCGAACCAGTCACCCCGGCTCCAAGACAAAGACTCCTTATCACCATTGAGGGACACGTTTCCAAATTTGCGGGGCTCGTTAGATCCCAGTGATGCCAATCGCTTGAGTCCTACACGGGCGGGTTTCAACCTCAGCCCAGCAGACGCATTACAGCCGAGTGATCAGAGCGACAATGCTTCAGCAGGACCATTCAATTTCAAGACTACGACTATGGCGAAGAGTCCGGTCGTGAAGTCTGTGAGTCGTTGCTTACTTCCATCTTGGAGTTGATTATACTAATGAAGCCGCCAATGCGACGTAGAACATTGGCCAGCGACGTGGACACAAATATAAGCACAGTAGCATTTCGCATCAGATCTTCTTAGAACCGCCCCCACGAGCGCCTCTGGCTCTGCCCAACTCGCTGCCCATACCGACGTTCAAAGAATATCGCTCCAGTATGTCCAAGGACCAGACCACCCGGTTCTGGTGGAGCGTTTGCCATATGTCTGTTGCCGCATATACCTTGTGGAGTGCCCATGGGTCTCTGGCTATGACGGCTCTGTCGCACTTGATACTGTTTGATTCAATCGGCGCATTGCTCTGCGTTGCTGTCGACATCCTGGGTAACTTTGAAGTATGGAAGCGATCCAGTGTGCGACACCCGTTCGGTCTGGAGCGCGCAGAAGTGCTTGCAGGGTTCGCCATGTGCGTACTCTTGCTATTCATGGGAATGGATCTCATTTCCCATAGTCTGCAACACTTTCTGGAGTCTTCCGGTCATGAACCTCACCATACTCATGTTCACGAACGTGTCTCCCTCGGTCGCGTGGATTTCACCGCTCTGCTGGCCATCTCATCAACATTGATTTCTGCCATTGGCCTCAAGAACCATGGACGGATAGGAAAGGCGATGCGGTTCGGGTACATTGAGTCGCTGCCCTCAGTCCTTAGTAACCCATCCCATTTCTTGACGCTCTCATGCTCCACGCTGCTCCTCTTACTGCCCCTCGTCTCCATCAAGCTCTACAATTGGCTGGATGTTCTACTTTCCAGCACGATCTCCATCTCCATGTGTGTTATCGGAGTGCGCCTAGTGAAAACACTGGGATCCATGCTTCTCATGTCCTACTCCGGACCGGGGGTGTCCGAGGTGATCCGAGATATCGAGGCCGATCCCTGCGTCTACGGCGTCGACGATGCCCGGTTCTGGCAGGTTCATTACGGGCTCTGCATGGCTAACCTGAAGCTCCGAGTATCCGGAACCGAGGAGAATCTTGTGCGACTGCGTGAACGGATAGCCAGCCTCATCAAGAACCGGTTGGGTGGAGGGTACGGATCCGGGGGGCAGAAATGGGAAGTTTCGCTGCAGTTTACGGCTGAGAAGGCTTAAGCTGGCAGATGTCTTTGCTGTACATATACGATATTTGGCTTCTAATGAAGATATACAGGAATTATTATAAGTTTATGAGGAATGGTAGCATCATGCTGTATGTGTCATAGGTCCAGTAGTTAATATCTGTTGCTAGAAATAGACCATGTCTCTTTCTTGTCAGAACTCCCTACCTCGTGTCTCCCTAGGCAGCACCACAGTATTGAGACTAGTTGTCTCGTAGCACATTTATAGTTGTTCTCTGAGGAGCCATCCGGAACAGCAGGGCGTTATCTGATTCGACTATCGACCTGCTCACTGGCTATCTATCTCAGCTACAAGACGGCAGTGACCCAGAGATATCAAATATACACAGAGTCCCTCAATTACTCCGAGATATAATCAACCACCGAAACAGATATCTACTACCACTTCGTCTACTAGTAGTCCTCAGCTGGTAATAGCCACACAGCATAATCCCATTATCCACCCGAGTAAGCGTGATACCCAGACCCAGTCCTTCGAACCACTTTCCACAATTCCAGGTTAAATCTCCTGGACCCCCGACGAGAACAACCAACAACAAACCGCACCGAAGACACAGTATAGTGTAATGTAATATGATAGAATTCACAACAAACGCAATGTACAAAAGCCTCAGTTTTCCGGCCAGCTCTAGCTCCCTTCCACAATCCTTTATCCTGCAACATCTCACTTCATTTATGCCGCCGCAGCCAAAACACCCGCCTCCTCAGGCTTGCTCAACCCCACCGACTCGCGCTCGTCTCTCCTCCGGCGCTTCTCCAGGATAGCTTCCCGGCGCTGTGCAAGAATTCTCAATTGACGGTTCTCGACGCCCTGCAGCCAGTAACCGAAGCTGCCTCCGACTCCGGCGAAGAGGGGGTACACCCAGAGGGATTCCTTGGCGAGGATGGGACGCATTTCGATGCCGAGTTGCCAAAGACGGACGGCGATGCCTGATCAGAGTAGATATTAGTATGTAGATTATGATATGGCGATTGATTGCATGTGAAAGGACCGGGTGAGATATAGCTAGCTAGGTAGCTAGCTAGCAGTGCGTGCTGGTATAGCAAGGGTGGGTGGTGTGGTGAACATACCGAAGCCGCCCCAGAAGAGGACTTTGTGAACCATGTTTGTGAAGGAAGGAAAAGGGATTCGCGGCGGAATGTGGAATAAAAAGAATGGGAATTGATCGGAAGCCGCAACAAGGTTCCAATGTTCACTTCACGACAACAATTGCGGACCAACACGGGCTTGAATCGACGGAGATGAGGTTCGACCTTCACACACCCGGCGAATCACGGGGCCGTGGTTCCCAATCTGCGTTTCCTGTTGTCCGGATTATCGTTCCGCCGCGGGGCCTGCTTCTGCCGGGCGGTGCCCTTCGCCCTGCGCGCCGCATTTGCGGGTTTATCCCCGGTGCTTCCTTTTTCAAAGCCGTCGTTATCCAGGGCTTGAAATTTTTATTGTTGCAAGCTTGTAACATCTCTCGTCATGGCTGGTCCAGAGGAGATGGTGGATGTGGCTGCAGGCGTGAAGCGGCCTACGACTGCTTCTTCTATGGATCTGGACAGTCTGCAGCGGAAGAAGTTCAAGACGGATGAGCTGCCTTTGTCCGCGGCGCAGCATTCGGCCATTGAGCATTTACTGCACGCGTTCAAGAAGAGGGGTGGGTTTGATTCTATAAGGAAGAAGATATGGTCTGAATTCCATGATGGGGTATTTATTATGTCTTTGATTGCTTTTTATGCTGTTCCATTTTCTGGGTGAGGGTGTGTTGTTTGCTAATGCGCCCCGGTTATATAGGAAGGGAAGATTGAGTTTACGAAACTGCTGATCGATCTTGCCGAATCTGAAATTGATCGCGAACCCGGTCTTCTTTCTCGCGAACGTGGAAAGGCTGCAACCTTGATCGAAGGTGCCGTTGATCGAAGCGATGTCTACAAAACTGTCGAACATACCCTTGATGCGCTAGCCGAGAAACACTTACCCGCTATCCTTGATTCCGTGCGCGATATCCGCCGCGATGAAGTGGGCGAGGAGATCGCCGCGCAGGAGGAAACGGCAGGGAACAAGACCGATGAGGACTACGCCGCTCATGTGAAAGCGAAACGCGACGAGCGCGAAAAGGCCTGGCAGGAGGAGCTGCGCAAGCAAAAGGAGATAGAAGAAGAGGAAGCGCGCAAAAAGGCGGAAGAGGACCGCAAGCGACGTGAGTTGGAACGCCAGAAAGAAGAAGAAGAGAGGGCCAGGAGGAGGGAGCGCGAGGAACAGCGCCGCGAAGAGCAGCGGAAGCTTGACGAGCAGAGAGAAAAGGAACGACAGGAACGCTACGAACGCCGCCGCCGTGAAGAGCGCGACAGATATCGCGATTGGCGCGATCGAAGCCGAACCCGAGACCGCGATTCAGATCGTGATAGAGATAGGGATCGTTACCGTTACCGAGATCGCTCACCAGGCTATCGCTCTGACCGCGCCCATTCCCCACGTTACCGCGACTCGCGCAAAGAGAAATCGCCCACACCGAAGGAACCTACGCCTGCAGCTGCGCCAGCGGCACCCCCAGTGGACGAGAAGTCGTTGGAGGAGGCGGCGCTACAACTTCTACTAAAGGAGGGAGAAGAATTGGCAGCCAAGGCGCGACAGAAGCCCGAGTTTGACTTTGAGGAAGCGGAGGCTATCGAGAATGGTCTTAAGCCGCCCCCGAAAGGACCCAAGGCTGACTCGAGATTCTCCAACACTCCGACCAAGGCAGGTAGTCCGGCTGGCGAGGCCGACCCCAATCGACGACGCGGATCAACAGCAGACGATCGCCCCCGGACGAAGAGGCGCGACGAGAGCCGCAGTCGCTCACGACGGAGATTCTCCTCCCGATTTGACCGACTGGTCCTTCGCGATTTCCGAGATAACAGATATGGTGACCGGAGCTATCGCCCCAGCCGCCGAAGCAGAAGCAGATCTACTACTCGTAATCATGACAGAGACCGAGATCGTGACCGTGACCGTGACCGTGACCGCGACCATGACTACCGCCGCGACCGCAGCCGTGATCGAGACCGAGATCGCCGGGACCGGGACCGAGACCGGGATAGAGATAGGGATAGAGACCGCGACAGACCTCGAGACCGTGACCGCGATCGAGACGACTACCGCCGCCGCCGCAGCTACTACTCCCGGTCCCGCTCCCGACCTCGATACCGTTCCCGCACACGCTCCCGCTCCGTCCACCGTGACCGTGACCGAGACCGCGATCACAACCGCGACCGCGACAGAGACGTCCGCGATAGAGACAGAGATAGAGACAGAGACAGAGACGCCCGCCCCCGCGACACAACCGAACGGGATCGAGATCGAGGCCGAGACCGCGACCGAGACCGAGACCAAGCCGACCCCACCCCCAAAGAGGAGAAATCCCCTCCCCCACCCACCCGCCGCGTATCCGTATCCTCACGACGACGATCCCGCTCGCGCCGACGATCGCGCAGTCGACGCCGCTCTCCGAGTCTCCTCGACATCGATCGCTATGTGCCGCCTACTAGTCGTCGGAGCCGGTCTCCTCGTCGGAGGGTGCGATCGCCGGAACGAGCAGAGAAAGATGAGCGGGATAGACCGCGCTTTGTTGAGATTGATCGGTATATTCCTGGTGCTACTGCTGCTGCTGCTACTGCTACTGCTGGTAGTGGTGAACGTGAGCGTGAACGTGATAGTGAGACTAACGGTAGGGATAGGGATAGGGAGAGAGATAGAGATAGAGAGAGAGACAGGGAGGGGGATGATAGGAGGGCGAGACGGAGGAGTGTGAGTCGGAGGAGTGATGGGAGGTGATACACCTTGCGGCTATGGGATATGGCTGGTTTGATGGGATGGGTGGATGGTGGAAGAAAGGGAGGGATGATGGAAATGAAATAATCATTGTAATATAGGTAATGAATTTCATGGATAGACATTTGTTGCTACTATGGACTAAATACTATTGGGTGGTGCAGATGTCTCTTCTACAGGCTATTGATTTCTGTAGTCAGTCCGTTTCAACAATACTCGGCTTGAAGTACTGTGCTTGTGCTAGTGCTTTATATTACTATCCATGATACTACTAGTCATCAATTGCAAGTTCATTTAGGACCTGTCTATTTAGCTAGAATATAGCTTGGTATTCAAGTAGAGTATACTATGCATCAGTGATGTATACTATTTGGAGAAGCACCACTATCTCGATTAGGGTAAGTAAGTAGTTATATACTAGGTAAAACCAATAGTCCTACTTGTCCGACATAAGAATCATGCCTCCGATCTATTCTACAAGCAACTCCCCCACACAATTACAACCAGAACATACTGTAATACGACAATGAGATAACATCTCTATTTCCAGTTAATAAGTCTACATATGCACATGCAAAGATGGTCCATAAGCCCTTCCATATCAGCATATCCCAACTTCTCTCTCTCTCTCTCTCTCTATAGAGTGCCAGCCTATTTGAACTATCCTCAGAAAGAATCAAATCATGTCTTACTCCTCTCCACAGCCTCCTTAAACCCATCATTCTCATCATGTCGCTTATAAAAGTAGGCAGTGGACCCCGTCCCCGTGGGCCGTAGTTCAGGGGATAATCGATCAATAATGGTTTTCTCGAGAGCCTTGATAGACCGGTCGTTGGAGCCGAGCTTGTTCCAGACGGAGATGAGGTGCGAGTTGAAGCGGACGGAGGTTGAGACACCGAGGACGTGGTCGTGTTCTATGTTTCCCCATTCTTTTGTTAGTGTATATCCCAAACTTACCCGTTGTGTATCTACTAGACCATAAAACAACTGAACAGATGAAAGAAGGAGAAAATGACTGACCCTTCTCCAACACAGCCTGAAACTCATTCGCCATACACAGAATAGCAATTTCATGAAAGAACGCTTGGGCTTTACTCTTCGGAACACGGAAGCGCCAGCACCCCCCATTCCGATTCTCGGGGTCTTCCCAGACGGGTCTCACGCCTTTGCGGAAGATATGGACGGTGTCGCGCAGGCGGATCTTGTCCCAGGGGTAGTTGTTGTAAACGCGGTAGAAGGTGGCGATGTCGGCGACATCCTCGTGCAGGACGTATAGACGGGAGTCGTAGTCTGCTGTTGCGGTTGCGGTTGAGGCTGCTGGGGCGTCGGTGTGACGGTCGTACCAGACTGTCCAGTGGTATTGGAAGGGGAGGGGTCGTAGCTTGCCGAAGATGTTCTGGTGCAGGGATTTGCGGGTTGTTGGGGAGGTGGAGGTGGAGTCGTGTTGGTGGTGCTCCTCTATGGGGCTTTTGTCGTTGATGTGGACGCTTGGGATGGTGCTCATTTTGGTGACGGAGAACTGTTGTAGTACTAGGAATGGAATTGAGATGCTTGGAGAGTGTGTCTTAGTATCTGTCCTGCGTGAGGATGTGGGTGGACATCTGATTCGATTCGGTGTGATAATGGGATATATAGTTCCCAGCGAAGAGAAACCTATTGTTTATGAGCATGTATGCAAGGGAATGATACTCGGGGCTCATCAATGGCTATAAAGGAGGAGGAAGAAGAAGAAGAAGAAGAAGGAAAAGAAAGAGGGGAAGTAAGACAAGGGGTTTGTTCGGACTGTCAGAAGGACAACAAGACAATGGGAGCACAAAGAATGCTCACTTACCGAAAATGAATGGCGAGTGAAGCTATACCGGGAATCCCCAGACAAGTCGACACCACAACTTGTGTCAGAAAGCAGAGATGAAATCAGGGGACAATACAATGGTAATCTGTCTCAGGAGAAGGCGGGGAGTGAGAGGGGATATCGGCGACTTTATCAATCACGCATTGACTCCACCAGAGCATCAGCAACAGCATCAGCATCAGCAGCAACAAGGAGGGTGTGAGTGTGTGTGTGAGAGGGAGAAGGGATTCATTCACTAAGTACTACTTACTCTCCAGACAGTGACCAACAACCAACACAGCCACCCAGCGTGCCTGCCGCTCACATATGCAGGCGGATAACTGGCCAGATCGATTGGTGTCATGGCGTCAGCTACTATTCCATAGTTAGCAGCATTAAGGCTGCTTACACTAAGTCAAGTCACCAACTAAGGAGTCCTACACTAGTCTAGTAGTAGTTGGCTGACCCCGCCAATCCCGCCTTTGGATTCCCCACTGCGGCGCCAATTTGCCCGCAGATTTCAGTCGATCCTGTTTCAATCACCACCACTCCTGTTACTTTTCTTTCCAACCATCTTTCTGTTCCATTATTGAAGCAATAATATGCCCTCCACTACGAAGCGCCTGGGAGCCGATCCCTCCTCCACTACCACTACCACTACCGCCGCTCGCGATCTCGATCGGCGCGAACACTCCCCCACTGATGACGACCATCTCCAACACACCGCTACCTCCACCACTGGCCGTGAGGAAGATGAGGGTGACGACGATGACTACACGTCGTCGTCTGGGTCGAGCGATAGCGACAGCGACAGCGACGATGATGAGGAAGAAGAAGAAGAAGGGCAAGTAAACCAGAAGGAGACTACGAAATCAGAATCTACACCCACCACAACTGCCTCAGACGATATCCCGCGCATTCGTGCTATACCTAAACCGCGCATCCACCGCATCAACAAAAACCCGGACTTGCTGTCCCGGCTATCTGCTTTCCTGCCGCAGATGAAATCTGCGAATGAGAAGCTCGAGCAGGAGATTGCGGCGGGAAGGGGCAAGGATGTGCGATTGGAGTTGGATGGGGATGATGATGATGAGGATATGGAAGGGAAGCGGTATATTGAGATGGTATGGACTATATGATTCCTGAAACTGGCGGATAGGTTGCTAATAGTGTGCAGAATCTGGGACTGGGTGTTCTAGAAGAGAAGCGGCCGGGAGATGATGACGAAGAGGATAATGTCGAGTCAAAGGGTGACCAGAACAATCAACATGTCCTGCCTGAGAGGCCGAAGTCTGGAAAAGACTCGAATGTGCTGGATACTCTGATGGGGAATGCGGATTCTTCAGCGGAGAAGGAGAAGCCGACGATCGAGGAGATATAGGAAGTTTGCTGATTGCATGGGTTGGCGCTTTGGGTTACCTGTTGGTTTATAAAAGTTGGTCGCTGCTATAGATTTTCTAGGGGTTATTTGCATTTTGGCATATTCGAAGGAGTGGATTTACAAAAGTGGTTTTCGGCCTACATGTCATACAATCTCTGGTATCATAGATCAAGCATAACATAATAATCGTACCCAAACAAACACCAGCCAAGTCTAAGAATACACATGGAACGATAAAAAAACGAGTCAATGATCTAGTGTATTTGCATGATATTAGACATGTATACGTCCAAGCGCAGATGCGCAAGGTGGATTAAACTGTCGTCGCTGCATCACCTAACGTCTGTTCGTCTAGGAAACCTCCTTCACCCGGCATGTCCAGCCGGATTCCTGGCTCAGCAGGGGCAGACTATCACTCGTTAGTATCGTGCATGAATGCAAAAAGTAATTTAAGGGGTCTTACCTGGCACCCAGGCACCAGCCAAGTTCGTTGTTCTTGATCTTCTTCGCGATCTTCACCTCGCGCGACAACGGCATTTCGTATCCCGTGTGCAACAGACCCAACATAAAGTTCAAGTCCAGGCACCACTCGGGGCGATCGCGCAGCTGGGGCAGCGCATCCTCGACACCCTCGAAGATGTTCCATGCGGGCTCGCCCGCGCAGACCGTCGACGTGAGCTGGTGCAGCTCGTCCAAGGTGAAGGAGTCAGGCATGCCCAAGGGCTTGGTGCGGTCGTAGAAGTAGGAGAAGATGTACACATCTTCGCGGGCGAACGTCTTCTCCAGAGAAGGCTGGTGAACGCCGTTGAAGGAGCAGGGCGCCAGCTTACAGTCAGCATCCTTGTTCAGGATCTTCTCAGTCAAGCCACGGCACTGAGGTGCCGCAGAAGCGCCTTGCTTCGGGCCAACCATCTTCACCGTCACCTTACCCGCGAGCGGGTGGTCATTGTCGAAGGTCAACTCGACATCGCGCTCCATACCAGGTCCAATGCAGGGATTGGAAATCGGCTGCTTCAACCAGGACATATCAACGGGGCTGGCGGCCAACTTGGCATCGACAATCGCCTTGTGTACAGCATCCCGAGCAGCCATCAATCCGTAACCCAGATGAGAGTGCTGATAGAGATCGAAGTGACGACCGCCGAATTGGAGCGAGTACTTGTGGTCACCGTCCGCCAAGTGCTCGGGCATACCGCCCGACGGGCTCTTGGGGAACGTGGGCTGGAAAACGATCTGAGTGGAACCACCGCCCAGGTCAAAAATGGCAGCGGTAGGGGTCTCGTCCGGACCGCCGATCTTACCGAGGAGGTAGTTGGTTGTGATCCAGGCATAGACACCCTCGTCACTGCCATCCATGATTTGCACACCACCCTGTTCACGGGAGACAACGGGGAAGGGGTAGACGGTTTCCAGTCGAGTACGCACGGCCTCCAGGATCCTCTGGCTCATCTCGGGACCAAGCATACGCAGTCCAGCGGTGGCCTTCACGGCAATGGGAGAGCAAGACTGGTAGTCGGCGGGCACGGACTTGAGAGCCACCTGCATCAGAGGGTCCAGACTCTTGGCCGCTCCCTCGGCATCTTCCTTGTAGGCGCTCAGTCCGGAGCCACCCTGTCTCTTCTCGGTTTGCTCGAAGACCTCGTTCTCAAGTTCGGGAGTGGGGCCGCAGTTGTTGAAGCGGTAGACGTGGATGCGAGAGCCCTGACTGCCAGCGTCGATCATGAGCGCATACTGGATCAGAGGCTTGGAGGGGTCATGAGGTTTCGTGCACTTGTCAGTTAGGGGAGCGACGCCATTCAATGGTGGCTCTGGAAATTGACCGTCAGTCCAAGTCGACTTCCCCGTTATAGGGGGGAGGGCACTTACGAGATCCGAAGTTGCCCACAGCGGGCTTGGACGGCGACAGCCACAGCAACAGAAGAAGCACTGCACTAACGATGGCGCCTGTCTTCAGGTAGCGGGAGCGCTGGCTTTGGGACATCATCATGTGGGAGAAACTGCGACGAGATCTGCCAAACGATTTGTCCAAGGCGACTAAGGGGATCGCGGGTTCGGAAGCGTGCGACACCGAACGCCTGCTAGGTCTAGAACCTGACGCTGAAAAGGACGATGTACCTCGAGTATGTCGACTGTCAACACCAGTCGACATGCGGACAAGGCCAAGTACTAATTAAAGGCTGTAGCGTTAGGTCCCGGGGACAACGCTCTCGGGTTCCGACCGAGTTGGAGTAAACGGAAAGAAAGACGATTAACGGTAGGAACGAAGAGAAAGCATAGGATCGACCGGGCGCCTCCGGTGCAGGCCACAAAGACAGTGGGAAGCAAAAAGACCGACCAACGAGTGGAAGGAGGACGGGGAGGAGGGGAGAACGATAGGGGGAGAGCGAGCGGAAGAGAGGGAGGGAGGGAGGAAGAGAGAAAGAAAGAATGAGGGTGGAGGAGGAGGAAGACACGGAGAGGCAAATGAAGGCCAGTTAGTACTTGTTCTTAATTATTCTTGGCCTCTCAGGGTCTTTTTTTGAAACGAATGGGGGGCTCCGCTTCCACTTGCTGGCTTAACCTGGGCTCCAACTGGCTCAAGTTGTGGCGTTGGAGGTTCCCCGTGGCTGGTGGGCGGTCGCCGCATGCAGCCAGACTCAGCCGGCCTCATTCCCGGACATTGACCTCACCACATGGTTCCCTGCAGCCTATGATAGCGACCGTTGGAATTTAATCTCTCCCAGCTTCTTCCGTCCCCGATCTTGATCTCTGCCCTCGTCCAATCCATCCGAATCCCGCTCCTCGTCCGTTGTCGGTGTCAGCGCCGCTGTCACTTTTGTGGAAATGAAGCACATGCGCCGTCTCGTCCCTCCGACACGGACTCTTCGCCAGATCCTCCTCACTCCTCTACCTGCCTTTCGACCTCAGTTCTTCCAACTCAGTCTCCGAATCAATGAAGTCCCCTCTCGTTCCTACAGCCCAACTAGTCCTCTCCTCAAATTTCGTACAAGAGCTACTCCTCGCGCCCTGCCGCAATACGTCCTCGACGAAGAGATCGGAGCACAATATGTCCAGATCGTGAATGAAAACAACAGCCTTGACCCTCCTGTGAGCCTTCGGGATGCTCTGCGACAAATCGACCGTTCCAGTCAAACCTTGCAGCAGGTGTCAACGGGTAGTGGGGATGGGGTACCAATTTGCAAGGTTGTAAACAAGTTCGAGCTGCGGGAAATAGCAAAGGCAAAGGCGAAACCTGCCAAGGATGGTCTTAAGCAGCTAGAACTGAATTGGGCCATTGACGCCCATGATCTCTCACATCGCTTAAAGCAACTCACGAATTTCCTCGAGAAGGGTCGGAAGGTGGAGCTGATCTTGACGAGAAAAAAGCACAAGCGATCGCCTACTGTGGAGGAAGTGAAGAACCTCATGGACAAGGTGATGGAGACGGTGCGGGAGGCCAAGGCGATGCCGGTTAGACCCATGGAAGGGGAGCCGGGCAAACATGTGGTGTTGGTGGTGAAGAAGGATGTTTGAGAGGTCATATAAGCATGATGGGTTGATGGATTTAAGTATGTATACTATTGACAGCCTTGAGTGGTATTGGTTCTGTACATATAACGGACCACTGTTTATCGTCGGTGCTTGGAAATGTTCTAGCAAGCTTTCCAACCACTGTTGTATGGGATATATACTTTTACCCGACTGAAGGATGGTGTGCATCCTTATTAGCATGTCGGGCGTGGTCTGATACAGTATTGCAGCTCCCGTTCCGACAGTATAAGTTGGGAGCTGTCAGGTCGGGGTATGGGGCACATGATGCTAAGCTATACGGAAACTCGGGGACACGAACAGTGCATAAGCTGGATCCAATCAAAGATGGGGAAAGAAAAAGAACTATAGAAAAGAAGAAGCAGAACAAAATCAAAACTAGTCATTAATAACTAGCCCTTCAGTGTCTGCTGTGCCTGTACCTGGTATACACTAGTAAGTATCTCCAACCTTCCAAGGTTATTCGTCCCTGGCGACTCCGCAATACTGCAGGTGTGATTGGTCGACGGCTGAGTCAGCGCCTCCCTAAATTTTTCCGGGCTCAACAAGAAAGCGCTGCTCGACTTCCCGGCCGTTCAGCTCGTCCTCTTCCTGTTCCCATTCCTGTCCGGTTGTGTTTCCATCGCAGGGTAGCCATCATGTCCAGCCTCGCCAGATCTGCCAACCTCCTTTTCCGCTCTAGCAGGGCCTCCCTGCTGCGCCCCCGCGCTGTCAACCCCATCCAGCATGTCTTCCTCGGCGACAAGCTGGCTGCCCGTGGTATGGCAACCGCTTTCGAGCGTACCAAGCCTCACGTCAACATTGGTAGGTTGCCATCATCATTTCTTATCCATCATTGCGGTTACTCATCGCTATTTCATAGGTACCATTGGTCACGTCGATCACGGCAAGGTTAGACCACAATTCCTTCCCCTCTCGCTGCAGTTGATGTTTTCCCCGATATGGTCCGAAAACTTCTCACACGTTTCCTCTAGACCACCTTGACCGCTGCCATCACCAAGCACCAGGCCTCCAAGGGTCTCGCTCAGTTCCTTGAGTATGGTGCCATTGACAAGGCTCCTGAGGAGCGTAAGCGTGGTATCACCATCTCCTCTGCCCACATCGAGTACGCTACCGATGCTCGTCACTACTCCCACGTCGACTGCCCCGGTCACGCCGATTACATCAAGAACATGATCACTGGTGCCGCCAACATGGACGGTGCTATCATTGTCGTCGCCGCTTCCGACGGTCAGATGTACGCTGAAACCCCAACAGAATAACCCCCTCGAGTATATGTGCTTACACTGGCTATCAACAGGCCCCAGACTCGTGAGCACTTGCTGCTTGCTCGTCAGGTCGGTGTCCAGAAGATCGTTGTCTTCGTCAACAAGGTCGATGCCATCGATGACCCGGAGATGCTGGAGCTCGTCGAGCTGGAAATGCGCGAGCTTCTCAGCAGCTACGGCTTCGAGGGTGAGGAGACCCCCATCATCTTCGGCTCTGCTCTCTGCGCCATTGAGGACCGCCGCCCCGACATCGGTGCCGAGCGTATCGACGCTCTCCTCGAGGCCGTTGACACCTGGATCCCCACTCCCCAGCGTGACCTTGACAAGCCTTTCTTGATGTCCATTGAGGAAGTTTTCTCCATCCCTGGTCGTGGTACCGTCGCTTCCGGCCGTGTTGAGCGTGGTCTCCTGAAGCGTGATAGCGAGGTTGAGATCATCGGTACCACCAACGAGGTCATCAAGACCAAGGTCACCGACATTGAGACCTTCAAGAAGTCTTGCACTGAGTCCCGTGCTGGTGACAACTCCGGTCTCCTTCTCCGTGGTGTCCGCCGTGAGGATCTCCGCCGTGGTATGGTCATTGCCGCTCCTGGCAGCGCCAAGGCCAACAGCAAGTTCATGGTCTCCATGTACGTCCTGACCGAGGCTGAGGGTGGTCGCCGTACCGGTTTCGGTGTCCAGTACCGTCCCCAGCTGTTCATCCGCACTGCCGGTAAGTGATATCGTTTTACATTCCGCTACGGGAGAACATGTTCTAATTTTGTCTGCTGCAGATGAGGCTGCTGAGTTCAGCTTCCCCGACGGAGACCAGTCCCGCCGTATCATGCCCGGTGACAACGTCGAGATGATCGTCAAGACCCACCGCCCCGTCGCCGCCGAGGCCGGTCAGCGCTTCAACATCCGTGAGGGTGGTCGCACTGTTGCCACTGGTCTGGTCACTCGTGTCCTGACCGAGTAAAAAGCGAGCCTACCGAGGTTTGTGTAGCAGGCCCGGAACACTGGCTGCTGTGTACTATGGGATAAAACGAAGCGAAAACAGAATTTGGACAGGGAATCGTTCATAATGTCTAAACACCATCTTGCAGCGCGGGCATCAGCGGGAGCATCCGGGACTGATACGCCAGGGTGGTGGATTGCACCGGAGTTTTTGAGTTATATCCATGTATCTGTATTTGTATTGAAATGTCTGTAGACTTTTGTATTTCTTCTCCTCTCTTCTCACTTCTCGGTATGTCGTTGAATATGATTGAATGATCTACTCGAATCTCTTGACTGCAAGATAGGGTTTATAGTGTATTCCTATAGTTGGGGTAAATCAAGAGACACGATCCGATCTATCCATTTCTCCCCGATCCGGTTGCCCAGATCACGGACTCTGACTAGCCCGAAGTGGTTTAAGGCGGGATCAGACGATCGCGGCCTGGAGGCTCAGGCGACCAGACTGGCTGGCAACGGGGGATCAACTCCTGAGGCTGGCCAGAGTGACCACCGCCCGGACTAGAAGCCCTCCTGCCCTCCTTCCTGCCCGGCTTCTTCCAGCTCTCCTCTCACACTCGCTTTCCACCAGACCTCGGTGTGGATCCATTGTCGTCTTGTGATTGCCCGTCTCCCATGGTGATCCTCTCTTGACCTCATCCGTCTCGACTCTTCTCCTTCTCCCCTTACCTTTACATCCCGCACCTATCTGCCCCTACCTTTCACTTTCGCCACGCTCTCCGCATCTGACGTTGTCCCCAGCGGCGCTCCCCGTCCGTCGTCTCATCCTACCCCCCCGGAAACAGAACAACTATCCCATATCCCATACTCTTTCATCAGCACGGAATCTACGCTCTAAGACCATTCTGCGGCAGCAGCGCAACTGACGTATTCCGTCATGGCAACCAATGGCCATTTTGCCGCCATTGGCAACGGCAGCAGCGACAAGACAGCATATGAGCACGGGGTGCAGGTCATCGACGAAAATAAGGAGTTCAAGTAGGTTCTTCCGGTTGTCTATGAGTCTCAATACAAAGGTGGTTGTTTGTGACGTTGGGTCAAGTCTCAGGGGGTTTACGCCGAATGCGACTCTCCGTCGTCCGCATCACCTGTTCAGGGGCTTTTGAACGGCGCATCAGCTAACAAACACAATTACTCTAGTGCGAATCTGTCCAAGTATCTTACCTTAGAGGATGTCACACCAGCCGGCTTCAATTATCACCTCATATCCGTCTTCGGCTCCCAGTCGACGGGAAAGTCGACCCTGCTCAACCACCTTTTCGGCACCCAGTTCTCCGTAATGTCAGAGTTGGAACGCCGTCAAACTACCAAGGGTATCTGGATGTCCAAGAACAAGAATGGCGGCGACTCATCAATGGCCGACAACATCCTGGTGATGGATGTTGAGGGTACTGATGGTCGCGAACGTGGAGAGGACCAGGACTTTGAGCGCAAAAGCGCCCTGTTTGCGCTTGCGACGAGTGAGGTCCTCATTGTCAATATCTGGGAGCATCAGGTTGGATTGTATCAGGGTGCCAACATGGGCTTGTTGAAGACCGTTTTTGAAGTTAACATGCAGCTTTTCCTGAAAGATAGGGCGTACGTTTCGCATATTGTTCTACGTGTTGCTCATGCTTTGTGCTGACCCTTAGCGTATAGTACCAGCCACCGTTCTCTTCTCTTCTTCGTCATTCGTGACTTTGTCGGCAACACGCCTCTCCAGAACCTGCAGCGGACACTGATGGAGGATATGTCGCGCCTCTGGGACTCGATCTCTAAGCCTGCCGGTTTGGAACACTCTTCAGTGCATGATTACTTCGACTTTCAATTCTACGGTCTCCCACACAAGAGCTACCAGCCAGAACAGTTTGTTGCGGAGACAAAGAAGCTGAGCCTGCGTTTCCGTGAAGGACAGAAGGACCCTAGTTTGGATGCGCGCAAGGGCGAGTTTTCCGATGGAGGCGTCTTCCTCCCCGAGTACCACCGTCGCATTCCCGCGGACGGCTTTTCCCACTATGCGGAGGGAATCTGGGACCAGATTGTGAACAATAAGGATCTCGACCTCCCCACTCAGCAGGAATTGCTTGCGCAGTTTCGCTGTGATGAAATTCTGCGGGAAGTCATGGTTGCATTTGACGAGGCGATCGTTCCATTTGAGGATAAGCAGTCGCAGGCGGCTCGCCTCGGGGAACCGGAGATCCTCGGCGGCTTGGGAGCGGCGATGCGGGCCTCGCGGTCCAAGGCCTTTAAGAGCTTCGAAACGGAAGCCAGTCGGTACCACAAAGGAGTTTACCAGCGCAAACGTGCCGAGCTCGAGAGCAAGATCGATACTCGTTTGAAGGCTCTATTCCAGGGCCAGCTGGATGCGACCCATAAGTCTGGTATCACCGAGTTCAGCGAGGCTGTGTCGGGTGCTGTCAAGGCCGGACAGAAGAAGGGCACTGGCTATGACTTCGCCGAAATTGTGAACGAGGAAGTGACCAAGGCAGTGCAGAAGTTCAAGGAGGTTGCGCACGAAACGGCCGTGGAGGGCGCCGCCTGGAGCGACTCTCAACAGCAGCTGGCACTGTATGAGAAGGAACTGGCGGAAGTGAGCGCACGGCTGCGTCGTGAGGAGATGCGACGACTGGCCAGCCGGGTCGAGCGTTGGGTGCAGTCTCGCCTGGGCGAGTCGGTTGGTCTCGAGTTCAATGCTCTTGGGTCCGGACGGGCCGGAGGTGGCGCTCCGGAAGAGGGAGAGAAGCCTACGGAGAAGAAATTTTGGGACCGTGTATGGAATGTGTTTGTGGAGACCGTGCTCGATGCCGAGCGCAGATTCACCGACCGCGCCAGTAGCTTCGACGCCAGCCTAGAGGAGGTGGATGTTGGGCTGTGGCGGTTACGCCGGAAATCTTGGGGTGTTTTGCGCGCAAAGATTGACGAAGAGATGGTTGAGGGCAATCTGCTGCTGAAGCTGCGCGAGAACTTCGAGGACAAGTTCCGCTACGACGACGCTGGTGTTCCCCGAATCTGGCGGCCAACCGATGATATTGAGGGCATCTACACCCGTGCGCGCGAGTCGACGCTAACCCTGATTCCCCTTCTATCACGGTTCCGACTGGCGGAGACCTCTGCACCACCGCCACTGGATCGCTGGGTTGGGCACACGCCCAGCTCTGCGACTGCGGCCGATGAGGAGGACCTGCCGCCGATCGGTGGAGTAGACGAAGAGGAGGGCAAGAGCTTGGAAGAGGAGATGACGATTCTCAGCGAGTCTAAGCGGCAGGAGCTGACGGTGCGGTTCAAGAAGGCTGCGGATGGAGTGTACGTGGAGGCCAAGCGCAGCGCCATCGGCGGCATGACGCAGGTGCCCCTGTACTTTTATGGCATTCTTCTGGCGCTTGGCTGGAACGAGATTGTGGCTGGTAAGTTTCGCTCTATGAATCTCTGGTTTTGGGTTAATCATGGCTAACTGTGCACAGTTCTTCGTAACCCTGCCTACTTCTTCCTCTTGTTTGTGTGCCTCGTTGCAGGGTACGTGACGTACCAGCTCAATCTGTGGGGACCGATCATGAAGATGACGGAGGCTGCATCGAACCAGGCACTTGTGGAGGGCAAGAAGCGACTGCGCGAGTTTCTCGAGTCTTCGGATACGGGACGACAGGCAATTGCGATGTCGACGGCCGGCGGTGCTGGCCGGGGGGAGCAGGTGGAGATGTCGCGCCTCAACAAGCAGGGAAAGACAACGGCCGAGGATGAGGACGGTGACTTGTAAGAGAGGTAGAAGGAGATATTTATCACTTGTATTCCAATGTATTCTTCATTTATAGATACTGCATTCAAATGCACCGTTTAGCATAGCATCCCACATTCTATTTCATTCCAATCTCATGCCATTGCCAGCCCCGATATTAATTTACTTCTCCGCGTTATCTTGCAATCTTGCTATCTCTTTCTCCTCGTTATCACGCGTTCCTGCAGGCGCACCTCCGATGGCACTGCAGCCGGAATCCCCGCGGCGCCGGCACTACTAAAGACTAAAGTGTCTAGTCTAGCCTCCAATGTGCTCACCTCCATCAGCATCTCATCCATTTATCTTCTGACGATGTCATCTGCAGGCTCCACCCCCTCCGGCCGCCCCGACGCTCTCCGACGGTGCACAACAATCAATTCTGCAGTCACGCTCAAGATTCGTCCCTGCCGGACTCCTCATGCCGTGCCTGGTTTAATCTATGCAATGGAGTAAGGTAGTATCGCCTAGCAGGAGCGGAGTTCCTGCTGCGCTCACGCCATGGGGCCGGCGCAGACATAAATCGCTCGTTTCCTCCGGCGCTGGCCGTTCTCTCGTGCCAGTTTGTCTGTTGTGGTTGTAGGATCCTCTATTCCCCTCGACAGCTCACAATGCGTTCCTTCTCCATTGTCGCTGCCGCGTCACTGGCGCTCTCTTGGGCGTCTCTGGCCCAGGCTGCTCGCCCCCGTCTTGTGCCCAAGCCTATCTCTCGGCCAGCTTCGAGTAAGTCGGCTGCGACTACGGGTGAGGCTTATTTTGAGCAGCTGCTGGACCATCATAACCCGGAGAAGGGAACGTTTTCCCAGCGGTACTGGTGGAGTACTGAATACTGGGGTGGTCCTGGGTCACCGGTGCGTCTCTGACATTTGGTCTTATGACCGGCCATATTGAAACTTAGCCGTTGGCAAGGTCCGCAATCATGAGGAACATTGCTGATTAAACTAGGTGGTCCTCTTTAACCCTGGAGAGGTCTCTGCCGATGGCTATGAGGGGTATCTCACCAATGATACTCTCACTGGTGTCTATGCGCAGGAGATCCAGGGTGCCGTCATTCTCATTGAACGTGAGTGTCACTGCTACCATGGAAAAAAAACATTCACTGATCGACCCCAATCTAGACCGCTACTGGGGCGACTCTTCGCCTTATGAGGTGCTCAATGCCGAAACACTTCAGTATCTCACACTGGATCAGTCCATTCTGGACATGACCTACTTCGCCGAGACGGTAAAGCTGCAGTTCGATAATAGCAGCCGCAGCAATGCGCAGAATGCTGTATGTTACCTTCACCGCTCTATGTTTCTGATAGGTGCTGACAACGTAGCCCTGGGTCATGGTCGGTGGCTCATACAGCGGTGCCTTGACGGCTTGGACCGAGTCTATCGCGCCTGGAACGTTCTGGGCTTACCATGCCACCAGTGCGCCTGTGGAGGCTATCTATGACTTTGTAGGTGTAACCTGCTTTTTCTTTTGTCTATACTTGCAGCTAACCAAGCCAGTGGCAATACTTCTACCCCATTCAGCAAGGCATGGCACAGAACTGCAGCAAGGATGTGTCTCTGGTAGCCGAGTATGTCGACAAAATCGGGAAGAATGGAACTGCCAAGGAACAGCAGGAGCTCAAAGACCTGTTTGGCCTGGGAGCTGTTGAGCATTACGATGACTTTGCCGCGTGAGTACTTCAAAGTCTATAGACGAGCTTTTCTGACAGGAACAGTGTCCTGCCCAACGGACCGTACCTCTGGCAAGACAACGACTTTGTCACAGGATACTCTTCCTTCTTCCAGTTCTGTGATGCCGTCGAGGTAAGTTACCACCAGATTCCTCTTCATTGAAGCAATATACTAAGGGACACAGGGTGTCGAAGCCGGCGCGGCAGTGACCCCCGGCCCCGAGGGCGTCGGACTTGAAAAGGCCCTGGCCAACTACGCAAACTGGTTCAATTCAACCATACTCCCTAACTGTATTCCACCATCTCTCGTCTCGTTCCTCTCCCTTATCCTCTCAGACTAACCTAGTGACAGACTGCGCAAGCTACGGCTACTGGACCGACGAATGGAGCGTCGCCTGTTTCGACAGCTATAATGCCTCGAGCCCTATCTTCACCGACACCTCCGTGGGTAACCCTGTCGACCGCCAATGGGAATGGTTCCTCTGCAACGAGCCTTTCTTCTGGTGGCAGGAGTGCGTACCCCTTACCTCATTCATGATAACACACGAACAATCCACTAACAAAGATCCAGCGGTGCCCCCGAGGGAACCTCCACTATTGTGCCCCGGCTCGTCAGCGCCTCCTACTGGCAACGCCAATGCCCGCTCTACTTCCCTGAAGTGAACGGCTACACGTACGGTAGCGCGAAGGGTAAAAACTCCGCTACGGTGAACAGCTGGACGGGTGGATGGGATATGACCCGCAACACGACGCGGTTGATCTGGACGAATGGGTAGGTCGCCCCCTAATTTTATTTGAATATGATGTGAAGATAAACTCAATGCTAATAAATTGAGAAGGCAATATGACCCCTGGCGCGACTCCGGTGTGTCGAGCACTTTCCGGCCCGGTGGTCCGCTGGTTAGCACGGCGAATGAACCCGTGCAGATTATTCCGGGCGGGTTCCATTGCTCGGACTTGTATATGGAGGATTATTATGCGAATGAGGGTGTGAGAAAGGTGGTTGATAATGAGGTGAAGCAGATTAAGGAGTGGGTGGAGGAGTATTATGCTTGATGAAGATACTGGTGGACATATATGGAGTGTACATAAAGAAAATTGTCATAAAGTGATGATGGGAGATACGGCTATGGCTGTTGATTAGATGGTTCTTTCGCGTTTCCTAATTACTGAGCACGTGCTCCATGGTATGGGAAGTGGAGACGTTGCTATATATATTGACTGTCGAGCTATTGTTCACGGCGTAGAAGCTAGCCTCTTTGTCTATGTGGCCTTCACTAAAGACTCTGCCCAGTCTTCCCGCCTTCAAGGACCTGGTATTAGCCAAACCCACCTACAAACCTAAGAAAGATCAGCGTGACATTGAAGTCACCCTAGGTACTGCTGGCGCTGATTACAGTGGCTCAATTTGAACATTCCAACAGCACATGAGGGAAGGGTCGCTTCACTTGCTATCTTGATACAAAATCAGCCACGCCCAACACTTATAGGGGTGACAACCATCGGCATGCTGGGTTATCTACTATATCTTCTGATTCTGTGGATCCTGGAGATCGATCTGGTACACTAATCTACTACAATGCATGTGAAGTAGGGATAGGCAAGCATCCACTCTCCATACCCACATGACAATAAACCGTTGCAGATCCCTCCAGATCCGACGACAGCATTATCCGCATATTGAATTACGATGTGATGGTTCGGCCTCTGCAAACTTTAACATCCGATAGTCCGGATGATCTGGGCTGGACTCGCCTGAGGTATCCATGACAAGTCAGCGGAGTTAGTTAGTCAGCGGGGATAAGCTGACGGGGGCTCCGCTATCTGCCCAATCCGGCAATTGGGCTAGATCGGTTGCATCTTCATCCACGATCCACTTGCGGATCAACGTGGCTGATCGGATGCCCTGAAGACAATAGATCCGCTGACACATCCCACAATGGCCCCGTTCATTGGTGGTCGTGCTTCAGGCACCCTTAACGGCTTCTACTCTTGCGAGATCCGATGGACAACTAGGCCGAATCCTGCTCCATAAACTTGCCGGTTCATACTAAGATCCGGACCCGAGTATACGCACAGCCTAAGTCAACCACAATTTGCATGATAGCAAGCTTTGTATGCTGAGCCATGGAAGCCGATCCGGTTCCCCTGAGGACCGATATCCCGAACAGGAGTATGCGAGGTTGTCATATAAAGACTGGGGCGCGATGCCTAATCTTCTCTCGAAAACACGCAGCGGACTCCACGCATTTCTCTCCTATCCCTCGTGATTGCTGCCATTTGACAGGTGGCTAGCGTCTACGACATGGCTTCCGATCAGACAGTCCCCTGGTCCCGGGACGAGGATCACCTATTACGACAGAACACACCCAACACACTAGTTGCCCAGAATGAAGAAGGTTCACCACACCCCTCTGTGGCCCTCATTGGTCCCGAGGAGAGACAGAATCTAGTTCGGATCGCCACTCAAGAGTCCATCAGACGGCGCTCCAGCGTCTACACCCATCACACAGCTGCCTCCGGTCGCCCAGAAACCATGGACACAATCCGAGAGAATGACCCCTGTCTTGACCCCCAGACTGACAAGTTTGATCTCGGAAAGTGGCTTGCTTATGGTCTTGGTGAGCTTCGTCGAGAGGGTGCTCTCGATCTTCGACCAGGTATCGTGTTCAAGAACCTTTCCATCTCCGGGACTGGAGCGGCGGTTCAATTCCAAGATACCGTGGCATCGACCTTCGCTGCTCCTTTCCAGATTGCTGAGGCACTTCGGAATCGTCACTCTCCACCGAAACGGATTTTGAACGAGTTCAATGGTGTGTTGAAGAGCGGGGAGCTTCTTCTTGTGCTTGGTCGTCCGGGTGCGGGCTGCAGTACTTTTCTGAAGTCACTTTGTGGCGAGCTCGAGGGGTTGACTGTCAACGATGACAGCGTGATACATTATAATGGTAATACACTCAAATTATATCTTGTGTCTGTATTGACCTGATCTAGGTATTCCCCAACATCAGATGATCAAGGAGTTCAAAGGTGAAGTGGTCTACAACCAAGAGGTATGTCTACGCTGGTCATGATTTAGCATTACACCCGCTAACTATATTATAGGTGGACAAGCACTTCCCTCACCTCACCGTTGGCCAGACCCTCGAATTCGCCGCCGCTATGCGCACTCCACAGCATCGTATCAAAGGATTATCTCGAGAGGAACACGCAAAGCATCTCACAAAGGTTGTCATGGCTATCTTCGGGTTGAGTCACACTTATAATACCAAAGTTGGAAATGAGTTCATCAGAGGTGTCTCTGGGGGAGAACGCAAGCGCGTCAGTATTGCCGAGATGACTCTGGCTGCAGCACCTCTAGCTGCGTGGGACAATTCGACTCGTGGTCTCGACTCGGCCACCGCGCTGAAATTCGTCGAGGCTCTGCGATTGATGGCTGACCTGACAGGATCAGCTCATGCAGTTGCCATATATCAGGCGAGCCAGAGCATCTATGACATCTTTGATAAAGTTTCGGTACTCTATGAGGGCCGTCAAATTTACCTTGGACCTACCTCGGAGGCAAAAGCCTTCTTTGAGCGGCAGGGCTGGGAGTGCCCCCCGAGACAAACGACAGGTGATTTCCTGACCTCCGTTACCAACCCCCAGGAGCGTCGCCCACGTGCGGGCATGGAAGACCGTGTTCCTCGCAGTCCTGACGACTTTGAAGCTTATTGGCGTCAGTCGCCAGAGTACCAGAAGGTGCTTGCTGAGGTTGCTTCGTACGAAAAAGAACATCCTTTGCATGACGACGAGGTTACCAATACAGAGTTCCACGAGCGCAAGCGGGCTGTGCAAGCTAAGCACACGCGGCCCAAGTCGCCATTCTTGCTGAGTGTGCCCATGCAGATTAAGCTAAACACGAAACGTGCTTATCAGCGGTTATGGATGGATATCCAGTCCACTGTATCAACAGTCTGTGGACAGATCATCATGGCCCTCATTATCGGCTCGGTTTACTATAATGCCCCCAACGACACTGCTTCTTTTGTTTCCAAAGGAGCAGCGCTCTTCTTCGCCGTCCTTTTGAACGCCCTGGCAGCTATGTCTGAGATCAATACGCTCTACGCCCAGCGACCGATTGTGGAAAAGCAAGCCTCGTATGCTTTTTACCATCCAGCAACAGAAGCTATTGCGGGCGTTGTTAGCGATATACCGGTGAAATTTGCTCTCGCTGTCGCGTTCAATATCATTCTTTACTTTATGGTCAACCTACGACGCGAACCGGCCCAGTTCTTCATCTACTTTTTGATCTCCTTCATTATCATGTTTGTCATGAGTGCAGTCTTCCGGACCATGGCGGCGGTTACGAAAACCATTTCCCAGGCCATGTCCCTGGCAGGCGTCTTGATCCTGGCTCTGATTGTCTATACTGGATTTGTGCTGCCCGTTCCTTCAATGCATCCATGGTTTGAGTGGATTCATTATCTCAGTATGTGCTCATTTGTCTCTTGTTGATTCTCGCTGACCGTTCAGATCCGATCTACTATGCGTTTGAAATACTCATCGCCAACGAATTCCACGGGCGCGAATTCCCCTGCTCTTCATTTGTCCCGTCATACGCTGACATGAATGGCTCTTCCTTCGTTTGTTCCACGTCTGGATCAATTGCCGGCGAAAAACTCGTCAGTGGTGATCGTTACATCGCCGTCAATTTCAAGTACTACTACAGCCACGTGTGGCGCAACTTTGGGATACTGATCGCTTTCTTGATCGCATTCATGGCGATCTACTTCGTCGCTACGGAGTTAAACTCGTCCACCACCAGCACAGCGGAGGTGTTGGTCTTCCACCGCAGCCAGAAGCGAGCCTTGTCGCGTGCCACGAGCCCCAAATCCCCTGATGTTGAAAATGGAGTTGAGCTAAGTACCATTAAACCAACTGGCACGGGAAAATCAGAGAATCTTGGAGGACTCGCTCCACAACAGGATATCTTTACTTGGCGCGACGTGTGTTATGATGTGGACATCAAAGGTGAAACTAGACGGCTTCTGGATCATGTATCAGGCTGGGTCAAACCTGGTACTCTCACTGCACTCATGGGTGTCAGTGGAGCAGGAAAGACCACTCTTCTCGATGTCCTCGCCCATCGAACCACCATGGGAGTGATTACTGGGGACATGTTTGTCAACGGTAAAGGATTGGATGCTAGCTTCCAGCGGAAAACTGGATATGTCCAGCAACAAGATCTTCATCTCCAAACGGCTACTGTGCGTGAGTCACTGCAGTTCAGTGCTTTGCTTCGCCAGCCGCCTACTGTCTCGCTCAAGGAAAAGTACGACTATGTCGAAGAAGTTATCTCTATGCTGAAGATGGAGGACTTTGCTGAAGCAGTAGTCGGAGTTCCGGGAGAGGGCTTGAACGTTGAACAACGCAAGTTGCTAACTATCGGCGTGGAGCTAGCTGCACGGCCAAAGCTTCTTCTTTTCCTCGACGAACCCACAAGTGGCCTCGATTCCCAGAGTTCATGGGCGATCTGCGCCTTTCTGCGCCGTTTAGCCGACCATGGCCAGGCTGTCCTCTGTACCATTCACCAGCCTAGCGCCGTTTTGTTCCAGCAATTCGATCGGTTGCTATTCCTTGCTCGCGGCGGTAAGACCGTCTACTTCGGACCAGTGGGAGAAAACTCGCGCACACTGCTCGATTACTTTGAGGCCAACGGCGCTCCACGTCCTTGCGGTGAGGACGAGAACCCGGCTGAGTACATGCTTGAGATGGTCAACAAAGGCTCCAATGCCAAGGGGGAGAACTGGTTCGATGTCTGGAAGCAAAGCAATGAGAGCCAAGATGTCCAAGCGGAGATCGATCGCATTCACGCCGAGAAGCAGGGAGCACCTGTCGACGAAGATACCGAATGGAGCCATGCCGAATTCGCCATGCCGTTCTGGTTCCAGCTTTATCAAGTCACGTACCGTGTTTTCCAGCAGTACTGGCGCATGCCCTCGTATGTGCTGGCCAAATGGGGCCTGGGCGTGTTTGGCGGCCTCTTTATCGGATTTTCCTTCTATCACGCCAAATCTTCTCTCCAAGGATTGCAGACGATTATCTATTCTATCTTCATGTTGTGCTCTCTCTTTCCATCTCTTGTGCAGCAGATCATGCCGCTCTTCATCACCCAACGAGACCTCTACGAAGTCCGCGAACGTCCAAGCAAAGCATACAGCTGGAAAGCGTTCCTGATGGCCAACATCATTGTCGAAATCCCATACCAAATCGTCCTCGGCATCATCGTTTTTGCCTGCTACTATTTTCCGGTGGTAGGCATCCAAAGCTCCGCCCGCCAAGCCACCGTGCTCATCCTCTGCATCGAATTCTTCATCTACGTCAGCACCTTTGCGCACATGATAATCGCCGCACTTCCGGACACCGTCACCGCCAGTGCTATCGTTACTCTCCTCTTCGCCATGTCCTTGACCTTTTGCGGTATCATGCAATCGCCTTCCGCTCTCCCAGGATTCTGGATCTTCATGTACCGTGCATCACCGTTCACATACTGGGCCTCGGCAATGGTGTCTACACAGGTATCAGGAAGAGAGGTGGTGTGCTCGTCGTCAGAGCTGTCGGTCCTTGATCCCCCGGCGGGTCAGTCCTGCGGCGAGTATCTGGGACAGTATGCGGAGCTTGCTGGAGGCAATCTGCTGAATCCGAATGCTACGACGGGGTGTGAGTACTGCTCTGTGAGCACGGCAGATGCGTATATTAGTATGTCGGGCATTGTGGCGAGTGATAAGTGGAGGAACTTCGGGATCTTTTGGGTGTATATTGTTGTGCAGATTGCGGCCGCGGCGGCCTTTTATTATTTGTTCCGTGTGAAGAAATGGCGGAAGCAGTGAAAGAGTGGCAGCAGATGGCTTTTCTTTCTTCCTTCCTTTCTTCCTTCCCTTCTTGCTTTCTTTTTTCCCCTTACTTTCTTCTATTCTTTTCCTTCTATGTTATCTATTTGACCGACTATTCAGATGTATATTTTGAGCTCCATTTCTTGTTCATATGTTTAGACTAGAGATACCAGTCATAATAGATTTCTACACTACGATCATCTCTTCTGCTATCCACCGATTACGCGTCAATGATGTATTCCAACAGATATGGTCGTAAAGAAAGACTAAAGAACATCGAACAACATGCAAGGGCTGACGCATGTTTCACCACCCGTAGCTGCAGTGGCTGCCTCGTGAGAAGGGTGGCGGTTGAATACCCGGGACGGTAGCCCTTGCAGATACCAGATACTCATGGAATTGAAGAAGTTAACTGTTCGACCATCATTGACATCTACCCAGGCAATTATCGACACATCCTACATGAAAGTTATGAAACATGCCATGATGTCAATTGCTACATACCATGATGTATCACATCCAATGGGTATGATACCCTCACTTTAACACATTTTCCTAATCCAAGACATCCATGGATATACATGCCAGTGATGTACAATGCGAGCTTAAGATACATCACCCCAGAGTAACCGATATAAAGATCGTCATTACATCGATCATTAGTGATCAGTGTCTGTCTATAGACTTGTTCCCTTGCTCTACTAGTCCTGGTATCTATTCATGCGATCTACCCCACACGCAAGGAGATCATTCATCCCTATTTACCACTTTGTACTTTCTATTCCTGCTGGTATAAATCACCTCAGTTCCTCGTGGTAGCACATCATTCTACCAAAATCAATATCATATCTCTCTATCCTATTTTCATAAGATAGTAAACGACTCTTTCCACAATGAAATTCTCCATCCTCCTTCCTCTCGCTGCCGTTCTGTCCTTCGCCGCGGCGCAAAGCATCCCAGACTGTCTGGTAAGTCTCTAAACATTCTCAAGGAGGCAATGATCGGGAGTTAGTAATATATGGTTGCTAACAATCCTAGGGCAATTGCGTGGAATCCAGCACAGTCTGTGACTCTGGTAATATTGATTGCTACTGCACCAATGGGAGCTTCCAGCAGGGCGTGCGGGATTGCTTGAATGATAATGGGTGTGGAGATGAATTGCAGGGTATGTGTGTCCCCTCTAAATTGATGTATACGAGGATGTGGGTTTGACTGATGGTTTGGGTAGATGGAATCAATCTGGAGAATGCGATTTGCGGGTCGTCTTGATTGAGAGGATGTGTATCGAGGAAGGATGGAAAAGTAAAGGGAATTATGATATAAATGACATGACTGATCAATAACAAATTATGGATCTATCTATCATCTATCCAGCTCTTACTTGGTATCTATATATGTACAGAAAGCAAATAACGCAGTAGTCGATGTAAATAGTAAGTACTGGTCTACTCCCACTCAGCCAACAACTTCTCATCCAACCCCACATATCCCTCGACGATCTTCATCCCACGCACTCTCTCCTCTTCAATCATATCCCACGTCCAATCCGACACTCCTTCGCCTTTACCATCCTCACCATCCTTATCCTTACTCAACACCTCCCCCATGCCCTCCACAATCCCCTCCACCGTCCCCTCTTCCTCCTCAACCACCACCCCATCCTCATCTTTCTCCCCATCAGCAAGACTCCTCTCCGGCAACATCCCACTCGCCCTCAACACCCTCTCCGGCGGAACAGTAACCCACCCCTTCTTCACCACATACTTGCTCACAGCCGTAGCAAACACCTTCCCCTTCCCCTTCTTTCCAGAAGGAATACTCACGAAAGCACTGAGCACATAAACCCACTTCCGATCCCAGCCCACAATCCGACTCAACACCCGATATCTCTGCAGGGGCCCTATCTCCCGCTTAAAGCTGGTATAGGTAGATCCCAGCGCGACATACACCTTCTTCCCCGCATTGACCTTGGCATTTTCATCTTTCCCATTCCTCAATTCGTGGTCGAATTCCAAGCTCACGAGCGCTAAACCCGGTGTGTAGACTCTCGTTACTATGGCTGTTCGGGAGATGTCCAGATCGGAGAAATAGGTGCTGTTTGATTTGTGGAAGTTGTAGTCGGTTTCCCAGAGGGAGGTGCGAGTGGTGAGCGTGTGCGGATAGAAGATGGGGTGGGTTTGGATGGTCTTTTCCTTGGTGGTGAGGGTTGAGGGTGGAGGACAGGTAGGGAAGGGAGGGGAGGTCGGGGAGCGGCGGAGGTTGAGGAGGAGGTGGGTTAGGAGGCGGATCTATTCATTATTATTATTATTAGTATTGATTGATGGTGCTGGGGTTAGGAGTGGATACGTACGTGCCACGAGAAGGGAATATTCTTGAGATTGAGCAAGGCGAGCACAATGGCGAGGGATTTCCAGGAGAAGAGCGAGGGAAGGATGACCTCGCGGAGGGTGGAGAGGTCGGCCATGATGGTGATTATTATTGTTATGTACAAGAGTGCACAGTGAGCACGGGGATGCCCCGGAACTCAAGGATGAAGAGGAAGATGAGAGCAGGGAGAGAATGAACGAGTGGGATCCTGCATGAGTATAAAAGGAGGTTAATCAAGGAGAGTTGATTGCTGTTGGGGAAGTAAGCCGGAGACTCAATCTTGGGCGATCTCGGAAAAACTACCTCGGTACTCCGTGGCCGTCGGAGTTATCTTATCACAAGTGAAAACAGTGGAGAGGCAGGCAGTTGATTATGGTGTAGATCTTACTGATATTTATTCCAAATAAATAAAAAGATGGTTATGGAGTACATCTTGTCATTATCTTCTACTACATTTCCATGGTTGCAATTGATTATCCACATTCATAGAACCGTTCATACATCGTATAACATGTGAATTGCCAGAAGCGGTATAGTGTTGATGAACTGCCTTGTACCCACTTTGACACATCATATTGTTGCTCGTGTCTGATACTCGTGCTATATCGCTTATTTCAAACTCTAGTCGTTTATCACCGAATTAAAGGTAGCCTTCTACTAGTTTGCAGCTGAATGTTTGCATCTACTACGGTCTATAACACTATACAACACACCTTTAGCTCCGCTCAACTAAGCGCTAACGAGCTAGTGAATGAGACTAAATGCATGAACGAGCAGACCAATCAACATAGCCCTCCAACTGCCGACAAGTAAGCGCTAATATAGTACAAGTGAATGAAAGGACTATAAATGTATCTTCAACAACTTCAGGGGAGCTTTAGTTCAAACTTCATACATTCTTTCCTTCATTACGCCTGTCTATTAACAGAACACAGCAATCATACAATTCCACTTAATATATCTACACTAACACCATGGCAACCCCCCAAGAACGCCACCCCGAACTCTTCCGTCCCGTGAACAGCGACTCCCCACGAGGCAAGAAGCGCACCGTTCCACTCGAAGTCCTCTGCCTGGGGTTCAACCGAACAGGAACAGCCTGTAAGTATGACCTCGAGTATCCTCTATGTCGTCCCACTACACAATTGCCAAAAGCGAACCAACCCATACTAAAAGCAAAGATAGCAATGTGTTCCGCCCTCGAAACCCTCTCCCTCCCCTGCTGGCACTCCATCACCCTCATGTCCGACAAATTCGGCACCATCCCCATGTGGCAAGAAGCCATCGACCGGAAATTCTTCAACGCGCCGGGCCCCCAATACGGCCGAGCTGAGTTCGACCAACTCCTACACGACTTTGCCGCCATCTCCTCCGACACCCCGGCCATCGCCTTCTCCGAGGAGTTGATCCGTGCGTACCCCGAAGCTAAAGTGGTGCTAGTCGAGCGGGACATCGACTCGTGGTACGAGAGCTGGATGAACGGCGTGATTGCCAACACGTATGATCCTATCGTGACAATCATATATACGATTGATCGGTGGTTCACGCATCCTTTGGGCAAGGTGCATAAGTCGACCTTTGAGGGGTGGTTGGGGATTAAGGGCCCGGAGGATGCGAAGCGTGTGAGTCGGGAGAAGTATAGGGAGCATTATGCGTTGGTGAGGCGGTTGACGCCGCCGGAGAGGCTGTTGGAGTTTAGGTTGAGTGAGGGGTGGGGGCCGTTGTGTGAGTTTCTGGGCAAGCCGGTGCCCGATGTGCCATTTCCGCATTTAAATGAGAAGAAGTGGTTGGATGAGAAGGTGAGGATTGTGATGTGGAGGGGGATGATGAGGTTGGGGTGGAAGGTTGGGTTGTGGGTGTTGGGGCCTGTGGTGGTGGCGGCGTTGGTCTATAGGGTTATGGGGATGTAGGGGTTGTTCTGTAGGCTGTGGTATTGAATGCTGTCTTTGTATTGAGTAGTCAACTAATGGAAAGTCATTGGCACAATCAACCTGAAGAGAACGAAGAAAGAATGGAACTAGAATGAACCCAAAAGATCGGAAAGCATCTTCTCCACGTGCAATTCATCCAGATGACCCTCAAAGACTCGATCAACAGCATTTACAAGCCAAAGAATCGCATATCGCACGCTATAATGAGCCTTGGTATACTCCAATACTCCGGAAACCAGCCTGCATTCTCCCAGTCGGCAATCCCACTGATCCTGCCATTCTCCACTGGGGTATTCCTCGGGATCAAATCCCCATGAGTATAGTAGATAACATGAGGCCTATCATGCAGTTTTGCAGCACGTCTGCGCGTTTATTCTCCGAAAGGATCAGTCAAGTACTTGTTGAAATCAGCCTCACTCTTAAAACCGTAGCTCTTTGCGCTAGCTATCAAGACTTCAATAGTCTAGGAATCCTTCACCGAGGGAAATACAGCTCCGAAATTCGGAGTCGGGCTTGAAAGATATGGCTCGGAGTTCGGCAACATATCGCTTCAAGTCTTCACGGCTTGCTCCACTTGCTCATCGGTCATTATATTGAGCATTTGGCCGATCGGGTGTCCGGGAACACGTGTCATAAGTAGGTGAAAACATTGAGCTGTCTGCAAGACATATTTACTCGTGAAGCAGGGATAATTGTTCAGCGTGATGGTTGGATGCTAGCATTGGGTGTCCCCGTCGCAAATACAAGCCAAACCGTAAACTGGACGCTAGTATTGCAAAAACACTCCCACTTTCACTGGTCCTGGGCTTTGGGATTTACATACATCCTATGAGTTATTGTAAGCTTGTATTATTCGATTGCAGAAAGAATGTATCTATGTACTTCGGAACCTTCCATCTGATCTAACTAACAGGTATACCCAATCGGTATCGGATCCCTCTGCCAGACGATCGGGCCTAAGATTTCGCAAATTCCTAGCCGCCGAAACCCTGTGAATACATTCCTTCTCCCATCTCTTCTCATTCGCTAACCCATACCATTGGACTAGGTTCTATGAACTTTCCACGACACATACCCACCTGGATTCTCTTCGATGCCTAAGATCACAGAGGCCTTGTCGTGAGTCCGGTATGACATCGAAATTCGTCCAAGGACAACTATCTGCTGTTCCAAATGTAGACCGGATATGTAGACCACAAGTGATCAACTATTCGCCGGAAGTCTCCGCTTTCTTCTCTTTAATCTCTGCTTTATAGCAGTCGACACAATCCATCAATTTACTCTCCAGACTAGAGGCTGTCTGACGGAGCACAATGAGATTATTGCAATGCAACGGGGTGATAATGTCCTTAAACCAGACTCGGCAGCTAAGCGACTCACTTCATTTGGAGGATGACTACCCATTACCGGAATATTATTCAAGACATCCTTGCATACTTCTAAGCTTCTCTCATCGACGATGGTAATCGTATAGGCCAATATAAGACTCATCGAGGACGGTACGCCGCTCGACGTCGTATGATCCATCTTCCAGCCATCTTCGCGATTTGTTGCATGCTAAGCGGGTTCGAAGGGTGTGGTTGTGGGTTTGAAGATGACCCAACAGTACTCCGGCTGCTGAGTATCTAAGGGACTGAGTCGTTCTCATACTGTAGGATGCATGTGTTTTCGAGTACTCCCGAGACATGTAGGTCACTGTGGAAGCCGCAGCTTATCGATCCAGTGTATATATCTGGTGCCATTAGAGTAGGAATCAGAATGACAGAAGGAAGGAGGAGTGGGTACAGAGTGCTGCACGGTTGGAACAGCCATTCCGGTTACTGGAAACACCCTGCAGTTGGCGATGGTAGCAGCGAGGTATGCTTTACGGGCTAGTGAGGGAGGCAGGGGCCTTTATAGTCCCAACTTCTGATATTGAATGTACGAGGGGCTAGTCTGCTTTCCTCGCAACTGCTATTTACTGATCTTGTTGCGAATGTATTCCCCCTTCATAGTCACCATTCGTATATGTGAATGGTTCCGAGTGGTGTACTCTAGATATACTGCCTAGTAGTAGGTATTACCACTGCGATTAGGGAAATGCTGTGACAGACCTTCGGGGTGTACCGTCATTGGAATGCTACAATCCAAGTAATACTCGGCTCAAAAAAGACCCTTCAATGTCAATATAAGAGACAGTCATAACTGTGGCCAAAGAATGTGATATCACAAGTATGACTGCATATTATGCCTCTTGATGCCCTGAAGGTCCTATGTATAGTCTCCAGATTCAAGCAAATCATGATAAGAGCCCCAGCTCAATACATCAACTCCCGCTGTTCTATCCACTCCATCATCCATATCACTACCCTTCTAACTCCATTCCCACACCACCTCTGCATTTTAAAAAATGGCCATACAATTCGGCGGACTCGACACACCCCTCCCACAGTTCAACGGACTAGAACTAACAAAAAACGTCCACCTTCCCAACCTCTCACACACCTCCTTCAACCCCTCAAGATCAAACATCTCCCCAATCGGTAGTCCCCACCCGGCCAACAAAAAATGATGTAAATCCCACTCCTTCTCTACCGGCGGATACACCTCAAAGCTGACCGCATCACCCGCTACAGCCGCGAAATGCTGATCCCAAAGAAACCGCACCACACGCTCACTCTGCTCTAATCCTGCATGGTTGGGCGTTTCCTGCTGACTATACTTGACCTTCTCCTCATCGGTCATGTTATCCCATGTAGTCGGCAGACCGACGCGCAGGAAGAGAATGTCGCCTGGTTCGAAGGTGATGTTGCATTCCTTCGCGATGGTGAGGACGTCGTCCAGGGAGACGGTGTGGCGGGTTAGAGCGTTTACTGTGACGCCCTTGGTTCGCTGTACGTAGGAGGCGTAGTCGATTAGGACGCCACGGCCGGCGATGCCTTTCTTGGCCCAGTGGGCTATGCCGATTCGGGTGGACGAGGGGTCGAGGATCTCGGTGGAGGTGGTGCCGCCGTAGAAGACCCGGCGGTTAGGGTCGTCGGGGGTGGGGGCGGGTGCGTTATGGTGTCGGAGACCGTCCCACTGGGAAGATTGTTGCGGGTTAAAGTGGTATTCGTCGTCGAAGGCGTGGCCCTCAGAGACCCATTTTACGTGGTGGGCGAAGGGTTTGCGGCCGAAGCCTATGTTTTTAAGTTAGGTTGATGGGTGAGGTTGGGGGTGAACCTATGTCACTGAGGTAGAAGGGAGAGTACCTGGTGGGTTCAGCTTCTCCAGGTCCCAGTTCAGGCATACGCGCTCGCCGGTCTGGATCTGGGTGCGTGCTGCGTTGGCGACGATTTCTGGAGTGAGGAGACGGAGCATCCCCAGCCCCTCGTCAGCGGAGTTGGGGGTTGCGGGCCAGTAGCGCCGCTTGTCGGGGAGGTCGTCGTAGGTTTTAGGGAGGGAGTCGGCCATCGTTGTATCTTATCAGTAGAGGTGTGTGCTTGGGAGGGAGTGATGTTGTTTGTGAAGCCGTAGATGATATGGTTAGGAGTGAAATGAGAGTGATGAAGAGCGTGAGGGGTTGTTTAGTTGATGCTGGATTGGCGGGTGGGGAAGCCATCGGAGAAAGTCCGGGGAGATCCACGGCTGTTGCTTGGTTCATTTAGGGTTGTTATCTCCCATCCATCGGATTGATATACGATCGTATTCAGTATCCCCGATGTGGACACGAGGTAGTATACAGCCTATCCGGATGGTCTTACTTTCTACCAGATTTGGTAAAGACAGATTATGCAAGGGGTATATCAGATGATATGGGATTGCGTGGATAATCACCTCGGAGGATATTCAATGTGACAGGTAATGCAACACCCAGAATAGCACCGATAGAAACCTTGTCTGTCCAAAAGATCTGAAAGTTCATTCGAGAGGCAGTGTGTAAGGTTCTACCTCGCCTTCTGCTTACCCTTCAGGCTACCACCCACCAACCACACAATCAAACCCTGCACCCCCTGCAACACCAATCTAAATACATATTCCAACCATCTCACCTCCTTCACTGCACCCCCTCTCAACCGACTATCAGCCACCGGAAACGGAATCTTCGCTCCCAACTCTTCCACCACTCCAAACGCACTCGTAAACGCATCCTCGTGAAACCCATACATTGTCCACGCACCCACGTAACTGATCCCCCTTGTGCCCTGAATCCTCGGTAGCATTGTCTGCGCCCGCACTGCCGCCGGAGTAAATAGCGGATGTTCATACTGAAACACTCCCTGGATTGTTCTTACATCCGGCATAAACAGCGGATTCATCGTCACCAACACCGACCCGTATTTCGCATGCGAGACCCCCTGCGCCCGGTTCATGTTATACGTAACGCATACCTGATCAGCTGCGCCATTGCTCAGATAGTTCCAGGTGGACCAGACCCGGCGGTTCTGGGGGAGGAGGGTCTCGTCGGAGTGAAGCACTGCGGTATTGGTGGTTGTTTCGAAGGCTGAGAGGATGGAGCTTTCTAGTGGAGTTGCTGTTTTGGATACTAGAGAGAGTGCTTGAGGTGCGGGCGTAGCGAGGATGACGTGGTCGTAAGTGGCTGTCGTGCCGTCGGCAGTGGTGACTGTAACACTACCCGAGGCTGGATCGTTCATGACGGATATTACGGGCTGATTCAAGAACACTTGTTTGGAAGGAAAGTTGGCCATTATGGTATCAATATAGCTCTTTGCGCCACCGGTCACGGAGAGCCACTCGAGACCCCGCCCGAGCGTATTAAGCAGGTTGTGATTGTACCTGATGGAATTAGCTCTGCATCGACATGATATAGGAAACATACAGAAACCGGATGAGAGTCACGGCAGGAAATTGCAAGTTGCACTTGTCTGGACTCGTGCTCCACGTTGACGCCGTCAATGGGATTAGGTAGTTGTCGCGGAAAAATGCCGAGTATCCTTCTTTCTCGAGGTACTCTCCAATAGACATAGTATTGTCCACGTCGGGTAGGCGGAGGAGATCAGGGGCGAAGTGATTGAATCTCACCATGTCAAAGACCATCCGCCACATTGAAGGAGAGAACAGGTTTCTGCTTTGAGCGAAAAGATTCCTCAGGGAGGACCCTGCCCATTCAAAGGAGCCCGAGTCGGAGAATCGCGAAACACTAAATGACATCTCCGAGGGCGTGGTTGGGACATTGATGGCTTTGAGGAAGTTGAGAAAGTTGGCTGTTCGGTCAGACCAAGCTTCAAGTTTGGAGGAGGAAACGCACGATAGGTAGAGTTGTTGAGCACGATAAATCCAGTGTCGACATTGACGCTATCTTCTCCCTTCTTGAACTTTACTGTGTTGATGTGACCTCCAAGACGAGGAGCCGCCTCGTAGATGTAGACCTGGTGAGGAGAATGCTGGTGAAGGGCCCAGAGAGCAGCCATACCAGCCGCGCCGCTGCCAATGATGGCTATCATCTTGCTGTGTGATGTTAGTCAAAATTTAGCTATAGTACAACGGAATTTGCACCTGTCTTGCATATTGTGTAATGAGCGATCTTAACGATAATCAGTGATATTTTGCAGATCATGAGCGTGACTCGATGGCCACTGGCTATTTATGTCCTAGAAGGACGAACCAAGATATTGCCAAGCAGCGTGTTGCTTCACTCAGGTAACAGCATGACGTGCTTTGTCACTCTGCATGCAGCTAAGCCGAGTGTACATTCCCTTGCAATGTTCCTGCACGCAGGCTAAAGAACACTTCTACCATTCACGCCCAAGAAATCACCGCCCAGGTTGATTCCCTGTAGCACAGTCCCCATGTCTTTGTGTGACTGTCACATCCAGCTGATACTGTGGAAGGGTGGCGGCTAGTCCCATTATCTCATAGTATAATATCACGAATAGGGTTTGATGCCGAGCAGTCCGAGCGAGATGTTAAGCTCGGTTTACATCACTTGTTGATGAAGTTCAGGACAATGTTGACTGGTCATACGGTCTGTGGTAAGGCCAGTAATCTTGTGGCAGTTATGAACCCTAAATCGAAGGGGGTGGGGTTATTAGTTTCATGTCCACTGAACGATGTGCCTTGAACAGGGAGAGAAAGCACGAACCAGATAGGTAGACAAGACGACCTAGAGGATATTCTGAGGTCAGCCGGGGGCTCGGCAATCAGTATCGACCTTTATCTCCGCCACAAGGTCTCTGTAAATAACTCATGGTCGCACAGTAACTTCACGGTATCACGTATAAATGACGTTAGCTTTGTCGACGTTACTAGTGTCTGCGTTGAGCAGCTTGAATTCTATAATAATATGGGCTACAGAACTTATAATTTATTGAGCAGTAGCGTTGATCAATTACCAATAACTATCACTCTACAGCATCAGATGACGAAGAATGATCGGAAAGTGGAACCGTATGAACCATAAAACAGACTATTAGTGGCCAAGAGAGTCCACCCCAGAACCAGGAGGGCGACAAGAACTTCAGCTTCAAGAAGAAATGTGTGCCCAAAGGCAACATAGCGACTGAGGAATAGTTTCATCACTTGCAGCCAGTAGTCCCTCTGCTCGGCAGGACTACAGCAGGTCAGTACGTAGCAGTCCAGGGCAGACAAAGAACGCGGACCAGCAATAGCTGCGGGCCGCCCCTTTCGGAACCAGGAGAGGACCTGGAAAGCGAGATGACCAGACCCAGAGACTTTGCTAAATTCTGGAAAGGAGCCTGATTCGTCACAAAATAGATCCCGGAGCACATGCATGCGCGACACGCGCAGGAAATCATTTCCTGCCAGGAGCTTGAAGACTGCTTCGGCGGTCAAGGCTTGACTCTCTACGAAGGAGGTGTAAAAGTCCGGACGTAGGACCCGAAACTCAACGGCTTTGTCCGGGCATTTCCTCGAAATCGCACGCGCCGAAGGTGATTGCATGATCTCGACCGTGTCGTTGGCAAACAGTCCTGCAGCGGAATACCGCACGGTAAATGATCCGTCGGTGTTCTCCACTCGGTGCCGCAGGTATCCCCTCACAAAATATTCGAGCGATCGTTCGAGTCGATTTGCGCGTCGACTGATGGTTTTCTCCAATGGCACCGGCAGAGACCAGACCCGTAATTTCCCTTGCACATGCAGCTTTGCAGCCTGGAAATAGATGCGTGGCTCCGTCAAAGCCCCCACCCATCCCCACGATAAGATCAGCTGGGATCGCTGGTAGGCGGAGAGAGCAGCTGGGCGGATCGCCGGCCCCGTAGCGCGGATAGAGGCTATAAGTCGGACCCGATTGGAGGCAACCAGCACGATCCGACTGTCGATCGGTCTTTCGCACCGCAAGGGATCAGTAGTGCTAAGGGTATATGCCATGCCCTCTCGGGGATTGAACGGTGAGACATGGAAGTCCTTCGGCCAGATGCTGGCAAAGCGGTTTGGTGTAGAACAAGGCTGATCTGCAAGATCGGCAACACTAGTGTCCTCGGAAGTTGACCCAGTCGATAGGAGCAGGTACATATGTCGCTCGCCAAAGTTGTTGTTCACTTCTAAAATAACGGCGGCCAACGTGCTATTGACAGAATATAGATACCAAAAAGAGACAGGATTGAAGACATGTCCTAGTACTTTGGGGGCGGTAAGGAGAAAGACGTAGGGATAGTCTTCGTCTTGAAGGCGCTGGGTTGAATGTGTTAGTGAGACATAGGTGCAGATGACGGACGGCTTTACCTGACTATGCAGATACTGACGAAGCTTCCCATGCAGCCCAGCATGATTGCCTCTTTCTAAGTAATCACGGGGATCCACGGTGAACCATCCAGAACCGACCACGGGCGAGGTGTATTTCTCAACACTGTTGCCCCGCCACCGAACCGGCAGCATAACCCATAGATAGGGATAGGAGAATGAATGAACAACAGGATGTACCCTGGTATGTCGAACCTGACAGGGGTAGAATATCGGCTCCGGTACTTCATCTAGATTTGAAAAGAAGGATACTGTAGACATACTGCTCGAAGGGGCGGGCTATAGCACAGTTGTTATTCGTGGGGGTGCACTGGTAAAAGCGCGACTCTAGGCGGGATTTGAAGAATAAATACGTACTGCACCTGCACCAATGGCCATGTCAACCCCTTGCCCTGGTGCATGGCAACGCCTACTGCCATGACAGGCGGCACAGATTCACCTGCATGGGTACCTTACTACCTGTGGTGTTCCCTTGGTTTGAAGAAGCTAGTTTGTGTGGTGCATTCATTATCTAGGTGCCGATTACTGTACGTTGGCTACTCGCATGCGACCAGCGAGGGCATGTCAGACTCCAGGGAACAGCTATCATCTATGTGCATGGTCAGCTAGGAAGTAGAATGCTATTTGTCGACAGACTTTGACAAGAAACTCAGTTCATCAGGTGGAGTTAATCACCGTTGCACAAGGTGGGTGACGTGACTGGGTGCCACTGTCCAGTGAAAGACAATGACGTAGGGAGTGTTCGGAGACATTCGAGTAACTGGGAATTATTCACAGGCTGAAACTTTATCACTTTCTCAAAGTTGTTGGTGATTGAATCTGTGGTAAGTGAGGGGGTCTCAACTCGTTTTCATCGGCAGGTGCGAGACTTTCTCTCTGCCGGATCACGGGACAACATGCCAAAATGGGGTTGAGGGCCTGAGGCCATTTTGGTGATCCAGTGACATATATTAACGAAGGGGCCCGACCTAACAGTATAGGTAGACTGCTATTGTGTCCTTTCCCGATGGCATGGGTTAAGATAGAGCAGTCAAGCATTGACAAGTGCACGTTCGGCTACGTGGGATTGGGAACCATACATGGGTGGAACTATGTGGATGGCTTCTATTAACCACCTGGCTCAGGATTCTTGATTCAATCTATGCTATAAAATATCTTTTGAATGCCCGACAATATCAATGAGAGTGGCCCTCAACTGGAACGAACCGCACCATTAATTTCCTCCCCTTTGGCAACGCAATAAACTCCAAGTGCTGCTCGATTCCCTCATCATCCACAACCTCGGGCGCGAAACTGGCATATACCATAGCGATAACCAGCTTTATCTCCAGCAATGCAAAGTTGCTCCCCAGACACATTCGTCCTCCGGTTCCAAATGGATAAAACAGGCGTCGCATATCATGGATCTTGTCATCCTTCACATCCATCCAACGCCAGGGAATCCACTCCTCCGGGGATGGAAATACCTCTTCTATCCGGTGCAGTGAGTATGCAGAAGAACTGACCTGCACTCCTCCAGGGATATAATACCCATGTATCCATGTCCCCTCTGGAGGAGTCACGCGGGGTAATGGTGCCGGAGCCGGTGCGTGGAGTCGAAGAGTTTCCCGGACGATTGCATCCAGAAATGGAAGTGCATCGATGTCTGCCAAAGGAGGCAGTTCCTTTTCCGTTCCCTCTGTATACCTCAATGACTCAGGCAAGCTAGCCAGTTCTTCTCTCAACCTCGTCTGCAGCTCTGGCCTCTTTGACAACTCCCACATGATATATGTGATTGTAATACCAGTCGTCTCATGCCCAGCCACCAAATGATCCAACACCTCTGATGCAACGGCTAGATTCACGTCCACATCCTCTCCAGATACCTTCTTCTTTTCTTCCAACCCCTCCCTAAGTCGATCATAAACCACAGCCTGCGTCACCTGGCCTCCACTTTGCTTCGAAAGACCAACCCCCTCGCACAACTCCAAACACCACCTCTCCACAAACCCCATAAACCTCTCTTCCCTACTCATGCTCTTGAAAGCCTCATACTGCCCCAACCACACTCCCCAAGAAGTCAAATCCTCCAGAAACCTCGTCCCATTCTGCATCCCAAACACAAACCCAGAGGTAAAATCCATCCCCACAGCCTGAAAAACAGGCAACACATTGATCACTGCACCCTTCGCAACGACTCCCCTCAAGAAATCACCCAACCTCCCGACCACCATCTCCCGCCCCAAAACCTTGACATCACTCGACCTGAGCAGATAACTCTTGGCATAAACGCCACTCAACAATCTCTTCTGCTCCCCGTGGGGTTTATTCTCCAGCATACCGACCATATTCGGCGTGTGAAAGTTCATGAATGTATTAGCGTAAAACGCATGTTTTTCGAACGCGCCCTGCGTATAGATCGCCTGCAGCCCTTCAAGCGAATTGACGTTGAGTTCGGTGGGCGAAAGGCGGATTATAGGCCCACGGGCGCGGTGGGCGGTGTAGATGGCTTTCACTTCTGTGGTGCGGTCGCGCTGGTGGATTATCCATTTGGTGGTGAATGGGGAGAGGGGGTGGGCAGGGGGAATTCGAGAGAGAGGATCGGTGAAGTATTTGTGGATGAGGTAGATGATGGGAAGGATGGCGAGAAGGAGGATGGATAGCATGGCTTTTTGTATTTATGGGAGGGGAGGAAAGTTGTTGAAGTGAGGATGGATACGAGGGAGACGGTGTTTAAGTAGGACGGATGGATGCATGGATGCATGCTAAAGCGGACTAATGGTTTAGGGTTCGCGGGATGCATTTGTGCATCCTTAGTGCAGGCAACCAGTCTTTGGGTATTCATGAACTGCTAGACCGGATACTGTCTAATTTCAGCATGCAATCCAGCGACTACTCAACCAGCACTCGATCAAGTATCCATAGAGACTGTGCACATCAGAATTGTTGAATGCGAGGGTGTAAACTTCAATATCCTGCCAAACTCATTCACCCGACCCTTGAAGTTCCCTACTCCAACGCACCCAGGTCTCAAAGATAAGAAGACACAAATTGAAACCTATATACACCCCCCAAGCTACCTCAATCCTCATCAACATCAGTACCCATCGCAACCTCCCTGGTAGCCTCCAAATCGCTTCTCAACGCCGTAATCTTCTCCTCCAACACCCTCACACAATCCTTCCCCAACGGCATCCTAAGGAATTCATACCCATCATACCCATTATGGACAGCTACAACCACAGCTCTCGCTGCCTTCTCGGGGTCGCCCTTAATCCACTCTGTCGCAGAGTCCATATCCCTGGACAACTCAATCATCTTCTGAACCGGCGTGCCCTTGTACACATCACTGTATCCCTTCTCCAACCCAGGCCCCTTAGGGAAGACCTGCCGGCTGGGAAAGGGCGTACGGAGTGCACCTGGCTCCACGATCAACACCTTGATTCCGAAATCTTTGACTTCCTGGGACAGGGATTCATGGATCGCTTCGATGCCGAATTTGCTGGCAGCGTAGGTGGAGCGGGCGGGGCGGGCGATGAATCTTTTATTTTGATCAGTGTTGGTAGGCACGATTTCTTGGAATAAGAAGACTTGACATACCCAGCCCCACTACTAATGAGAATAATATGTCCTGACCCTTTCTCACGCATCACCGGTAAACAAGCCCTCACGGCCCGGAGGGGCCCGTAGAAGTTGACTTCCATTTGGGCGCGGACTTCATCTTCACTATAAATTGGTCAGCCTTCGCCATATGTACGTGCCAAAGTAGAATGTTATATATTGCAAAGCATAGCATAGTATAGTATAGTATACGGACCTCGTATCCTCTACCCCGCCAATAAACGCATACCCTGCACTATTCACCAAAACATCGACACTATATTCCACAGCTAGCTCTGCAAATCGATCATATGCATCATCCTGAGCAGGATCGAGACGGATCCAAATGCCACCATTGACACTGAAGTCGGGATAAGAAGCCTCAGCTTGGTCAATGTCGCGTGTCGTGCCGATGACCCTGTGATTGGCGTTGAGGGCCTCGTTAGCTATGGCCTTTCCCAGGCCTGAGGAGGCCCCCGTGATGAGCCATGTTTGGTATGGTTCCATTCGCATTTTCGATCAACTGTGTAAGATCCAGAATGATGTATAACAACATCACTCTGCAATGCTACGACAGGATGGTTCGCCTTATAAGTTGGTTGATAGCTGAGCGGAGACACCGGAGTTAAGCGCTTAAGTCCCTGTGTACCGAGTATTGCTCTGCCAAATTGCAAGGATGTATCTAGGCTAGCTGAGAGCGCGAATGAAAATTAACTGAAGTATATCTATGATGCTTATGTGGGGCTGTCATCTCCATCTAGTAATATCGATATCTCCGATCGGAGCGAGTATCTGCCATCCTTTCCCAACCGTGTTTAACTTACCATTCCTACTGCACACCACCAACCCTATAAATCTCATTATACCCCCCCAACGCCACCTCCTTCAATTTCTCCTCATCTTTACCCCCAAACCTCCCCGGATCCAATCCACCCTTCACCTCCCCATCCACCTCCCTACCCTCCAACACATCGCACAGAAACCTCGCAACCCCCGCCGCATGCGTCACCCACACCGCAGCAGCCAGATACACCCCCTCGAAACCCGGAACCTCACCCACAAGGGGCAGATTATCCGGCGTCATGGAGAAAATCCCATTGAATGTTTCTCTGGGAGTGAGACCAGTCTCCGGTGGGATGAATCCCAGCGCGTGTTTCAAAGTGTCGTCAAACTCGGTAATCCACTCCCCAATGGCAATATCTTTCGGCTCCTGCGCGACAGGGGCATGGTTGTATGACCCAAGGCCGTAGAAGGGGCCGTGGTCGCGCGCGTAGACGTGGTGGTCAGGCCAGCGGATCCATGGTGTTGGTATCTTCTTTTGGGCGTGGTAAGGCCCGTACATGTATGGATGAGCGACAGGTACGATAGGAATAGGGAGATCAATGTCCGGAAGAAGCTCAGGGGCCCAGATACCCGTTGCGAGGATGACAGTTCTAGCGGGGATGAATCCAGCTGTAGCTGTGTTCACACCGTCCACGCGGCCGTTACCATCTTTGTGGATACCAGTGACATCTACCTCGAGACACTCGACGCCCCTAGCCCGCGCTTCATCTTGATAGAACGTCGTGATACGTGTAGCATTCGCTGCCCCGTCGCTGGCAAAGTACAATGCGCTTGTTACATCCTCTTTCTTGATCAGCGCTGGGGCCATGCGAGCTGCTTCCTCCGGGGAGATGAGTTTCGCCGGGAGGCCTGCTGCGCTGGCTGAGTCGTGCCGGCGCTGTAGACGCTCTGCGCCTGTCTGGCTCGTGGCGAGCTCGAGGCCGCCGATGGTGTGGAAACCGCCGGGGATCTTGGTGTACTCCTGCACAGTGTCTCTGGCGAGGCGGGTGAGGATGGCGCTGTCGTTGTATTGGCCGACGAAGCCGGGGGCGTGGCCGGTTGAGCCGTTGAGGGGGGTTAGAGAGCGGTCGAGGAGGATGATTTTTTTGTCTTCATGGCGGTTTTGGGAGAGGTAGTATGCTAGGGCTGAGCCGACGATACCGCCGCCGATGATGGCGATGTCGGCGGGTTGGGTGGATTGCATGGTGGTAGTACTGGCTTCAAATCTTCTGTGGGTGGCTTGGTGGTTGGTAATGGGGACATCACTGGTATATAATGATCGAGCTATAGCGGAAGCCAAGATGGCCGCGTGTGCTTTGCGGGCTCTTGTTGAGTCACCTCGTATACTAGTACTATTTAGCAAGTCTTGGGGGCTATATATAGTGTCGGTTAGAGACAAACCCACCCGTATCCGTCGAAAGATTGGCGGAATGATGTCATATACTACTTCTGTATAGACTCACCTCGATACTGAGGGGCCTGGAGCAAAGTGAGGGAGGATGTAATATCAGATGTCAATAGTATTAATATAGCGTAACTCATGCATTAAGTATACATAGCATCCATCACCGTTATTCATACACCATAATCACTATGCCTCGACCTTTCCGGAGTCACCCACGTTGCGCCCCAGATACGCCGACTCCTCGATGTTGTTCAACTCGTCTTCCTCCTTATCAAGCTTCAAGTTGCAGAGGAAGAAGAGGTTTCCACCCACGAACGCCAGCACGGCGACGAAGCCATAGTTCCAGATCAGTAGGGGGTCGGTCGACAGGGCGGTAAGACCTTGCTGAATAGCAGAGGAGATGGCGTTCATGAACAGGTAAAGAGATTGAACTAATACCTGTTAGTAACAATGTGATGAACACATATAGAGGGTAAAGCGCATACCTAAACTCTTCATGTTCTTGGGCGCCTTGGTATACGCATACTCGTAACCCGTGATGGAGGCGAAAATTTCCGAAAAGGCAATCAGCACGTACGGCACTGCCTGCACCCACACGTTGATGGGGGCGGCCTCATCACAGCTGCTGGGGTGGTTGCCGCACGGGCTCAGCTTGTAGATGTAGTACTGCGTGACGGCGGCGGCAATCATGGATGCGGAGGCCAGCAGGTATCCCACATAGATACGCTTGATCGGGGTGAAGTGGAAGCCCATCTTGCGGAGACCTGGGTAGATGAACTGGTCCATGATCGGGATGAAGATGATGAGGGCAAGGGGGTCCAGGTTGTTGATGATGTCGTTAGGCACGCCGTGCAGCTGCATGGTGGCCGCCTGGGAGGTTAGGTTGTTGGTCATTTGTCCGTAGGCCAGCCCTATGGAGGTTAGCATCGCTCGGTTACATTTATGTGAAGAACTGACAGTAAAGAGGGTACCAGGCAAAGACAGCACAGGCCTTGACGGCACGACGCACTTCTTCGACCCACTGGTCATCAAAGGTCATCCACGTGGGCTTGTTGGCAAGACGACTGGGCTTGACACTGTCCCAAAACTCGGTAGATTTGCAGCGATGGTAGCTGATCCGTTAGCCAGGTTGTGAGTAATGTAGCAGATAGACTTACAAAGTGACAGGGTTCCAGGACCATTGGCCCCGAAGAGCCAGGCTCCACAGCTGGAAGGCTTTGGTCACGACCGATCCAGTCGGGGGCGTCACGGTGTATCGCTTGCGACAGAAGAACAAAACAATCGGACAAATACCGAACATGATGGTCGGCAGCAGGAATGCCAGCCAGTATCCCACATACTTCTCCGCGTACACCATGGCCACGGATCCGATCAGGGAGCCGACGTTAATCATGAAGTAGAAGTAGAGGAAGATGCGAGTGATGGTCTGCGCAGGATCGACGATGACGCGCTCGCCGGTCTTAGGAATGGTCTTGATGAAGAGTCTGGTCTCCTTGTATTGTTCTGCGATCAGGGGCGAGATATTGGATCTGGAAAGGTTAGTTTGATTCTCGAGATGACTAGACAGCACCTACTTGAATCCGCCCACACCAATGCCGAAAATCACCAGACCAACAGCGAAGCAAGCCAGGGCACCGTTTGCATGTACAATAACCGGGGGAATAGATGAGATGATGATGATAATGTGACCGAGCATAGCAAATCCGATGGAGACTTGGATGGTTCGCATACGACCCCAGTATTCATCGGCAATCCAGGCACCCAAGATGGGCATGACGTAGCACCAGAAGGTGTTGACTGTGAGTTCAGTTAGCGATCGCTCTCATGCGTGAGGCCTAGAGGAGACTTACAGGTTGTCAGCGCAGTAGAGGTCCGTTCACCCTGGCCCAGAGCACCGGACTGTCCACTGTATCCGGCACCCGTGGTGGAGCCGGCGGGAAGAGGCTGCTGAATGAAGTTGACATCTATAGAGGTTAGAAACAGCTTTCAACAACCTGCTGCTAAACCTACAAACTGCAGTTGTTCCATAGTATGAGAAGCGCTCGCACAGCTCGACAAACGCGACCGTGTAGGCGGTCCAGCTAACCGAGTCGGAGACTCGACGCAGGGTCCTCTCCTCTTCCTCAGTGGGGTATTCGCGCCCATCGTCGTGGACATTGTGGATTGAGGGCACCGTCGACACCACTGTGGTTTCTTTCTCGTTGATGGGGAGATGAGGCTCCTTCTTCTCATCGACGGCCTGGATCTCCTTCTGGGGAACATGGGCCTGTGCGACATAGACCAGATCGTCTGCGCCAACGGGGTCACTCATCTTGGCGAACACGGGCCCTGACAGGGTCTGACTGGAGGTATGGAAAGTGGATGGGAGAGACGATCGCACAAGAGAAAAAAAAAAGCGATCAGCCTGGGGAGCAGAGGACTAATAAAGCCATGGGAGGCGAGAAGCTGCCGAGAGACAAGCGACCTAACCAACCGGTTGGGTGTTGCATTTGGGTAAGCTGCGACAGGCTCGCTTCGGAGCCACTATCAGTGCGCGGACACTACTCCAGATGTCTCTAAGCTGGCCTAGTGCCAAGGCCTAATTTCCACCGGTGCAGCGTCGGAGATCGGGACCCAATGTGGGTGGTAGCCACTATCTAGTTTGGATTACAGACAGTATCACGCGATGGGTTGGTGTACTTCTTCGCCGCTGTCCATGCGGCCAGACAGAGAGGAGGCTTATCCAGGGAGGTTCTAGCGTCCATCTAGAACGCACACAGCTGGCACCCGGACCTGCTCTGTTCCATGTTTCTGTGGCAAAAATACGGCCGTCGCAACCCGAGTGGCATGTGGTCGGAGTGGATAAGAAACCGGGGGAAATCAGCCGTGGGCAAATGAGGTTCCATCCATACAGGAAAGTCATCTGGAGTACGCGCGATTATTTGTCCAAGTCCCTGCATGGTGGCGGACGAGCAGGATTAGCTTCCACTAGACATCTTGGATTCCTCGCAGGGGGAAGCGATGCTGCTATCAAACTATCTGAGGGAGGAATGAATAGGAACGGGGCCACTAGTCATGGCTGATGGCACCGGCTACACTAGTCTATCTAGTTTTCTCGCCAACACGGCAAGTGTGGTTGCTAATGCAGCCGGATGGATGTCCAACCGTAGGATCTTCCACAATCCCCGCACTCCCACGCGTCTCTCCTGGAGAGGCACAGGGGTGGCAGATGGACATGGTGAGTAAGGAATATTCCTTTCTATCTCAGCTCTCAACCACGCAGGAAGGCTTGGAAAAAGCAAGCATGCAGGCTGAACAGGAGTGAGACTCGGAGTCACCGACAGAGCTGGGGATAAGGCTGGCTCGGGGACGACCGTAACAGGAAGGCTTGAAAAGAAAAAAAAGCAAGTTCAGGGACCGAGCTGGCCAATGGATGAGGTCCAGTCATGGCCAAGCAGATTGCGTGCTTTGACTGGTCCGGATGGTGTCTCAGCAGATAAACTAACCTGAACCATAAGATGACCTGTTAGATTGATGAAGGAGGCGGAACAATGAGATATCGGGGGTAAAGATATGAAACTGATAGAGGCAAGTCGGAGATGACACCACCGCCAACACTGATAACGGCATCAGCCGTACCCAATCAGATCTGATCCTCTTGAAATGCCAAGACGGTGCGGGTCTTGGCAGTGGAGCTTCGACGAAGCCAAGTGGGTGGAGGCCGAAAAGAATTATCCGGATAGACGCTCTGCTATCAACCCGTCCCTGTCTCCGCCAGGATATCTCTATCGGCTGTTACTACTGCTGCGCTCATCTGGATGCAGTAGTGTCTAAGCGACCAGTCTGAACTTGTCCACCTGCATCATCACTCCGTAGCTAACCGGAATAATCAGGATGAACTGATAGATAGCTGCACCAATGGTCTGATGGTTCGAGCACCTGCTGTAGACGGTTCGGGGATGCTTCCAGGACGGGCACGTCCCTCGTGGCCTTCCAAATCGTTACGTACTGGAATCCTATCAAGCATTCACGGAGGCCTGATCTAGCCCTAGTTGGGATTAGTCGCCCCTCCAGATCCCGCTGTTGTGATCGCGTCACGTGTGTGTGAGGCCTGGGGCAGAGCTGGGCTCACGTGCACGGCCAGCCACTATGGCATTGTCAGGGTCACCACCACCACCACCACCATGATGCTTCTTCAGATTTCTTCACGCCGGGGTATGGCTCACGACACATGGCCCGGACCCCTGTGGGCAGTTGAGTCTTACTTATGTGCGGGGTTAGTTCAACCTTTCGTATTCTGCAGGGAAAAGCACGCCTTACCCTGGGGTTCTGATTCCTGCGGAAAAAAGATTAAGCTTGATAATGTTGACTCTCGAGCAATCCAAATGACAGACTAGCATTCGGAAGTATTCCGACTGCTGACACACCTTAGTTGCCGATATCTGACCTCTGAAGTCCATGCTTCAGTTCCAGCAGTGGACAAGCACTAGTCAACTAGCCTGGACGCATTACGCGTGCCTTCCCCAGCAGGCGCCTTCCCTCGGGCCCAAGCTGTGGTCACAGAGGCAACGGATTCACTTAGAAAGTGTCTCGTCACTTCATACTTCTCCAAATACCATCATGGGTCAGCCCTACAGACTCCAGATGAGTTTCTTGGACGGCTCTTGGATGCCATGCCGCCATGCTGATCTCCCGACCAATAAGCGGCGGGGAACGTCCCGCGAGGCTGAAGCTGACTCCATCGCTTCATCCCACGCAGTGACTCTTCCTCCGCTGATGCCAACTAATGTAAATAAGCATGGAGAAGACTCTGACGGCCACCTACTTGGAATTAAGCGATGACCGCATCAACCAGCTCATGCAGGCAGCCCACCAGGGCCTGCTTCGCGAAGTCCAATCCCTTCTTTATGGCGTTTCCCCGAACGTCCAAGACCAGACCGGTCGGACGGCCTTCTCCTGGGCCGCATCCTGTGATCTCTCCCGGGCGCAGTCCCTAGAGGAACGAGACCGTTGCGATATTCTGTTGCAGTATCTCCTGGACAGAGGTGCCAATCCCGATCTTGGTGACCACCATGGCGAGACTCCTCTCCACTGGGCAGTCAAAGGTGGAGACTCCGACATGGTAGACCTCCTTCTAACGAAGGGAGTGGCCTCCGATATCGCAGACTCCCGTGGTCGTACGCCATTATCACGTGCAGCGGGACAAGGACACTGCAGGATCGTGCAGTTATTGCTATCCACAGGGAGAGCGGATCCAGATAGCAAAGATAGCCGGGGTCGGACCCCGCTATCCTGGGCTGCCGAAAACTGGCACTTGGATACCGTGCGTGCATTGATTGCGCACGGTGCTAGCGCCGATATCCACGACCACGAGGGGCAGATTCCACTCTGGTGGGTCATCAGTAACCACAATAAGAGACGGGAGGCAAACGGGCAGCATGCAGATGACTTCCAACAGTGGCTCGCCGCTCTCGGACCGACACATGGTGTGGAGCCGATGACCAAGGCCCGGCGAACCTTTCTAGCCTGGGCGAGTGAACGTGGCGATACAGCTCTTGTGCACGAGCTGCTCAAGACGACCTGGGCAGATCCAAACTCTATTGATCGCTACAGAAAGACCCCGTTGGTGTACGCGCTGGAATGGAGTCACTACGAAATAGCGGACATGCTTATGTCTGGCTCTGGGGACGACATGAACCCTAAGCATGATGTTGTGTCGCTCAAGCTGATGGTCCAAGAGAGCCGAGCTCGGTTGCTGAAACCGTTCTTGGAGCGGTACAAGCCTGACCTTAGCAACGAGGATGAGTCAAGCCCAATTCCTTTGATGAGATGGGCGCTACAGCAGGCTGATCGCTCGACGGTCGCCGTTCTCCTGGAACACAAGGCGGGTGTGGATGGGCTGGAGAACGGAGATTGGTTCGGCCCTTGCAGCACGGCTGGAGCATCAGCAAGTTTAATGTTGGCTCAAGCCCGAACAGATGGAGCCTCGATTCCCGTGATGGATATGACCATTCCGGATGGTGATCGTGCCACCTTAACGGCATTGTTAAGCCATCGGAGGCAGATGATGGCGCTTGACGATGGCTACGATGGACGCTACAGCCGTGGGCTGAAATCGAGCGTCGCCGTGGATATCGTGGTTTTCCGGGATGGGCGGCGCGCGGCGCGCTGGATCACGGATGATACTCTGTACCAGGACATCAAGGCAATGCCGAAGACGGCGGACGAAACACATCTGTTGTAAGTTGATCGAGCGAATAATGGCCCTCTCTAAAATCACCTCTCTCATGCAGCATAGACTTTTCCGGGAGAATAATTACTGGAATACATATTGCCAGCTGACCGATACGCCAAACGAGCTGCAATTCTCCCTGGGAAATAAGAGTCCCTGCCGAACTTTCTCGCTGTTCATCCGCTTGGACATGAAGATTGGAACATCCTTTACTGATGACGGGGACGACGACCGCAAGGTCCGCATCATCGAATGGGCCGTCCTAGAAGCGCCCCAAAAGACAATTCACTACTTCAGCAACCTACCATACGGGTGGATCCCAGAAAGTGACCTAGAACTGGTGCAGCTTTTCATGCAAACGTGGCGGGACGACTGGATCGCATTTTGCCGGGAGGCTCGAGGGTACTTGGGGCGGCTGGTATGTTTCTGAAAGCTATTCTGTGGAGCGACTGCTAATGAAGCAGCGAACACACCAATTGACCGCCCGAGGCAAAGACGACCGGCTCATCGACTCCATCGCGGAAAGCATGCAGCAATGGACGCAGATTCAGGCAGCGTTGGCCGAGCAGCTCAGTCAGGCTAGGAACTTTGTTACGCAGTACCAGCGGTTCAGCGAGACGCGCAAGTTCAGTGAGAAGATGCAAAACATGATTGATGGGCTAGACAAAGAGATATCGGGGCAGATTGACAAGTTAGAGCAGACGGTTCGCGATTTGCTGCAGATTGTACGCTTCTCTTATGGCAGTTGATAAACGTACAGCTAATCCTGGAAGGAATTTGCGTGGGTATCGATCAACGAGGCGCACCGGTCGACTAGTTTGGCGACGAGCATGAAACGGCTCAGTTGGATTACAGTAAGTCGGGTGTCTTGTTTGGAATACGGCAACTAACAGATATGGTAGTTCATTTTTCTTCCATTGACATTTGCATCGGTACGTATATCACCTTTTGCTCACAGGACTAGTCTGACTGCGCAGAGCTTATTCGGCATGAACGTGGATATTCTGAGCGACAATCCTCCATGGCACTGGTATCCGCTCATCGGGGGAGTGTTACTGCTATTAACGGTGGCAGTATGGTTGTCAACCAAGTTTACAAATGTAAGTCTCAGTAAATGAATATGAGCATCGCTAACCGTTACAGGTTGAGCGATGGGTTGAGGATCAAGCGGAGCAGATTATCAATGGACGACAGAAGAAAGAAATTCTCGCGTGGTGATGCCCACTATCTACCGAGCCAGTATAATTGGGTTAATCAATTCACACCAAACAACAACTAATACAATCTCATCAAACACACCATATACTCGCCCATCTTCGCAAAAAGTGACTGTCTAAACAGCAAAGTCACGGGCATGCACTCCCTGCCGAGCCAGAAGCGCAGTCAAGAGCGCGCGCACATCAGTCAGAATCTGAGAGGCAGTAGTAGGGACGGGAAGAGCGGCAGATCCAGAGGCAGCAGCAGCAGAGGGAGCAGCAGCGGGCGTAGCGATGACAGGGGTAGAAGCAGAGGGGGTAGCCGCGGCCGTCGACTCGGAGCTGGTAGTAGCAGCGGAGGTAGTCGAAGCGGAAGTAGTAGACGACGAAGCAACAGCCACATTCTGAGTAGGGGTAGCAGCGGCAGCAGTGGTAGCCTCGACGGAAGTAGTGGCAGCGGAAGTAGCAGCAGAAGTAGCGGCAGCGGCAGCACTCGAAGTACTCTCCACAGCCTGAGCCGTAGTAGTAGCAGCACTACCACTCGAAGAGCTCTCACTGCTGCTACCATCCCCAATACTCTTCGTCAAATCGCCCTTCTCAATATAAACCCCACTCCAGAACCAGTCCTCCGTCCCATCACCCGTCAGACTCAACACACCCACATGGAAATCCTCGCCATTCGAGCTCGCACTCGCACTAACAGGACTAACCACCTCCGTCAACGCATCCGATCCATTCGACGCCCAGAGCCCAACCTTCTGATTATCGAAATCAATATCATACGCAAAGTTGTACCACTTGCCCGTCTCAAGCTCCACAGAGTAATGCGTATCCCCGCCGGCATTCCACTTCAGCGTGTTATCCTGGTACTGCAGCTCCGTGAAATGGCTCTCGAAGAAGGCAATCTGGTGCTCGCTCGACGATGAAGGAGGGTTGGTGCTGCTGGCAGACAGAGAGAAGTGGTAGTAGAGATGGCCGGAGCCGAGGTCGGAGGCGGAGCTGGAGGGAGACATTTGGGGAATGAGTTCGGTGCGTTGCATTGATTGACCTTCCCAGAAGGAGGTACTATCCTGTTCATTGTATTAGTAGAGTGGGAGAAGGTATTGTGAGGGAGGGGGGGAAGTACAAGTCTAGTCCGCAGACCCTGGGCATCGCTCGCGGCTGGGTTCTTGTAATCGCTGGATAGGGCTAGGTATTCGGAGGTTTCGCCGTCGCCGTGGATGTACCATTGCCAGGGGGCGATTTGGTTGCTCCATGACCCTGGAATTTCTTTCTTAGTATGGTTGTGGTGTGAGAGGGGATAGGATTTGGAGGGGGAGGAATACATTCGTCAAAGTCAGCGACAGTATAGGACGAGTTGAAGATGCCGCTCCACAGTACGGATCCGGCCAGTGTGGAGGCGGGGAAGGCGAGGAAAGCGGCTCCTTTCATGGTGATACTTGGGTAGTATATAATGAGTGACTTGGGGAAGTAGAGAAGAGAAGGGAAGAGAATGAAAGTAAAGAATGGATGTGACCGGCACAATGAAGAAAAGAATGGTGTGGTTAGAGAGAGAGAAAGAGTAGAATAATCAGGGTGGTGAAGGGTTTAAGTAGGGCTTGCATACTGGATACAGGCTTGCGGGTAACTGAAACAAGTGTCCGCTGGCGGTTTCATCACCGCCGCTGGTAGATTAAGCTTGTTTCAAGTTGATCGAACAGGGTCCATGACATGACTGATTTGAGACTGACAGCGGTAAACAATTGATTATCTTTAGTTTAAGGGTGGTGACTATGCAGAAGCTAATTGGTTGTGGGCTGTACATGATTCTATAGTCCACACACAGGCTATTATAAGTTAACGCCTTGCACATACCCTTCACTCGGCACGTCCACTCAGTATCCTTCCGCTTACAACGCAAGAACCGCCTCCTTCAGCTTGGCAAAATTAGGCGTTCCCAGCCCTGTCGCCGGATCCCATCCCGTCGTGGCATTCCAGCTCGCCCAAGGAATGACTCCAGCGCCCTCCACATCGCCTTGGCAGCCCACTGCCTCGCCACTGGTAATGTCGTTCAGGCTCTTGTAGCCGCTCGAGTACAGCCAAGGGTTCAGGAAGCCCAAGGATGTCTTGTTGGCCCGCAGACGGGCATCGTTCAGCAGCGCGACGATCCCCGCAAACACAGGGCTAGCGCCAGAGGTACCCGCCACAAGGCCGAGCTGACCATCAATATAAGTTTCGTAGCTGTCGGACATTAGCAGATGTCCATACACTCATCTGGGATGGATACATACTAAGGAGAACCTGCAAACGCAGACACGTCAGGGAACGCGCGACCGCTGAAGTTGGTGTACTGCTCGTAGTACTTCTTCGTCGAGGCAGAGATGTACTTGTCCAGGTAGGTCTCCACCTGATCCGACTGGTACGACGGCTGCGAGAAGTAGTTGCTGAAGCCGCCGGAGCTGTCCACCCAGGCGACTTCGGGCACGTCTTGGGTGCCGCCGACCGCGGTGATGTACGGGCATGTTCCTGGGAACATGGGGGTGAATTCGGTCTTGTCGGTGCCGTCGTTGGACATGCATGCGCCGCCCACACCTGTATTTGTCAGTCGGGACTTGATGCAATATAGATGGGGTACAACGTACCAGAGTCGCCGGAAGACTCGAGGATGGAGATACCACGTGTGCCCATCAGGCCGATGAGGTTGCATACGCGGGTGGCGTAGGCAATGGGAACGGTCTATTCTGTCAGCAGGCAATTTGTGTGGGAGGCAGGGATGCTTACATCTTCGTCATCGCCGTATGAGTTGCTGATAACCAGTGGCAGCTCGTCGTTGGTCTTGGCCAGCAGATACTCGTAGTACTGCAGGTAAGGCTCGTTCTCGTCGGTAGTAGTCTCGACGTCGGGAATGAATGGACTATTCCATTAGCTTCCGCTCGAATGATCATTCTTGGGGATACTCACGGGGATCCACCGGTGATGTACTCCGTCACTGGCAAGGGATGCGAGATGCCCACGATGTTCTGGACATCGAGATCGGCTTCACCATCCGGATCATTCTCCTGGTTGTTGATTCCTCCGTTGATAGTCTCAACAGTGAAACTCTGCTGGGGAATGTCAAAGTACTGGGTGAACAGATCCAAATCCGAGTACAAGGCCGACTCGTTCAAGAAACTGCCAAACCCAACACGACTTCCCGACGATGCCTCGGGCGTATAGTCAATGCTATACTGCTCTTTGAGGCAATCCGGAGTGATGTACTCGCACACATTACTGCTCTTCTTTCTGCTGGTCTCCTTGGTAGTCTGCGAAGCACGCACGGCCGCCGAGCGCGCAGCGTTGGACTTTCCAAAGAAAACAGTCGGCGAGATGAGATCAATGGACCCGGTCAGCTCATCCGGAACAGAGTACTGCGTTGTGCGCAGCTTCTGGGTAGATCCGCTCTTGTACACCGAGAAGGTGGTGTTGAGAAGCTGGTTGGCTGTGCCCACAGTGGTCGCAAAGTTCAGCAGACCACCCTCCTTGTGGATCTGGGTGACGCCTGCCTTCTTCAGCCAAGCAACAACAGCAGCGTCATCTGCGAGAGGGAACTGCTCATTGATGTCGTCCAGATCCAAGAACTGGCCGTAGGTGTCCTTGCCAGGGGTGGATACAGCCAGGAGCTTTTCCTCCAGCTGGTCCAGGTTCTGACGCGCCAGAGCAACGGACAAAGAAATTGTGGAGCTGGTATCAGCAGCCTCCACGAGCTTCCAGTCGCTGGGAACAGACTTGACGGTCTCCAGGACGACGCTGGCCAGGGCAGGGGCGGCAAGGGCGAAGCCTGCCGAGATGCGGGAAAAGGCGACCATGGTTAAGGAGGCAAAAGCAAAAACGACCCTGGGTGGAGAGCAGAGCAGACAACGACGAGGAACAACCGGTTAGTTATAGATGGGGAACTTAATCAAGCCATTCTGCAGTGGGTTTGGGCCGTCGGAGGGCGGGCGGGCTCCGGCGTGGTGGAACAGGTCACGGTGCATTATGCATCCCTTGCATGCAGGGACACGGTGAAGCCATCCCCGGCAGCCTTATTCTTATTTCTCATGGAAGGTTGAAGCCGCCATGAAGCTTATATTGCGGCCAAGTACGAACAATCATCTAATCTCTTGAGAAACTCAGCGATCAGCTCCTCTGAAGATATTTTGAAAGATGCAGATGTTCCTGCAGCAAAGCTACAGCAAAGCTTAGCCGCGGTTCCCGGCATTCGGAAGCGCGACGGAGTCCGTCTGGCAATAGATTAATCGGCAGAAAAAGAACTGGGGACACTATGCATGCACTAACGGCATAGATAGGCGTTCTGCAGCAATAGTGGCTTATCAGGACCATTATTGGGGGGAATCAACTCGGATGACACCATTGATTTCCGAGATGGCCAGATTTCCCTCGTGAGGGGAATGTAGTATTGCATGCAGCTGCCTGGATAACGCCACTCATTTTCTCCCACTCGGACATTATTATTAACCGTCGCAATCAAACTCATATTAGAGCAATGTGATGTCTCTTAGCAATCACAACAATTTAATGCCTCATCCCGCCGGAATTATCCCAGTCCTCACTTTCACTACTTCCGCTTCACTGTCTCCACCACCCACTCAATTCGTCCATCCTCTGCCACCTCCCCAAACATAAACGTCTCCGCGGCGCCCACTTTTCCATCCGGCATTTTCATGGTCGAGCTGTGTCTATCCGCAAATTGATTCCCGTCCCGCAGGAACTGGGTAATTTTGAGTGTCACGCTTCCTGGTGGGAGAATCCCCCGCAGCCACTTGATGTGCGCGACAAAGGCAGGGAAGTCGCGCGTTGTCTCATCGTCGCGTTGTGTGAAGTTAGGTGTGAAGAGCTTGGCTAGATCGGCTTCGGTGGTCTCAGGAGGACCGCTGAAGAGGCTGGTTAGGGCCGATTCGAAGGTGGTGGCTTCGGAGGCGAACGTGGTGGAGGACATGGTGTGTGGGTCTTCTAGTACTTCGTTTGATACTTGAAAGAACTTATTCGCGACTTGTGAGTTTGTTGTAGACGATTGATAATTTTTGGGGTGTTTCTAGCGATGGCATCATAGCTGCACTGCATGGCATATAAATACCGTGGCATGATGGAAGCCTAGCATGCATAAGCTTAGGGTTTGCCCTGAATAGGTTGTTGCCTAAGTTGATATATAATAGTAGTAGTTTTGAACGGTAGCAGTGAAAATATTAGTCTTGTATACACACCAGGTATCATTGTTTGATTCGCCCTCGTCTACAGATCGTGTATGCTGACGTGAGCGCTAGTACTATTGAGCCGCCTAACGACTGGCCTAGATGGGGGCTCTTCTCTCACAGTCAATTACTTCGGCCATATATGGGATTAACGTTGGCACAATTTTCTGTAATTCATTTCTTGCAGACAATAAAGAATATTCCGATCATCAACATCACCGACAGCAATTTCAGCCCCATATCGCTGAGTATCCAGTGCCACCCAGTCCATATACCCACGGATCCATTCGCTTCACTCTCTCGCGGTAGGCTACATTGTCGATCAACAAGCCATAATTATCGGCCCAATCAAGCATACTGGCCTCGACCAGGGGTCTGTGTGCTGTTATTTCTCCTGCCCATGGGATGTGCGAGATGGGAAGCTTGAGAGCGGTAAGCTGAGCCTCCAAGGTTTGCTGGTCTATGTTGAAAAAGAATATTATATGTTTGGAGATACGAATAAGATATGATGCCTCGGAATGGCCTACCAAGACGGGCGATAGCTTTCAATCTATAGTAGTAGAACGTCTATCCCTCGCTGCTTCGGGTCATCTTGCTAGTACCAGGCCCTTCGCATGCTGTTGGCGCCCTCCTGCATTAATCAACACCCTTTCCGGGGGAGCCACTGAAGATGAGAACAGAAGAAAAGAGGAGGGTAACTACTTTGGCAGGACCTTACTATCTAGTTGCATTTACTGTATCCTGTCGTCTCATATACTTTCCAGCATGTAGAATGTTGAGGCCCCAATCTAGTACCCCTATTACGATGCCTGTCACCGGATGCGGGAATGGCGGCTTAGAAGTCCCGCTTTAGTAGGGTCGCTCTGATTCAAACGGACCAACAGATCTTTTGTTTTCTATTAATTTGCTGTGACACCTGATGCTCACCCTAGCGCATCCTGTTTTCCCATTCTGTTTTGTTTTGAGAAATTCATATTTGTCATGTCAACAGGCTATGCAGCTTTTGCTCTAGCAGCCTCCACCGCCATTCTACTAAACATAACCACCTCAACGGCTATTATCTTATGGTCAAATGACGTTCTAATAGACAGATTTTCATGTTTGACTAACTGTAATGGCGCAGTGGATGTCTATTGGTTTTAGAGCATTTGGTCTTACGGCAGTTTCATATTATATATATTGTCAAAGGAAATATGATATCATTTGCTCAGAATCCTACATATCCAATCCTAAAAGCTGCATAGAGAAACTGCAAGAGTACTCATCGTCATCTCTTTAGGGATGTCTCACGTCGGCATACAACAGCAACTATCCATAGGCATAGGAATTCGCCTAATTGGGAATATTGTCCACTACACAATCCAAGAAAACAAAGAATATCCACCAGGTATTACCAGAATGTAGTCTGCTTTTTGTCATCGAGATCGAAGCAAGGAAATCATGGTAATAACATTTGAAACAGGTTAATCAGGTTAATTGTGGTTGCTAAGTGGTGTTGGTCGTGCTCCCTGGCCAGCGGGGAGTAAACTCTAAATAATTATTGATACAGCTAGTCACAGCCCCAATCTGCGCCAGTAACATGCCCTGCTGCAGCTGTTAACATATAGCTACTGAGCAAAAGCTATTCCTATTGCGCCGTCCTCCTTGCTGCCGCCACAGACGGATATTATACTGCTGACTGAACTCAGTTGATTCACATTGATACCATTTGCGGATCACAGATATTGTGATTCCAAATCACGTGAAACCAGACCCGGTCAAGTATACGGAATAGGGGGTTTGACATGCCGATGCGGCACAGAAAAGTGCTTTGTGGACTAAGAAATGTGAGTCGCGGATGAAAGGGGCAGTGACATGAATGCACCAGGAATGTAAATTTTTGCTAACTCTACTTCTATTGGCTAATGCCTGTGATATGACAAGGTTTCCCCGCTCGCATCTATTCCCATCAAACTGTTCGCAGGATTACCTATTCTGGACCGCTCGACTTGGCTAGCTATGCATACAGGCAGGCTACAGGCCCTTTATATGGAAGGTTCATCCCTTCCATCCGGGACCAACGAATGAAAGAGGGTTTAGAAGATATCACAACGCGAGAATAAGCACGCCATACAGCATTGCCCTACCGACTTTCCATTGTGACCAACATGGACGGTCACGCAAAAAGTCGTGGCTCCTTAGAACCTGGAGCAGCAACAAGTCCCTTACCTTTTCTACGCTCTGAGCCTGCCCCAGTCGATGAAGTGACGGAGAGCCAACTTCTAACGCGCTTCCAGCCAAGAATAAGCAAATATAGCTCCATCTCTCATGACGCTTGCATAGAGTGTCATGTGGACCTGTTTGGGCGAGGTGGAGTGGGAAAGGTGGTTGGGGGAATGAACGCGCACGATGGCGACTTTACAGCACTGTGCGCCCCAGAAGCACTACCAGAGCGTATTGGCTTCTGCTCGTATTTTATTGAATATGCCTTTGTCTATGATGGTGAGTGTCAACTCCAAATACCAAGCATCACGGCACGCCCGAGTAGCTGATCCATCCTGTTCGGCCTTCAGATGTTGCAGTCGACGCTATTCAGCCAACAAACCCTTTATTGGAGGACACTACCTTAACGAGGGTTCTTGGGACAAGGAAAGTGGAAATTCTCATGGAACCAAATGAAGTTCATCGGACGAGAAAGCAAATTGGGGCAAAGATCTGGGCGATACTGAAAGAAATCGATCCGGACTACTACAGTCGCTGCCAAGCTAACTTCACTCAGTGGCATGTGACAGGCAGGCAGATGCGCGACAAGCATTTTACCAGCATAAAAGACTATCTGGCCACCAGAGCCTTGGACTGTGGAGCGAAGTCGGTAAGCCCCTTATAAGATTCCGGTCGTCCAGCAACTGACTCCATTGTAAGTTGGGTGGCCCGTATGATGGGCTGGGCTAGTGGTGTCGTACTCACACCAGAAGAAGAAGAACAAGCCGGACCGGTTACATATCTAGCCTACGTTGTCTTAGCTGTCACGAACGATATCTGGTCCTGGGAGAAGGAGAAGCGGGTAACAAAGAAATCAGGAGGATCGATCCCACTCGTCAACGCCGTGCAGATGATTATGCAGATACATGATACGGACGAAGAAATCGCGAAAAGGGTTGTCTACAACATTATCCGTGAGCATGAAGAACGCTATTGCTGCCTCCGTGATGATTATCTCAAAAGGTCAGATACCTCATTATCAATCAAAAAGTGGTTTCAGATCCTTGAGCTATCCATTGCTGGAAATGCACTGTGGAGCATCCGCGCTATACGATATCATCAAGACGTCCAGAATCCCTACAGAGGATCTTTTGACTTCCCCTCCGTCTTCAGCTCTCTGAGGATAACGCAATTTACTCCAGATATGGGATCAGGAAATGGGGACATCGCAGGTATGCTTCTTCTTCCCCCTTAGCTTCATGTGTGATGCGAGTCGCGACTAAAAAGGTTCATATGCACAGATCCAGAAAGAAAGAATCCAGCGTTGGCGGCAATACCGCAGCTGGACGACACAGTAAGCAACATAATTACTCTCTTTATTGATCAGTCTAACAACTCTAGATCCTATGGAAGCCATACGAATACCTCACTTCCACACCATCGAAAGGTTTTCGCAATCTTTTGATAGACGCTCTTCAAGAGTGGTACAAGGCCCCACAAACCTCCCTGGCCGTTATTTCTGGCGTGGCCTCTCTGCTCCATGAAGCATCTCTAATGTGAGTCCGCAATGATTGCAACTTGTCTTTACATGAGTAGTACTAATACCTCACCAGGTTAGATGATATACAAGACGACAGCCCCCTCCGGCGCGGCAAGCCTGCAGTACATACCATCTTCGGCGTGGGTCAAACCATTAACTCTGCATGTTTTCAAATAAACAACGCCCTGCGCCTGTGCCTGCAGCTTTCTCCTTCTGCATCGCTGATCTTCTCCGGTGAGCTTTATTAGTTCCCACGATGCCAAACTGTAATCATACTGAACTCGAGCCCGTATCTCAGATCAAATTGCCCAACTCTTCGCCGGCCAAGCCCACGACCTCCAATGGGCCAGACACAAAAGCATCCCGACAGAGGAAGACTACTTCAGAATGGTCGATGGCAGTATGTGCATCTATAGCACATAATTCATTCTGTGTCACCATGACTAACGACAGAGATAAGAAAACGGTGCCCTCCTGATATTGATATCGCGGCTCATGCAGAACGAAGCCACACAAAACCGGTATGTCACCCTACTATACCCTCAACACGTCAAATATCCCCAAGCGAGGCATACATATCATACTAATTTACCCAGCACCCTCGACCTAACCCACTTCATGAACCTGATCGGACGAAGCCATCAACTTAGAGACGACTACCAGAACCTGGTATCTCAGGACGTAAGTCACTTAACTGCAACCCCAAATACCTCCTACAAAGAAGGCTGAATCAATCCGTATTTAGTACACAACCCAACGCGGCTTCTGCCAAGACCTTGACGAGGGAAAATTCTCATTCCCACTGATTCGCGCTATACAAAGCAGTACAGACGCTACTGTTCTCATGGAATGGCTACAGCAGCAAGGAGAAAGCAACACGTCTCCTGAGATGAAGACTTTCATCCTTGGGATGATTGAACGGAGTGGGAGCTTGGAAGCGACCCGAAGTGTTTTGCGTGATCTTTCTGTAGAAATGATGAGGCAGCTTGAGAAAATTGAAAGCTTGACAGGGGTAAAGAATTGGCTGTTGGGGAGTATTTTGGCGAAGCTGCAGGGTGAGCTTTCTTCTCGTAGGGATCAGGCGAGTAAGACGGAGAACACTTTAGAAAGTGTGTTGCGCGTGTGGGGTAGGTACCGGGATGAGGCGTGGAAGAATGTTTTAAACTAGTGTGAGGGGGTAGCATACTTAATTCTGCTTATTTCAACGTTGAATGAATTATATCATGAACCCGTCTATTTTTCTATCAACTCTCCCAGAACCAATTATGCACGCTATCTCGGTCATAACAACATATACATACATACAAAACAACAATGGTATCAACAGAAAGACATCTCCATCTTTCCAAACCCCAACATGTACACATCCTCACCAGGGATTCCTTGCTCTACAAACTCTGCTTACCCGCAGTCTCAATCGGCAGCAGAATCATCGCCACGAACGAAACCAGCAACAACGCACCGGAAGCATAGATAGGCGCACTGGGGTTCGCGGAAGCGTAGATACCGATGATAGGGGCACAGAATCCAGCAATGCGGTTCAGGCAACTGGCGATACCAGAGCCGGTACCACGGTTGGGAGCGGGGAAGACCTCAGGAGTGTAGGCGTACAGGACACCGTACATGATCATCTGGGTGAAAGATTCGAGAGCAGAGCAGACGAGTTGAGTGTCGGATGTCTTGGCTGCAGTGAAGCAGAAGAGCAGGACGGCAGTGACCAACGTCGACAGGGCCATTGTACCCTTACGACCGACGTACTTAATGTCGACCATGTAGAGGGCGAGAATGGGACCGAAGAGACCGGTCACGGAGGTGATGGCGTAGTTACGGTAGGTAACATATACGGAAGACGAAGAGCCGAGGTACTGGGGCAGGAAGGCGTTGAAGAGGGTGTATCCCATGCCGATGGTGGTCCAGCAGAGCCAGATGAGGGCGGCTGGTTTTCGTCGTTAACTGATGATAGGCATTTGTATGGAAATACCAGGGCAGGACTTACTGGTGATTCCAAGACGCTTAGATGAGAACAAAGGTCCGATCTGCTGCACGGAGAATTTGGACAATGAGCGCTTCAGGATTTGCGCAGAGGTAAGGTTCTGTTCCTTGCTATCCTCGGCAGCTCCGCCAATCTCTTGCAAGATTTCCACCGTGAGCCAGGTTTTCTTCTTGTTGTGATGGGCAACGCCGTGAATAGCCGCGACGGCGTCCTCATCCCGACCCTTGGAGACTAGGAACTTGGGCGATTCATACAGCTTGAAAAAGAAGAATCGACACATCCAGAACACCATGGTGATGGCACCTAGAGAAAGAACAAGGTATCTCCAGCCCATGTTATTTTCCTTGGTGCAGTTGCTCGAGTCGGAGCAAGAGTAGTTGGGAATAAAAGCCCAGGCCAGCATACTGGCAATGAAAGTACCCACTGACCAGAATGTGGCCAGTGAACTCAGGATGTTTCCTGAAGCACCGGGCAAGAACTCGAGGAAGATGGCAGCATCGACGGGCAGGTTACCACCTACTCCCAATCCCAAGCAAGCGTAGAGGGCACAGGTACTGATACTTTATTAGCCATTGCGACATCTCAAAGGGTAGGCGGCAACATACCCAACCCAGCTGGGACCGCCGCCCGATGCAAGACCAAACGCGCCACACAGGAAGAGAGTCGTGTTGAAAGCCAATCGACGTCCAATCATGTCAGATGCAAGACCCCAGAAAGTGGCGCCAACAATCAGACCAACGAACAAGGCGCAGGTAGTAAAGCGAACATAGGACTCGGAAATGCCGAATTCCATGGAGAGAGGGGTAAGGGTCAGGGCAACTCCCTGCGGTAAACTGGATTAGTTCGGCTGCACTTCACTCGACACCGTCGGAGAATAGTTCCAGTGGTCTCACCTGTAGCCAGAGGCTGCACGAAAAAAAGAGGTTAGCACAATTTTGAACCGATTAAAAGAATCAGTTCACTCACTTGTCAGCAGTCCAACCAAATCCGCACAAGATATAAAGCTCCCACTGATAGCGGCCCATGCCGATATCCTGAATGGCCTTGTTAATGATCTTGGCCTTGCCTGTAATCATCTAGTCAGACATCCAGATTCTCGGGTCAATAGTAGGGGAAGGTCCTGGCTGGGGAAGTATTGAATAGCCGGCTCCTTGGGGGGTCGAAGATCGCCCATGACATGGCAACAGGAACATACGATCATAGACAGTGTTATGGCCCGATGCAGAGACGGCAGAGTCGACCTCTGCACGGAGGGCCTCCAGGGTTAGCGTAGTGCTCTGGGTTGCGGAACTGGCACCCTTTTCCTGGGAATCTAAGCTGTTGACATTGGATTCGGTATCCTTATCCGTTTGGGAGATCGTATTGGGGGCATCGGCAAGAGGAATCACGACCTCGGGGATCTGCGAGCGGTCCCGCTGCAATTTTTTCCACCAGTTACTCATCTTGAAGAGCGTTCCAGGGATAGTCGCAAGGGGGTGTCAACGATCGGGATGTGGCGCGTGGCTAAAAATAAAATCGTATCGTCTTAGAATGTCGCTGGGGTTTGTCTGCCGGGGACCTAAATAGGGTACGGTATGCCTTGTCGCCGGGGCTAACTTCGAGTGATGGGATTGCTGCTCGGGAAAAACGGTTCAAATCTCGTCTCTTCTTACAACCTAGACCGTGAGTAGGAAAGGTTGTCGCAGGGCGCTATCAGGGCAGACGCTAGGGAGTGCAATAGTAGGCGGGCGGGCGGGCAGATAAGGGCAACCGAGGTGCGAAGGGAGATCGCGATGGTAGTTGGCGCAATGGAATATTCACGAAACAGGTCGCTCTCTGGGTTTCTGCTTGGGCGCGTGGTCGGAGTGTCCGTGTCCGTCTTTCGGTCCTAGAATGACTATGTCTAGTGTTGTGACGACACCACACAGAAAACGCTCGGAAATGATTTTTGTTTCGTATATAAGTTCGGCCTGGTAGCCGGATATTCACAGTATTTTGCAGTCCAGAGGATGACACGCTTGAAAGAGAAATGCCAGTTGATTCGGTCGCAAAACAGGAATCCAACTTGCAGGGAAAGACAGAGGAGTAACAGAATACTACCTCAAGATGGGTCGAGGTGTGGAGAGGAAAGACCGGGGAGGAGTGAGATGGGAAGGAAAGCCGTGGGACGACGGGAGGGGGAATTGTCGGACCCTATATAAACCCCACGATTCATGCACCGCAGGAGGCCTGGGAAAAAGTTTGACATAACATCAATGCGTAACAGGCAGGCCCACAGCACTCATAACTACCCATAACTACTCGGTACGAAGTACCCCGCTTGCCGCCAGTGACCCAAGGCAGAGCTGATGATGTCGCTTCGATTGTTTTTGCTGGTTGCCTCTGTACGAACACAAAAAGCACACTCAGCTGAGTATGAGCGGCCGGAATGATGTCCTAGGTGAACTGTGTCGCTTTGGGAATGGTATAGCTAGTCTTATGTGACTGGAAGATGCAGGATTGCTCTCCTCATGGCGCTTTGGGTTCAGGGCAGTTTGCCTCTTGCTACTCGGGTTGACCTGGTCTGGTGTGTGTGCGCGCGCGCTTTGCAGGTTAAGCGGATGACGGTGGAGAATGGGAAGGAGCCAGAGAAAGGTGAGAAAAAAAGGGAAAAGAAAGCAGGACATAACAGAAAAATTTTCAGGATTGTATGATTCGATGTCGTTGGGGTAGCCTTGCGGTTCTTAACATTGACCGTGGGTGGGTCACCATCCAAGTGGATAACCTCATATCCAATAATAAGCCAGTCAGGTCTTACTGTCTCCATCGAATCGCACGTGCCAAGACCCCTAAAACGGGCGAAAGAAGAAGGTGAAATGAGAGTCCGAATGTTGCCGTCGGCTTCGTCCGCGGAACCGCGCCACCAGGGCCCCTTGAGTGGTGCAACGGATTAGCCGAGTATCCACCATTTACCCTCAAAAGTCCCTCCCGGTCGTCCTCGGAAAAACGACGTCATTCCGATCCTCGAAGAAGAGAACGGAGCAGGTCGCGTGTCAAAAATGCTTGCGAGATCGTCGCCCGTTTTCTCGTACCGAGGAATGCATTGTGGTCGTTGACATTCATCTGAGAAAATTATTCCGGTGGGAGAGAAGCAGTGCATGTTGCATCGGATTAAGGAATTCCCGTCAGGTTGGCTCCGCTGATCGGCATTTCCGGTTGCGGTCACTATGCTGAAGGGTTGGTAGCCTGCGACGCGCGCTATTTAGTGCTCAGAATCATTCCTACAAGGAGGGTATGAATTAGCCAGCACGGGGAATTGAGCCGCTGGCGCTTCGTGGTGGTTAATATGACACAGTTTAGGGTTTCTGACTGACCCTCGGATGTCTATCTATCACCAAGGCTTACCGCACAGCTAGACAGAAGGTGGCTATTGCTGGAGTGAAGGTATGTCAGTCACATATATATCTGCATGGTTAGGAGTATTTAAGCCGTAGTTCTGGTATACTGAGACTCTAATAGGGTTTCCTATGAGATGCTGAAAGAGGCATTTTGGATGACGCTCCTGCGCCTTGCCGAACAGGCGCTTGGAGAGCCTCTGCGTAGATTTTGAAAGGGGCCACTTGAGGTGATATTTTACTAAAGACCTTAGCAGATTAGAATCACAATCTAGAAAAATAGTATCAGTCGTAAGTCGCTTCATTATGCTTGGGACTGAGGACGTGAAGACGGTGGACCTTCCCGTGGTGGATCCGAGTCATGTTCAGAGAATATATGTTGCTATGCACTCGTACTCCATTCATCAACCTCATGGGTTCACTACCTTTGTTTCAATCCTGAACCTATGGAATATTCCGATGTGTTGCAAATTCCCCACGGGGTTTGCCTACGCTCAATCGGGCGCATCCCACAGTGGTAAGGTAATTAAGTAATATGCACATGCTCGTAAAAGGGTCTCGTCCCGACGGCAAAAAACTATTCTCAGCAATCCGATGACACTTTTCATATGTTATATACCACTATCATTGACAAGCTTTATGGCTCAGCTACACTGGCTTTGACCTTATTATACCTTGTGCGTCTCAAATTGGGAACGCAACTACGCAATCCTCCTGTTAGAACACCAGTCATCAGTGACTATATATAATAAGGGGACATTTGAGCTGATAGCTATCATGCTAGCAGCATGGCTACCATACACTGGAATACTCCCTTGATGCAGGAAAATGCGATAAGAGAATCAATCCAGGGTCTCCCGAGATCCTTGCAGTTGAAGATGCCCCTGTTGAGCTTACATTGAGTGACAGCTGCACGCTGTCATAATATTTGTGTACTCCTGGCGCGAATCACGGTCCCGGCCTGTTGTGTCCTGAAAATAAAACTGGAGTAGTTGCTCACCCGAATGTCTGAACGACGTACGTCCCAGGGTACAATTTATTGGTAAGATAGAGTTCTCACCAATACCACAGACAGATTTAGACGGCTCATTAATGTCTATCACTAGATGAAATAGCCTCAAGATCATCGTCCCCTTTCACTGACACTCTTCGGTTTTAGTCAGCCGAACGAAGTCAACAGTGCATGGGTTCAATGGTCCACTTACCCACACACTCTCTGCTAGGTGCAACCCACTGACCAGGATTATTTCCGATATACTACCAAGTCCCTCCAAATCCATCCATCTATTCACTTTCTGTCTAACAGACTCCCAATATTATGAACTATTCTAAATGGATAGCCCGGCATCATTTACATCTCGTATGGAAACGACCTCTACCAAGAACCGACAATGTAGCCCTGGTGGGATCAGTTAGCCTGGCGAGGAGCCTTGGTCGCAGTCTGACGAACTTGTAAATGTATGAAATGTTGGGCTGCAAGTCCATCCTAATACTCTTCCAGTTCTACCGATGCCGGAAAGCAGACTTTTCGTCTGTCCGGGGTTGCGAGCTTTGCGGAAACAGATTTCCCTCTATTCAACTGCGCGGTATCAGGAACAAACCACTGTGCACACTTCCAATCGACGCAGATGCACATGGTGCATATCGAGGGATATGGGTGAAGATACGAAACATCCTGTCTGGACTATCTAAGTATCAAAGGGACTGGACTGTCATTAAGAAATGGGCTAATGACACTATATTTGGGGCGGAATAGGAGTCAGCATCATTCTGTTATATGTCTCTGAAAGCAGCCTGCCGCCATTAACCCCTATTCGCGACAAGAATTAAATTAGCACCAAAAAGGCGAGAAACAAAATATAGACTCCTATCTCCGGACGAAAGGTACAAACCACCCAGTAACTAAAGCTATTATACTATGAACTCGCTTCCCAATGCAATACTCCCTGCAGAGAAACAAGAAGAAAAAAAAAAAAAAATCAAAGATATGGAGCAGTTTCCTTCTCACACCAGCTCCAAAACCTCTCCGCCGTTCCCGCCCCACCATCACGCTTCGACACCAACCCCTTCTGAAGATGACAAGGGATAGGCCCGAACCTCCCCCAGGGAATTATATACGCTCCGTTCTTCTCTTGCGTCACTTCCGGAGACAGCGCTGCAAAGAGCTCACTGTACGCTCCGTACCGCGGACCCTTGAATATCCAGCCCTGTCTATCGTCAGCTAGGAGTCCCATTGCTCGTTGGAAAGGGATAGCATACCATAACCGTAGCCTGGATGGCAGAACTATGTCTCTGTAGCTCAGTCTTCATAAGGCCAGGATGTACACTCTGTTACCAGTTAGTCTGACTCATCCACTCTAAAATGATAACTATTTGAGGATCAAACGAACCAAACTAAGAATGCCTTCCCCACCATAGCGATTCGCCATCTCCTTAGCAATGAACACATTGCCCACTTTACTCTCCATATAATTCTGCATCGGGTCAGAGAGAACTTTCGGAGCACCACTTTCTTCATCGAAGATGATTCCCCCATTCGCAGTGAACGATGATATCATGGAAGACAACCACACCACGCGCACGCTACCCGCGGGAGCTGCGGCCGTGGTGCGTTGAATAAGCGGAAGAAGGAATTTGTTGAAGAGGAAGGGCCCGAGGCAATTTGTTCCCATTTCAAGATCGTGTCCCTATCAGGAATATCAGCGTTTGTGTCCCATTTATCACTAGCTATTGTCGGGAGTAATACAGTTATCGTCTTACTCCCCGCCGGAGGAGTCATGACTCCCGCATTATGAATCAATATATCAAGACGGTCTTCCAGCTCCAGGAACTTATTGGCGCTTTCTTTGATGCTGGCTAGGTTGGACAGATCTAGTTGCAGGAAGGAGAGGCGACCTCGGCTATGTGCGCCCTCCGCGGAGGTCTGAATCTCGTTGATGGCCGTGCGGGCCTTGTCAGCGGACCGGGCTGCGATGTATACGGTGGCATTTTTGGAGTATAGGATGGATGCTGTGTTGAAACCGACTCCGGACGTTGCACCAGTGACAATGGTTACCTTTCCTGTCAAGTCGGGCATGTCTTTCTCGACAAAGGTAGGGTTTGGGGGGAAGATTTGGCCGAGGGCGGGTGCCATTGTGTGTGTGTGTGTGTGTGTGTGTGTGATATGATAAATTATGCTTGAAAGAGTCAGGCAATGTTAGATGGTTGAGGCTTGGAATAGAGACGCATACCTGGATCATAATGGTAAATTTATAGTAGATGAAGGCCTCCGGACCCTCGCTCCGGAGCCACAATTCGGCAGGGCGGGACCATCTCCGGCGCTAGCATCTCCGGCCCGGCGCCAAGCCCGGGCGATCTTGGAGTGTCATGAGCCAACTGCAATGAATGTCTCTGAGAACAAGCTGGCTTGTGTTATGGCTTATCCTAGATTGTTCTAGCAGACTGACAATGTCTGCTGCTGGGTATGACAGTAGGGAGTGTATATCCTGCGAAGGGGGCAGGCACAACACAATAAAATGCGCAGCATGTAGTGAAATCACTACACACTCGTATCAAGACACAAGATAGCCAGCTGAGTAAGCCGCGGCGGTGAACCCCGCCAGAGACATCCAACATCAGTTCATTAAAGGCACCCCTTTTTCAGGCGAAGCCTATATGCCAGAAACAATGGCATCTAAGCCTCCCATCAGGACGCCTATATCTTGTACCTTTTGTCGCCAGAAAAAGTAAGACACGTCCTCGTGGTACTTCGCGAGAATGACTGAATAACCCCCTGAAGGTTGAGATGTGATCGTCTCCAGCCTTGTAGCAGCTGTACCAAGCGTGGATTGGGATGCGTCTATGCTCAAATTCCCTCATCAGCTCCCCGGCGGAATGGATCTACTCAGCCTCGGCAGTTGACCCAACGGATCCGTCAGCTGGAGGACCTAGTGGTAGCTTTGCAAAAGGGCGAACCCCCTCAAAGGCTAGAGAACCCGGACCACCCAGCGCATAAAAGCAAAGATTCCCTGGCAGCTAGCCCGGAGACGGTGACCAACTCCTTTGGTAGCCTGCGGGTCGATCACACGGGCATGACTTATGTCTCAGGGGCGCATTGGACCGCACTGCAAGACAGTGTATGTGAAAAGCTTCCTCGTTGCATACTCCATTAGAGCCTCGCACTGACACAGCCGATGAGCGGGGTGACAGATTGCCGAGCTCAAAGAGTGTGTTGAATTAGGGCCATCAATTCCGCCCTCCCGGGGTGATCACGGGTCCGCCCTTCTCCGGGGCGTGTCTCCGCCCGGCGGAATAGCGGAGGTCCTGGGCCACCTCCCGCCAAGACCGACCGTCGATCGGTTGGTGTCGCGATTTTTCAGTTCGATGGAGCCGGGTATTCGTGTGTGAACCTTTCTTGATTCAGATCTCGGTCCAAGATACTAACGAAGTGGTCCAGTTGTCCTGCATTCTCCAACATTCCAGAAAGAAGTATCGAGCCCTTCCACGTGACACGTGTAGGGTATGCTGACGTTCACAGTATGACCAATTCTGGACTCATCCACAGGATGTCAATCTGGCATGGCTGAGTATCCTCTTCAGTATCATGTGCCTGGCGATCCACCATCACCAGCTTACTGAGGGCCACAGACCAGATCCGATTGGCGATACTCATGGGCTGTGTGATGATTTCCGGCAACAAGCTGCCTATTGCCTCATCGACAACAAGTACACAACTCCGACGAAGTATACCATAGAAGCTCTAATGTTCTATGCGCAGACAGAGTACTTCCGGGGAGAGGAGTTTCATCATGAAGTCTGGTTATTAATGGGAATCGTCAACCGTCTGGCCATGCGGACTGGCCTGCATCGGGACGGTTCCCGCTACCCAGAGCTCTCGTGCTTTGCAGCCGAAATGCGACGACGCATCTGGACGCTCATGTCCCAGCTGGATGCACTTATATCGTTTCAGCTGGGTCTGCCCCGAATGATCTATGACGGGCTAGCAGATACACAGCCGCCGCGCAATCTGCTGGACGAGGATTTCTCTGAGGACTCAACGAGCTTGCCACCACCCCGTCCCGACGCAGCGTTTACCCCGGTGGCTTATTTGATCGCGAAGAGTCGACTTTCCAGGGTATTTGGTCTTGTGATTGACCATGCTGCATCCACCACACCTATCCCGTCTGCACTCATATATCAACTCGACAAGCAGCTGAACGAGTCCTATGCCGCTGTTCCAGTATGTCTCCAATTCCGCAGTGTATCGGAGTCTGTTACGGCATCGCCCCGTATCGTCATGCTGCGTTATAACCTGGAAATCCTGTATCAGAAGACGCGATGTATCCTCCATCGTAAGTCTCTCTGCGAGGGCCGCTCGGATGGTCGGTATGCAGAGTCTCGACGTATCTGTCTCGATGCGGCAGTGAGGATCCTGCAGCATCAAGCGACTATTGATGTTCAGGTTCAAGCAGGAGGGGTACTGGGCCAATGTCGCTGGTTCGTGACTTCCTTGGCCAAGAATGATTTTATGCTGGCGGCAATGGTGGTATGCCTGGAGCTCCACTATCTTGAGCGGGAAGGTGCACAAGGCGGGCAGACTGGAACGCCCGGAAGGGACGAACTGCTTCTTGCCCTCCAGACCTCGCATCGGATCTGGGCCCAGTATAAGGATGAGTCTGCAGAGGCCTGGCAAGCGTGGCAGTCAACCAGCATTATGCTGAGGAAGCTGAACGCCAACGTATCCCCATCAGATGGTAGTAACGGTGGCGAGAATACCAGCGGCCACAGCACCACCTCCAGTACGTTTGTCCTTTGTTCCCTCTAGCCTTCTCTAACACCGGTATAGCGGAGACCGAGATAGAGAAATTCGATCCCATGCTTGGGGTATCCCTCGATCACCAACTGGATGGGTCAATGTCTGTGACAGAGCCCAAGATGCTATCGCCGTCCGAGCCGGAATTCGATCTATCGCATCTTCCAAGTGAGCTTGTGAATCTGTGGGACTTTACTGGAGACATGAGTTGGGTAAGTAGGCTAGCATTCCGAGCGCTCTTGCGTTTGAGTCCGAGGAAACTAACTGTCTGTGCCGCTATAGCTTGCCATGTAATAAAAAAGACCTTCCATCTAGTGGGAACCTATGACACATCAGATGCAGACTAATCTGCATAATTCGTTACTATTCCTTGTTATCTAAATCTGTAAGCTCTCGAGAGTGCCTGGAAAGGAAGTAGACCGTCAAGGGGGGCATGGCATGGCGGGGTATATTGGGCATGAGAGATATTATCATGTGTTTGTGGGGTTCCTAAGCTAGGCCTCAGCCCAAATGTTACACTCGATGAAACGATCTAGCCAAAGAATGTACGTTGGCTGATGAGTACATCCCCCAACTGGTGCAACCATGCTCACATGACGGGTAAGTTCACCTGGTGGGGTCTCGCAGACGAGGGCAGCCTGTGCACTCAGAATCAACTTGTCCCTCTCTAACGGTTGCTCTTCTATACCCCTTCTCTCATAGGTTCACTCTGAAAGAAAAGACTGGAATCGATCTACACCACCTGTCACAAAAGGTATCTTTTTTGATTGAAGGAATCACCGAAAAGGATAATCTGTTGACAGTACTATTCCGGAACAAGCAGGTCAGATTCCGTCGCTGGAGAAGTCTCGGAAAGATATACCTGGCAACCCAAAGTTTGATAATAACTGGTAATCAGGAGTACCGCGGGATACGACGATCGATACACAAGCCCTGCGGAAAGTGACTTTGGGGTTGGAGAAGCACAAGCCTCTGAGAGACTTCGTCCGTTCAAGTACTCCAGAAGTCATACTGTGTCATTTAGCAACCTGGTCACTTCTAAGGACTACCGAAACCAGCAGAGGGAAGAGGATATACGAGCCCTGATATCAGAGATGTCTGGGTACAACAGTCGCGAATGTCTGCTGCCCCGTGAGCAGGAAATGGAGCTTACTCGGCATCTCGTCCGAGACGTTGTCGATATCGGAACCCATACGATTAAACCGAAGCAGTTCAAGACTGCAAGTATCATTGAGCTGCGTTCAATTAACCAACGCAATGTATGCGAAGATACTTTGAATTTCCAGACTGGCTGTTTTGATAGTGCTTCAAGCTCCTCGTCCTCCACCCGCGCGCCCGCAGCAGAAGAAGACAATTGGGAGATTCCAATATCTTGTTTTCAAGACTTTGCCACGCCTATAATCCCGAACGGGGTTGCCGATGGTCCAGCAGCGGAAAGCAACATAGCGAATTCCGCACTTGCCCGTTCAGTGTACTCCTACGAAGGATATGGCTGGAGACAAAAGCAATATGTGCTAGTGGAATGGCGGTTGCGAAGCCTTAGTGCCCAGAATTCGGTTGACGAAGAAGCCCAAGCGAAACGATACCGTTATTTCGCTCAACTTCTGCGGCGGACTTCTATGATTAATGAAGTTTGCATACTACATTGTTTGGGCTATAGTTTGACGACAGGGCGACTGTCAGATGGAACGCAACACCCTGTTGTGGGATTTGTGTATGAGTTTCCGGGATGGCTCAAAAGTACAGCCAGCGTCCTCACACTCGAAGAAAAGATTGCCGGGCGCACCGGAACGTTCGCCCCGGTTACCCCTTTCCTAGAGAACCGATTCCGTCTTGCTCAGAGATTGTCCCTTGCACTACTCCATCTACACTGTGCTGGATGGAAGCATCGCCAACTTTCCAGTGACAATATCATATTCTTTCGAGGTCCACACCATCCCTGGCATCCCATAAGCATACCGTACATAGGCGGTTGGCAATGCACTCCAGATGACTACAGAATGCAGGACGATAATCCGGGTAGTGATGAGATGTTGACACGGTTCTGGAGAGGCGACGATCTGAAGAATTTTGCAGTCATCCTAATGGAGATTGCGCTCTGGAAAAGTCCTTGCGAAGCCTATCGCAACGCTGCGAAGCTTAATAGGCCAGGGCTGTCGAAAAACAACCGCTGTATAATATCTTCGGAAAGTGCGCAGTCGCTGTATAGTACCCTTAGGGTACAACTTGGAGGGTCGATGGGCTGTTACTATGAGTATGCCGTTGAGGAGTGTTTGAGGGGGTCTCGTCTAGCATCGTCGAATACTAGCACTGAGAAGCACTTCCTCGATGAAGTGGTCCTGAGTCTGCACAAGTGCCCTTTTGATTAAACTTTGAGCCTGCAACTTTTTTGTTGATTTATACTAGCATATATTTCAACGAATCCTTGCTTTACACTAAATCTGCGTCACTAGCATTCTAGATCTTAGCAACCTCCCAGGGATAAAGCACACAGAAGTTGCAACATGCCCGTACGACGGCGCATATATCACCCACAATGCCGTCCTTCATGCTCGCTGTCACAACATTCAAGGCAGACTAGTTCATTCCCTCGCCATGTACTTGAGATATCCAAGTACTCTATAGACCCTCTGTTCTTCCCCGGTTCTCACTGAACTAGTACCTGCATACATTTTTGTTTCCACTTCACCTTTACACTCACCATAATGCCAAAGCAACACCCCACGAGTCGCTGAGTCCGTTCTATAGATATGCGTAGTAAGGCCAAAAACGATTTCAAGAGTCGGTGGATCCTAATGTGTGGGGTCCAGGGTCAACCACGGGTATACCCGGCGCTAGTACGATATAGCAAAGGATTCTGTAGGTCTTCCGTTGTTTTCATCCACTTCAAGCATTTGGATGAAATGATAATACTACTAGATCCTCAGAGATGCTCTGAAATTAGAGCAATTGTCTCATTTGACCTTACCAGAGATAGCATAGCCTTACTCGAGGCGAACGCATCGTTAGATCTGCTTGGTAGTTGGAGCACGTAATCTTCACCTTTGAGGAATTGCGTGTGACCAGTTCGCAACGAGACCTTCGTCATATTGACATGGACTATCTTAAATGTTTCGCGCACGCTTAGTTCTTTCAAGCTATCCTGGGGGCTCTACCGCTGGGAACATGTCCTGCCCGGTAGGGAGCTCTATGATACGCTCTTTCATGTAACCATCAGCTGGGAAGAAGCTTGCCCATCCTTTGGTCTTTGTCGATTGAGAGTGTTGTGGTATTTGCGGTTGCTATAAGGTATAATCATTAGATAGCGATGAAAGCCGGAGTTGATATTATAAAGGATGAGAATTTGGCGGGGTCCAGGGCGTGATCGTCAGGACTATAAAATTGTTGGTTTCGAGGTTGAAATATATGTGAATCCAATCACTATTTTTCTTCTGATATAAGGCTACGTAGAGAAACATTCCATAAAAGTCCATTCACACCCGACGGTATTTGTGAGAGAAATGTCTATAGTTTACTTCCCAGTCCAACTTCCTGATGTACCGCATCCCGTGCATCTGCAGCCGGCAGGCTAGGAACCGGAAGATTCAACTCCCTCGCAATTGCCTTCGCAGCCCAGAAGCCCGTCACGAAAGCGAGAGCCAACCCGCCCGCATATTCGAGATTACTGAATCCTCCGCCATCAACTCCTGCGACCAAAAGCCCGGGGATGGGATTACCATCAGTCGTCAGCGCGCGGCCCTTGGAGTCGATTCTAATGCCGCCGTACGTGAAAGTGATCCTATACGATCAGTCATTTATACTCCTGAATAAGGGAAGGAGTCACTTACGATGGCTGCACTTCCATGCAAAAGAAGGGTCCGTCGCCCTCCATCAACGGGACTGGAGGGTTGCCACCCGCACCGACAGGGGCATCCAACGCCACAGTCGAGTCACGTAGCCGAATGGCTTGATCATACTGTTCGATTGTCCTTCGAGCTTGCGCACCATTCACTCCCCACTGTGTGAGAATGTCGACCAGCCCGTTAATTGTTGGTGCACTACCGACACGGCAACCGTGCTCCTGGGCTTTGGCCAGACGGTCGATCTCGCCCGCGTTCGGGAAGGGCGCGGAGATGCAGTGCTGAGTCCGAGTGTGTTCGCTGAGCTGTCAGACATGTACTCCAAACTAAGTCAAGGGGGCCATACTTGAATAGAAGAAATCCTCGCCGTTTCTCCTGCTTCGCGAGGTACTGATTGATAATTTCATCTCCAGTCGTCTCATCCGCAAATCTGCGGCCACTCTCGTTGAGAAGTAGGCAATGTTTGCTTTCTACCGGATAGTTAGAACCATATTTGGCGAAGTCTTACACCACTTACGATATTGTGCCAACGGCAAATAGTCCCGTGGGTTGACCTTCTCAGCTTGCAAAGGTGCCGCGAGTAAGTGGCCATAAAAGGTACTCATCCCACGACTGCTACCTGCCCCTACTTGTGTACCCAGGGTCAACCCGTCCCCAACTGATCCATTGTTGGATCGCACAAACATATCGTCTGCGTGCTGGCCCAGGTGCATGGACAGAAGCTTGGGGTTACCTTGAAATCCTCCAGTAGCTAGGACAACCCGCTTCGCTCGAACTTCGTAGTGTGTACCATCCGCGCGACGGATTACGGCCCCTATAACGCGCGATCCAGGGACACCTGGCACCTCCTGCAGAAGCTTCACCACTGCGGTGTCGGTGAATATTTGTGAGCCGGTATTGCTATCCCTGATGCGCTGCTGATGATATGCATGGAGATGCGGAATATTGATGGGGAATCCAATGCCTGTACCTTATGTCAATTACTTTTCGCTGCAAGAAGAAGAATGGCATACCAATTGTCATAATTCCATCGAACCTCTGCGCCACTGGGACACCATTTTCCCGCATCCATTGTACGGCTGGGAGGTAATCTTGCATCCAGGCCGCTTGGAGATCGGGATCTCCCCATGGCACCCATGAGCGCAGACTCGAGTAGGACTTAGGGCCCCAACTGCACCAAAGTAATCAGTATATGTCCCCTATAACTGACAGGTGCTAACTTCAACATACAACATCCCGGCGGAGTAATTGGATGACCCGCCCACGGTGGACTGCTTCTCTACAACGAGAACCTTAGCCCCTGAGGACGCGGCGAAAGAGGCACAGGCGAGGCCTGACATGCCTCCACCACAGACTAGGGCATCAACGGTAATGGTTTGCATGTTGTGATGATTTGTCTATGAAAAAGTTGTATGCGTGGAGTGATGATGGCTGAAGACGGAGCGCCGGGTATATAACCACCCTCCGGTAGCTAAATTAAGTGGCCGGAGGACCCACCCGGGGATCTTGTGCCTGAACCAGCATGACAAGTCCAGATCATAGCGAAAGACCATTCGGTCAAGCTGATAGCATTTATGATTGTCGAATTCCAAGCACAGTCTTTCAGTCTATGCCCATGCTGAATGGAAAGTGGCGAAACCGGCCGTGGTAGGGTTGTCCGGATACCGTGATTCCCCGCATTTCTCCAGAATTTCTCGGCAATTCGGGTATTTTGTGCTGAGACGTCCTAGAGACTCCTATCCCATTATTCTCCTAATATGGCCCGAGGCGCTCGCTCAAGTCAAGCTACAAGGGCCTCTAGGCCCTCGGCTGCAGCGTGCGAAGTATGCCGTCACCTAAAGATGCGTTGTATCCGGCCCGACCCATCGCAGCCATGCGACCGCTGTCGACGCAACAATCGGCGCTGCGATATCCCCCCTCCCCGTCCTTTGGGCCGCCGGCCCGGTGCTGTTGGTCGCTATAATGGATTCGAAAAGTCCTATAGGAAAATGCAAGCGCAGCTGAAGAAAGCACCGGTGTCGGCTGATGAGGTACAGCAGGTGCTGAATACCACGGGCCAGGAGGAATTGCTCCAATTCATTGTGGCGAAGCTGCAGCATGGTAGTAACTGTGAGATGCCAGTTGCATCCACAGAGGATGCACTGAGAAGCAACCACGATGGCTTGCTAACCCCGAAGGAACCAGTTAGCAATCCGCTCGCACTGCTGGCGGACGCATCTAGTGTAGCAGAGCCATTGACTCCCTCACTAAATCGACCATCCACTACAAGTGGAGGCCAGGAGCTGCTCCAGCGCTTAGGCTGTGCGTCATTGGGACTACAGCTAAGTCGCGACACATTGGCACAAGGCCTCAATGCCCTTTATACCCCCTCTCCGCCAATCCACTGCCATTCAAGCTATTTCCGACCTCCTGATGCGGATCCACCTCGAGATGTTGGCACAGACCTGGATCCTATTGAGCTGGGGCTATTATCGCTACAGGATGCGCATACTTTGTTTTCAATGTATGCGCAATACGCCCTGGGAATTCTCTTGCTAACGGAGTACTAGCTATTTCGTCCGTTTACACCCTATCAACGGCATTCTAGACCCAGTTCTCCACACCGTCGACTATGTGCGCTCCCGCTCCGCTCTCCTTTTCACATGGATCCTGGCCATTACAGCTCAATTCGATCACCAGTCTGCATCATGCGCCAAACGCCTGCGCCTCCACGGCGAGATGCTTTCGCGCCATGTCCACACATCCGGGTACAAGTCTGTTGAAATTGTCCAAGGATACTACATTTCTCTTCTTTCCGCTACCCCTGCCTCAGCCTTGTCCGAGGAACGCTCATGGCTTTACACTTCCTACGCTGTCGCCGTCGCCACTGAACTCGGCTTAGACCAGGTTAATCCTTCTAATGTTCTCCCCTCTGAGTCGACAATGTCCCAGCGACAGGCTCGCAATAGCGAACGAACCTGGCTGCGAATCCTGCTGTGGGAACGCGCTACCAGCGCCGCTTATGGGCGCGCAACTGCCTTTCCCGAGTCGCCATTGACCCGGAATATTGACAAATGGTGGCATCATCCCCTCGCCGATCCGACGGACAAGGACACATGTGCCTTTATTCTTCTCCGTCGGTATCTGGCAGGCCTTCATCGCACCTTGCACCACCAAGCCTCTTTGTCTCACGACAACCCCCACTGGGTTCGCGATCTTGTCAACTCCACCCTCGATCCCTGGCAAATTACCTGGCTTCCTGGATGCACCACTAGAGCCATTACCCCCTCCCCCAACATATCCACGGCTTTCCTGACCTACGTTTATCTACACAACCGTCTCTGGACGCTCTCTTTCGCCCTACATACCCAGACCATTCATTCCCACGCCCTTCAGGAAGACTGCTTTATGGCCGCCGTGCAATGCTGTACCCTCGCTGTGCACGATCTCCAATCAATTGGTGAACCTCTGTATTGTCTACTCTCCCCAACCTGGGCTATGATAGCCTACGCCGCCACTCTGGCCCTCAGACTGTTCCCCGCTCTGTGTGGAACCCATCCCGGTGACGAGACCGAGTTGCTGGCACTACTAGGACAAGTAGCCCTGCAGCTGGAGAAGGCAGGGAGCACACCGTCTCATCGAACTGGGATTGCAGCCGTGCTGGGGAGGCATTTGCTTAGTATCCTGCGGGCGAAAGTTGGGACGGGGATCGGACCTGGGGTTGTTGCGGATAGCGGGCTGCACTGTTCATCTGAATCGGGGCTGGTGGGGAGCAGCTGCGATCCAGTCCTGGGGTCTGTTGCGATGGGCTTGGATGAAGGGTTTGCGGATGTGTTCCGGGAGGTGTTCGGGCCGGGGTGGGGGTTGGGCATGGAATGCGATTGGAATGTTGGACGATAGTACTTTCAGGATTGTGGCAGAAGCAATGACGACGGATCAAGAGCGACGGGACAGCGCAGATTGCGTCCTCTTAATTGAACCGTGCAGTGGCTCTATGAACACGAAATTTACGCCTGGGTCGAGCACATTTGTATAAACTTATATGTGCGCTGGTCGTCATCTGCAGTGGTGATAACTTACCTATGACTTAATTAGCCATGACTGTCACCATTTTATTGTGAGATCACTTCATTCTGGTCTCATTGTATTTATCTCTTTATTTTTCATTTCTCTTCCTTCCCAGGGAATGGCGGAAAGGGGACCTATTCAAACTCCGAACACTGACAATTTCCCCCCCTTTTTCTCCCCCTCTATTTCTTTTTCGAACTTTGTTTATTTTATTTCTTTCTCCAGTAAACCAGAAACCTTGTTGGGGAAAAGAAAACATGCAAATGATGAATTGTAATGCTGATAATATTGATACGCGGGATGATCGGCCTTCCCAGAGTGGCCAGCTCAACCGTGGATTGCAATGTTGCCGTTTCCGGTTGGTACCTGGGGGTACTTTCCTATTTCGACAACCAGAAATATTATAATTAAAAACAACACATTCTCCTCAAAGCCTCAATCTAAGTAGCTATCCCAATCAACTCAGTATATACCATCTTGACATCCATTGACCTCATAAATTACATCCTAATTCAAGCCATTTCCCCTTTGTTTCCCTTCCCCCCAACAATGACAAATAACCCATCTTACTGGATTGAGTCCGAGGACTGGCACACGGCTGGCGAGCCATTCCGCATCATTCCCCGAGTTCCATCGGGGTTCATGCCAGCAGGTAGAACTGTCTCTGACCGCCGCACTGAGATCATTCAGACCGAGAACCATCCGTTGGATAGGCTCCGCAAATTCCTCAGCCATGAACCTCGCGGACATGCTGACATGTACGGGGGCTTTATCACGCCGCCGGACGACATGGGTGCGCATTTTGGCGTGCTGTTCTGGCATACAAGCGGCTTCTCTACGGCATGTGGTCATGGTACCATCGCCCTAGGATACTGGGCTGTATCTAAAGGACTTGTCGAGGCTCCAGAGAATGGAGCTGTGGAGGTGGTGGTTGATGTTCCGTCGGGCCGTGTGTCAGCGTCTGTTACTGTGAGGCACGGCAAGCCAGTACATGCGGACTTTATCAACATCTCGAGTTATCAGATAGCGAGAGGGTTACCTGTTAAGATCCCTTCTCGTGATGAGGAGATTCGTGTTGATCTGGCTTTCGCCGGCGCTGTGATGGCCTCGGTGAATGCTGCTGAATTGGGACTCGTGGTCAAGCCAAGTAATGCGGATACATTTATCAAACTTCAGCGAGAAATAAAAGCAGCCCTTGGTAATAGGGCAAGTTATCTCGATTATGAGCTATACGCAGTCATATTTTTCGAGGAGGAAAGGAACCATCCAGATTATGGGAAGTTAATCGTCCAGAGAAGCGCTACCGTTTACGGCGATGGTCAGATCGACCGGTCTCCTTGTGGTTCTGGAACTTGTGCGAGAATTGCTACCCTATTTGGAGACGGTCAGCTTCGAAAGAACCTTAAACTTTTACATCATTCCATTATCGGGTCGGCCTTTGAGGCTCAGATAGAGTCCTTGAGGACTTGCCCTGTTCCGGGCTTTGATTCCTGTGTGGTGCGTGTCAGAGGCCAGGCGCATCTCGTTGCGCAGTCGCGATTTTTTATCAATGAGGAAGATCCTCTTTCTCCGGGATTTATCCTGCGTTAGAATTACCGGCCATGTCCTTGTTATGATTTTCCAGTGATTGCATTGAGACATTCGGCCCCCACGTTTCTGTTCTTATTAGTGTCCGCAGCTCGGGCCAAGAGTCTGATCCTGCAGGGCGGGGCTCATGCCAGCTCCTACACCCATGACAGCTGCAACGATCAATCTGGTTCGCATGCCCCGTGAGTAGTAGCTCAAATGCGCAATACGTGGTTTCCACTCAAAGAAATCTTTGGACCAAATCTTCTGAACTACTAACTCCCTCCACTGCACCAAACCATGCATTCCGTAGAGCAAGATGCACCCCTCTGCGCCAGATGTCGCACCATCGACTTCGATACAATCCTCCAGCTCGGCAAGGATGTCCGAGATGCAAGACTAGAGGGTCTGCCAATTGCATCACTGGGCAGTATAACTTCCGACCCAAACACGCCATGTCCGATGTGTGACCTCTTCGACAAGGTCAAATTCGACCTCGACGTGACAGCCCGCCAATCAACATGGGATACCAGCCAATATCATTTACGTGCATTCAGCAGCGTCATAAAGGAAGTAGGTGTCACGGCAGAGATGGCAACAGAACCTAAACGGCGAGATATTATCAAGCAAATTCGCAGAGGAAATGAGTATATGAGTGATGAGTCAAATAGTGTGGTTCTCGCGGTCTTTCCGGGGAGCGCGGATGATGTCTTCATTACAAGTGAACTCAGGGTCCCCGATATCTGCAGCCATCTAGAACAAAGCGTCGTTATGCCGGTGGAGGGGCCTGATGTTGCCAAATTACGGACACACGGGGTCCGAGTGTCACCAAAACAGATCGATTACACTCGTTTGAAGGAGTGGATGAAGAACTGCGAGAGCCACCATGGGCCTCGATGTACTTGCTCCTCTAGTCCCCCGCCCTTTGTACTAAAGGTGATCGACTGCCAGACCCGGAAGATTCTTCCTCTGCAGCCAGGTTGGGAGTATTTCGCGCTGAGCTACGTATGGGGAACACCGTCATCGGAGGACACAGCTAGCCAAATACGAAACCCTAAAACCTCTCTTCCAGACCGTGTGCACGGTACTATTGAAGATGCTATCACCGTCGTCCTCAACCTCGGAGGCAGGTATATCTGGGTCGACAAATACTGCATCGACCAGGACGACCTGCAGGGAAAGCACATTCAAATATCTCACATGGATTTGATATATTCCGGTGCATATGCTACTATAATCGCTGCTGGTTCTGATATCTCAACTTCTGGGTTACCTGGTGTTGGTGCAGTTCCGCGACAACGCCAACCACAAGCAACTTCACTGACAGCATCTGGGACAAACCTGAGACTGGTATCTACACTGCCTTCCATCCGAAGTGCCTTATCGACCAGTCCATGGATCTCCCGTGGCTGGACCTTCCAGGAAGTAATTCTCTCGCGTCGATGTCTGTTCTTCACCGACTTTCAGGTCTACTATATGTGCGGAGAGACTACACACTGCGAGTCGACCGTGCTCTTTCCTATTCATCAGTCACCTATAACTACTGCCCAAATAGCCGCAAAACCTGCCAGCAACGACTGTCTCGATTCCGCTCGGTTTACCCATCAAATACCCCAAGATCCAGCATATTATTCCATGACACCATCCCGACCATGGGCCTTCCGTACACATCTATCACACTACTCAAGTCGAATCCTCTCCTACAATACCGACGCTATTAACGCCTTCCGAGGCGTTCTCGCTCGTTCCGACCATCCAACATACTACGGTATTCCGTTCTTGTTTGGTGAAATTTCATCCTATGCTCTAGCACACGATCATAATTACCGCTTCGCCTGCGCACTAGCCTGGGAACCTATCTATCGGCCTCCTCGCATAGGTACTGGCGAGGTCAATATTGACGGTGGGCATTTGATTCGAAGAAGGGAATTCCCCAGCTGGTCCTGGGCCGGCTGGATAGGCCAGGTCTCATATCACTACTTTCTCTGGGTCAGGAGATTCCCTTGTGCAGAGGAGTATCTTATCCCACAGGAGCTGGAAGGCCATCAGCCTGTTCGCATATGGGTTTGCTTCAACCTCCATGGGCGTAATGACCATATCTCAATAGAGGAATTCTTCAAAAAACATAACAGCGCCCCTTGGAGGAACCTTATCCCTGAACTCTCGCCCCTTCTGCAGATTGAATGTACTGTTCTCCATTTTCTTAGGATTAAGATGCTGAGCCTTCGTTCCGGAACTACTCTTGTTCCTGCGTTCAGAATCATGATACAGGATGGATTTTCCCGTGCTCCGGTGCTGTTCTGTGGGCCACCTCCTTGTTCAGACGAAGATGGGGTGATAGAGGACGAATATACAGGCCTGGTGCTCTTTGAGACCAAACATAGCATTGCCCTACTCACGCCCTGGGACCATATCGGAATTTTTCTTCTCCTTGTAAAGGAAGTTGGGGGTGGAAGGAAGGGACATTATGAGCGAGTGGGTTCGGGATGGTTGGATCGGGCGGAGTTGGGGAAGTTGGGGAGTGATGACAAGGTGGCGATGAGGAGGGAGAGGGTCTTTTTATCTTGAGAGCGTTTGATATTCGTATTCTGGCTATTAGTAAACTCATCACTAGTGGACTTTGTCATCGGAAGCAATTGAAGGTGGTAATATAGACAGTAGACACAATGAGTTGACATCTACCGCCCACTACATTCAGTATTCGTCGTTTGTCCAACATCAGAATAATTTTCCGACCATTTCAAGATTACATTGCCGACACTGCTGATATAAAAGGTGATGGCTTCTCCAGAAGTATTTCGGTCCTTTCGGATTTCCTTTGCACTGAGTGTCAACACCCACCACTAGCACATCAACCCACGATTTGGTAGTTGGCATGAATGGGTGTCACCAAAGGCCGTAGCGCCGAGGCGGGGAAGCAAGTACAGAGCACAAGGCTGCGACGTGCTGTTCTTGCATGTACGATTTCGATTGGCCGCCCCTCTAGGCGTACGCGCCCGCGCGCTAGGAGGTCGATATGAGTGAGGCTGATGCCTAATAACAGCTCCCGAAAGAGGTTATATTGAAATTATGATTTCACTTACTGTGCCAGCTATTTAATGTCGGTTTATATTTCCCTCGGGAGATCATCGCACGCTCTTCGTGACTGAGGCGGATGAGAAACCTTAAATATGCCACCCAGGTTTGATACCAGCGTTTACACCGTGGGCTGGGTCTGCGCGATCAAGGATGAGGTCACTGCTTCTCGAGCCTTCCTCGATGAGGAGCATGAACAGCCTCCTAGGCGGCCGAATGACAACAATGTCTATATCGTTGGCGCAATGGGAGAACACAAAGTAGTCATTGCGTTTCCTGGAGCGGGCTCGTACGGTGCAGATGTCATTGCTCATACAGTGGCACACATGGTTCGCACATTTCAAAACATCCGATTTGGCCTGATGGTCGGCATAGGCGGGGGCGCACCTTCGGCACCTGATCCTAAGGACCCATTAAATGACATTCGATTGGGAGATGTTGTTGTTAGTATGCCAAAGGGAAACTACAGTAAGATAAATTCTTTCTTATGCTCCTCATGTACCTCTTTCTGGCTTTTTATTTCTTCCCAGCTTCTCACAGTAATTAAGGTGGGGTGTTGCAGTACGACAAAGGTCGCTGGAAGGATGATGGTTTTGAAATCAGATCACACATGAATCAACCTCCCAAGCTTCTACTGGCTGCAATGAAACTGCTGCAATCTGATCATGACATTGGCCGCGGGAAGATGACAGACTACATTGAAGACATTAGACAGAAGTCTACTGCATTACGATCATGGGGCTTTCGCTCCCCAGGCCGCAAGCTCGATCGACTATACAAGCCGGATTTCCCACATAGGGGGAAAAAGGACTGCACGGACTGCGGGTTTGAAGGATTGGAAAAGCGTCTTGATCGTGAAACTGATGAACCCGTCGTCCACTATGGTATCATCGCCTCGGCCAATGCTATGATGAGGTCTGCCGTGTACCGCGACTATCTGAGAAACGCCTGGGGTGTATGCTGTTTTGAAACAGAGGCCGCGGGCCTTATGAATGACCTTCCATGTGTGGTAATCAGAGGAATTGCCAGTTACTCCGACGGCCATAAGTATGATCATTGGCAGCGATATGCAGCAGCCACGGCAGCCGCGTACGGCAAAGATCTTCTACGAGTCATGCCACCCGAGGAGCCTGGCAGTACCGGAGTCACTTCTCGAATTGATGAATACTGTATGTCAAGTTATACGTGTTGCCAGAGACTTACCAGCTAATACCGAGCAGTATTGCGGAACCTTGGAGAAATAGAAAACCGAGTCGCCAAACTTAATGAAATGATATCCCACAATCATAACGAAATAATTCTCAGATGGCTCAATGATTTTTCCTACGATCTAGACAAAAGTTTCGTCTTCGATGAAATCCACCCAGGAACAGGCCAGTGGCTATTGGACTCGGACGAGTTCCAGTCCTGGTATCAGGCTAGAGGACAAACACTACTCTGTCTAGGCATTCCTGGCGCAGGCAAGACGGTTATGGCAGCTACCATTATTGAATATATTAATACACACCGGCACAATGAGAACCTGAATCACGCACTTGGATATGTGTTCTTCAGCTTCAACTTTCCATCACAAAAGAGAGCCAGGAACTTTGTCGCGTCAATTTTGAAACAGCTTGCCCAACAAGACCGGCAACTGATGCAGGGTTTGAAGGCTCTTTATGGTCGACATAGTGTCAGGGGCACGCAACCGTCAACACGCGAGATGATCGACGTTCTTTGTTCCATGAGCAGTGATAGGCAGGTATACGTCGTTATTGACGCGCTGGATGAGATCCAAAGTCCCCAGAAAGGACCGACGGAATTCTTATCGGAGCTGTTTCGAATGCAGGATGCTACTGGCCTAAATATACTCGCAACCTCACGCTTCGCTCCCGAAATTGAAAAGAACTTCAGGGAAAGGGACGATTGTTCCTTTCTGGAAATACGTGCCACGGATGAAGATATTCGAAGGTATATTCAGGGAAATATCACTTCCCTGCCGTCCTTTGTCACGCAGGATCAAGCGATGGCGGACAGAATATTGAAGGAAATTCCCCGGGGTGCTAGCGGAATGTAAGTACTATGGGGCAGGGGATAAGCTGTGATTTCTGACCCTCATCTGACTGAACACAAACGCAGGTTTCTTTTTGCAAGGCTGTGCCTCGATTCCTTGCGGGACCAAGTCTCACCCAAGCGCATGCACCGGGCATTAACAAAGATGTCTAACAATTCAGGGCTTCGGAGATTGGCGTACCAAGAGACCATGAAGCGTATCGAGAGCCAATCACCAAACTTGAGAACCCTGGCCATACATGCCCTTTCATGGATTGTTTGTACTAAAAGACCTCTGAGTATCTTGGAATTGCAGCATGCATTAGCGATACAAACAGGCAGTCACTCGATTGACACGGAAGACGTTGCTGATGCCACATTAATAATCTCTGTGTGCGCGGGGATCGTCTCCGTGGACATGGAGAGTGGCGTTGTCCGTCTCGCCCACCCTACCGCACAGGGTTTTTATAGCGACTTCTTGGAAGAATGGTTTCCAAATGCTCATCGAAAAATTGCCGAAGCATGCGTCACATATTTGTCCTATGACTGGGTTAATAGTCAGGACGCCACAGCCATAGTACCCCAGCATCCCTTTTACCGCTATGCGGCTCAATATTGGAACCACCATAGTCAACTTGACCCAGTGAATGACGGACTCCTACTGCCACTCCTGATGTCGAAGGAAAAGGTGGAGTTGTATACACAGTATATGCCCCGCCTGAATTGCCGCTATTATGATATGAAGCTAGATAATCCACAAGACATCACCGGCCTTCACTTGGCAGCTTACTTTGGGCTGATCGATATCGCTAAAGAGCTTGTCAAGCACGGCGGCAATCTGAATGCAAAGGACAGCTGGGGAAGAAATGTTTTTGCGTGGGCTGCAGAATTTGGACGCAAGGAATTTTTCGAGCATTTTCACGACAACGTCAGTCTTTGGCACCAAGAAGACAAGTTTGGTATGACGCCACTGCAACTGGCATCATCAAATGGCCACACACATGTTGCAAAGATTCTGGAGAACCGACATTGCGGCCCTGAGAAAGAGGAAACCTCAACTTCCGAGGCTGAATTGGTGTACGCGGCTCGGATTGGTGATGAACGTTTGGTTGAAGCGCGTTTGCGCCAAGGAGTCTCGGAAAATTGCCAGCAGGGTAGGCGTACACCTTTGCAGTTGGCAGCTATTGGCGGGCATCTGGCTGTCGGGAAAGCTTTGCTAGAAAATGGCGCCGATCCTAATTTGACTGACTGGCACGGACGGACTCCCTTGCATCATGCAGTCCTAAGTGGGAAAGAAGAGGTCGTGAAGCTACTCCTGGACTATGGTGTAGACTTGAATCTCAAAGACAGAAATGGTGACACTGCTTTGATATGCGCAGTCACTGTAGGACGTGACCCGATAGTTCGCCTCCTCTTGAACTACAAACCTCAGCTTGATTCTCAGGACAGTTATGGTAACACGGCTCTGATCGAGGCAGTTGCCTTTTGTTCCGATGAGACGTTCGGTGAACTGTTACAAAGTGGCCCCGATCTCAATATTCAGAATAGAAATGGTGTGACCGCCCTGATTCGTGCAGCCCTTGACAGACAAGTGGGAAAAGCCCGTCTCTTGTTGGCATCTGGGCTGCAGGTTAATCTTCGCGACGTTACAGGCGCCACGGCTTTGATTTATGCAGCCCAAAATGGGTGCTACGAGATTGTCGAAGCACTAGTCCAGGGTGGAGCCCATCTGGACATTCAGGACAATAGAGATCAGACGGCTCTTCTGTGGGCTATGCGAAGCGATCACGAGCCGATAACTACTTTACTTATCCTAAGTGGTGCAGACATAGAGATAACCGCAGATAAACAGGGGGATTTTCCGCTGATTTGGGCTGTTGAGAAATCTTGGAGTCATGTCATTCGTCAACTGGTACTAATGAAAGGCGCGGATGTGAACCGCCAGGATTCAGATGGGAGAACAGCCCTAATCTATTCTTCTCAGCATATCACAACCATCCATTGCGTTCGTTCGCTTCTGGGATGTGGCGCTGAGCTCAATATACAAGACAACAGAGGAACTACTGCATTAATCTATGGAGTTCTTTGGGGCCAGGAGGAGAAGGTCAATTTGCTGCTAGAAAGTGGCGCTGATTGGAATGTGCGCGATGACGAGGGACAGACGGCTTATTTTTATGCATGCCACAATAAACATGACAATATAGTACAGTCGTTACTGCGTTATCAAACAGCTGATGAGACGGGAGTCGGAAAGGAGGCATCCCAGTCTGACAATGCCACAGTCTGCGAGGACCAGGTGTTATCTGGAAGCGAATAAGCCTGTGGCTCACTGTAGGTACGACAATTGACATCAAAGGATGACAAATTATCAAGGCCGAATTAGGATTTCTAGCAATTCAATGAACCAACGTGTTTCAAGATGAACCAGTACCCGAATATGAACGAAACCAGTCGCTACTGGAATTCAATTTCTCCTACAGCTCTCCCTTTTGACCTTAACCACAGTCAACGGGTACTCATCCCCATCTGACTCCACACCCACATCTGGTCTCTTAGGAAGTATGTCCTTACTAGAATCGCCTGATAGCCCACGGAGGCCTGGTCTAGGATAGCTTGAATTCCCCTGTCCTTGAGAGGACTGCTTTCTGCTGAACACTCGCGGGAACAGAGCTCTTGCCAGTGGACGTAGAGTAGGGAGACACGCAGAGATAATGCCCGAAGAGACTTCTATCACACACCATGCGTTCGATCGGCCCAGTGTATCTGCGACTGATCAGTATATTCCTCACCACTGGCGGGGGGGAGACGGGTGAATGCACATGTCAAGTCATCAAAATCAACGTCAACAAGCGTGAGGATGCGATATATGCTCGTGAAAACCACACTATCCACATCACATGTTATTGTCAGCATACCCAACAATCATTTTAGGAAAACAAGAAGAACAAGACGAATAAACAAATGAGAAAAAGAAAGAAAATACTCACAAACCTCCCAAGGAGATCATCCCCACGGCGCCCATCCTTACCCCCCACCCTGCCTGCACTTTCCACACTCTCCCGATCAGCAGCCCCAGAATGACTACATCAGTGATAGCATTCACAACATCGTTCGCAATAAACGTATCCTTGAGGTTAATGCATCGACCGGGGTAGTGAAATTTATCCCACGCCCTAGCGACAGGAATACACTGGAAGATGGAGGCAAATATGAGGGATATGGCTCTGATGATCGTGATCACTCCCAGTATGTACACGGCTATGCGGGTGGGCCTATGGATGTGGAAGATCCGGTGGTACATTGCTAGGATGGAGGTTTTGGTGAGGATTATTGAGGTGCAGTAGAATACTTCGGCGGGGAGGAGGAGCTGCTATGGTATGAGAATGGCTTGCTTGTTAGAAGAGAGTACGGAGAGATAGGGCTTACTTTGTTGATGGTTATTAGGCTATCCATGGAAATGGTGGATTGGTGCAGGCCAAGGCCGTATTTTACCACTGTTGGATTTTAGAATATCTTCAAGATAAAGCAGAAAGTTGGAGATTATTTAGGAGTGACTTACTCTCTATATCGAGTGCGAAAATGACGAATAAGTTCAACTACGTTTTTCGTCAAATTGAACCCTGCGTATGGTGGAAGATACCATACCACCGCAGGCACGATCAGTCCATCCTCCAGGCCCAGGGGCACTTTTCCTAGATGCCTCGAGAGAAAGCGCAGTCCCACGAAGAAAACGCCCAACACTGTAATTGAAATTGAGGCATCTCGGTTGTAGTGCTGCCAGCTGCCTAAATTGGCCATGGTCGGCGGCTCATGTGAAAACCTGCATTGTAGGTTAGAAAGCTTTGGTGATAAATGTGTGGCATCTGTTCCATTATATTTGGAACATGCGCGGGGAACGCACTGATTTGGGGGCCAAAAGCTCGTGAATTGTAGGCCCTAGTCTGCCTTGTATTGTCAGAGCTGCCGCTAGATTGACGCAGGGGGCAGCGTTAATATTTAAGTCTAAATGAGCCAATGTCAGGGCTTGTGCTATCTAAGCTTGTCATTCTAAGCTTGTTAAGGTAAGACTGATGAAGGTGCAGTGATTGCGCGATTGCCGTGTATGGATAATGCGTGTGTTTTGGCCCCATGTGGCTTATGCAGTGAGATTTAAGTTGTTTAAGGGACTGCAGAACCGAAGATTGACGAGTCCACGGATATTTAGACTTGAAAGAATTTAGATCATCAATTATGCAGGGTGCGTATATCATACATCAATTTTAACATAATAAAAAACTATAATAAGGACCAGCTAAGCATTCAATGACGGTTGGTTGAAATGGATGGATGGCCCCTTAGCCGCTAACCCCGCGCCTTCTGTAGCATCCGTTTCAAGGCAAAAGGCCATACTGTTTGCCCGTCGCGGTAGCAGAGAAATAGCTTGGTCGGTTTCTCACGTAGCACTCGATGGTGGGTTTGAACAGTTCCAGGCTAGTAATATCATCATCAATAAGTATGTCACTCGATCATGAAGAGCGCGAATAATGATCTCACATACCCATTCTCAATAAGTGCCGTCCTTACAACAATCTCCTCGTCCCCGTCACTCGCAGGAATCGTGAAAATAGTGCACCCGCAGCCGCTGCAGAAACACTTGACTTTCGGACGTCCACTTAGGGTATCATTGACGATGTAGCGTTTGGCAAGCCCCTCGGCGTCATGGAGGGCGAAGTTAGGTGTAAAGTATGTTGCAGTCTGGGGCAAAAGCATGTTAGCGTTATATTCCGGGCATTATTAGCTCATCTATCTGGGAGGACAGAGAGAAAGAATCTATACGCACAATCTGACAAGGCCCTCCAGCCCCAAGAGCACAATCACCGCAATAGCAGCAGTAAACCGCGTTTGGATTGCCTTCCACGGTGAAGCCAACTCCTTTGCATAAACACCGCCCGGTATATGTCAAGTGTTTTGCGTTTTTGTCGATGGGCATAGCGTCGGACATGATGTTGTCAGAAAAGCAGTCAATGTCCCGGCCTAGTCCACATTCGACACGGAGCCAGTCTATATAAATGGATCAAGATGCCTGTTGTCGTATCCCCGCTTTTGACCATCGGCTGCAAACAGGGATTATTGTGTCTCGGTACTCCTCGGATATTCCACTGAGAGTATACTATCCGAAGTCTGGGTCGGCGATCGATCGGCGACTGGACCCTGTCGGCTCGGACCGTGAGCCGTAGATGATTCCCCATGTCTCTGGACATCCGAGGGTCCAGGATCGGATGTAGTATCGCGATCCTTGTCCATCCATAGTGTAGGTATTAATAATATAACACTTCATCCAAGGAATACGAAGTCATTTGATCACTTACTTGTCAGCAGCCTCATCCGTCCCGAAGCCAAAGCTCCCGAGAGTCCAACAGTTTCGAGATATAAACCTACTAAACAGGCCCCCCTTAGATATACCAACATATCAACAAACAACCCAAATCTCTCTTACTTCATTTCACCACATCGCCAAAATGACCGAACTAAGAATCACCAAAATCGACGTCTTTCAAGTCGACCTCCCCTACTCTCACGGCACATACCACCTCTCCGGCGGCCGGGCAATCACCCGCTTCGACGCCACCTTCGTCCGCGTCACCACCAACACCGGCCTGGAAGGCTGGGGCGAAAGCACCCCCTTCGACAACTACATTGCATCGCATGCCGGCGGAGTCAGAGCCGCCATCGCAGAGATCGCCCCCAAGCTCATCGGCCTAGACCCCCGCCGAGTCGACCGCCTCAACGATGCCATGGACGCTGCCTTACTAGGCAACGAGCCAGCCAAATCCGCCATCGATATTGCTTGCTGGGATGTCTTCGGCAAGTCTGTGGGACTTCCCGTGTGCGAGTTGCTCGGCGGACGGACAGAGACGAAGCTCCCTGTTCTGGAGTCGATTCCTGTCGCAGATCCTGAGGGGACGCGCAAGCATGTTGCTGATGCTAGGGCGTTGGGGTTTACGGGGTTTTCGGTGAAGATTGGCTCGGACCCCGTGGCTAATGCTGCACGGGTGGAAGCTGCTCTGGTGGATAAGAGACCAGGGGAGTTCTTCTTGATCGATGCTAATGGTGGTATGACTGTTGATACTGCGCTTCGGATGTTCAGGTTACTTCCTAAAGGGCTGGACTTTGTCCTGGAAGCGCCCTGTGCTACGTATAGGGAGAGCATGTCGCTTCGACGACGGATTGATGTGCCGATTATCTTTGATGAGTTGGCGAACAATGAGAGCTCGATTGTGCAGTTCGTTGCGGATGATGCTGTTGATGGGATCGGGTTGAAGATTTCCAAGACGGGTGGGTTGACGCGAGGACGCAGGGTTAGAGATATTTGTCTTGCGGCGGGGTATACCATGTCTGTTCAGGATACGAGTGGTTCGGACTTGGCGTTTGCGGCGATTGTGCATCTCGGACAGACTATTCCGGAGCAGTATTTGCGGTGTATCTTGGAGTGTAGGGCTATGTGTGTTGGGAAGACGGCGGATGGGCCGTTTGATGTGCATGAGGGGGTCCTGACGGCGCCGACTTGTCCGGGGTTGGGGGTTACGCCGAGGATGGATGTGTTGGGAGAGCCGGTTGCTAGTTATGGTTGAGGTTACTACTACTACTACTACTACTACTACTACTACTACTCCTCTTGTGGGCAGATGGTGTATGTTTCTTTCAAGTTGTTTGGTAGAAGATCTGATGTTTTGTTGCTACATGAGACTATGATATATGGTTCTTGATTGAACTTTACAGGGCAATATCGGTAGAGGGATATGCTCTGTATTCCTCTAATGTCCTTACTGCATACTACGGTGAGACACTGTCACGAAGCACATCTTCGGGTGACCTCGGCTTCCTCATCCGAGATCCGAGTGAGGCAATCTCGATCTACAGGTTCCAAAGTATAACCGGTCACCTGAATCTGAACTACCATTTCGATTTATGTGTGCAATGCGCATGGATGCCATGGAAGTTACTGAAGGCCTTAAGCCACCCTTGTTAATTAGATGCAGCACTCTGTCATATATCTGTATAATGAAAGCCCCCCTCTTCTCATCATTCTCTGGAACATCACTATATTAGGTGCGTGTCCACACACCCGACTCACGGGCGAAACATGACCAATCCACGACCAACTCGCGACGAATCCACTCTTCCACCCACATATAAATCCATTCCGGCTTCACTGCATCCACAGCCCGCAACTTCTCGCTGATCTGTCCCGTCAGGCTTGTATCCAGCACATTCGCCTGCTCAGTCTGCGACATAATCCCCTCAAAGAACTCCAGCAACTTTGCAGCTGGATTCTTGGCCAATCGTTTCTGCAGCTCTTCGTCACTCATCTTCTTGCCGGTACCACCAGTTATCTCCAGATCCTGCCGGACGCGCTGCACCCACTCGGTAAAGGGGACAGTCTCGATAGTCTTCCTGGAAACCTTAAAGATAGCTTCGGCGACTATTGGACGAATGACCTCCCAGTCTACCGGGTGCAGGTTCAGTGGGTGGTACACCTGGACACTCCTGGTTCCCACGCCTTGACCAGCCACTGCCAAGTCCACTAGGACTTCAGCGAGCAGATCAACTGGTACCCAGTCGATGCGGTTGAGGGCTGATCCGAGTGTATCAGGCAAGATACCCAGGTGAAAAGAGCTGAGAACGAGGCTCGGAAACCATTCAGTCTGGTTCCATACTCCCTTTGAGCGGACCGGGCCCGCTATCTGACCAACACGTGCGAACGAGGCGTGCACTCGGCCCTGGCGAGTCGCTTGCGCTAGTAACTGCTCTGCGAGGTACTTGCTATCTGCGTAGCCGTTGGGTCCCGGGGTCGTAGTTGTGATCACTTCTTCCGGGGTCAGGCCGGTCTTTGTGTGGTGGCCCATAGTGGAGCTAATGGATGAGAGGAAGAAGAGATGGGGTGACTGGTGTGATTGGGCAGCGAAGTTGATCAAGTTTACCACGCCGGTGAGGTTAGGCTTGAAGGACGACAGGCCGAGGTTGAAGTTGACTGCCCAGGCGTTGTGGATGATCAGAGTGGCAATGTTTCGCAGGGTTTTGAAGACATCAGGTCCCAGACCCAGGTCCGGCTGGGAGAGGTCCGCCGTCCAGAAGCTCACGCGAGACAGATCAGTTTTCATTCCGTTAGGTTTTACGCGGTGGCTTGCCTCTGCGTCAGGGTTGCGGTTGAGACAATGCACGTAGGTAACGGAAGGGGACTGTAGGAGAGTGTCGAGAAGATAGCTGCCCAAGTTACCTGTCGAGCCGGTCAAAATGACCACATGGGACTTGGGCGCTTGGAACTGGCTACTGAGTTCCTGTAGTAGTTCTTCCCGCTGCTGCATCTGGGCTTCTTTTTTCTCCTCAGCGGAAGCCTCTTCATGTTGCTGCAGGTGAAGCACTGCCTGGGTGAGTTCATTCACAGAGGGATGGAGATAAATCAGGTTTGGAGTGAGCGTTGGGAGATCAAGACCCTTCTTGAAAGCCCGAGTGACGGTGATAGCCTGCAGGGAGTCAAGGCCCAACTCGAAGAAATTCTGACTATCTGTGAGATCCCACCCAGTGACATAGTTCATTGTTCTCCTAATGTAATCGGAAAGAACTTTCGGATCATCCACCTGGCCAGGTCCAGCAGGTTCACCATCACTGGTTGTCTGTGATAGTTTGTCCGCGTCGGCATATAAGGCATCCAACTCAGATGTGTACAGTTCAAGTGAGGCAGCCCGCTGAATCGTTCCCTTCCCGGCACGAAGCATAGGTTTATCTGGCTTTGTGAACAGTATGTGTGTTTTTGCCACGCGCGCATGAGCTGGACAAACCGCATTGGCTTCTTCAACGCTCGGCCAGATCTTCTCAATCATCGCAGCGCGCTCATGTGCAGTGAGATCATTTCCGCCAATTTCAACCAGGAGAGATGCTTGGAAGCGACGTGCCCCAGCCACTAAGACTGCTGTCACTTCTGGATTGGATGCAGCGATGTGCTGTTCCATAGACACAGGGTTGGTCTTCTCGCCGTTCAGGAAGACAATCACGTCATCTGCACGAGCGGCCCAGCGCCACAAGTCCGGCTTACTAGGGTCCGGGTGCCGCACAAAAAGGTCTTTGGTGTGGTATTCCTGTTGATCTGGGAAGATTGTGAAGGAGAGCTGATGTTTTTCAGTCTTTGGGCTTCGAACAATCACGAGTTCGTAGTACTGATCGGCGACGTGACGCAGCTCAGCTCCCATCCGGGGGTTGATGTGAAGATACCGCCAATCCGTGCGAGGATCTCGGTCAGTTTTGGAATGGATGGTGCTGATCATGCCTACTTCTGAGGCTCCGTATAGATTCATGAGTTTGATCTTGGATGCCACAGCGTCCCCGATTGGCTGAGGTAGGTCTCCGCCACAGTAAACCAAGCGATCGAGGTGCTTGCTGCAGTAGTCCAGGAGCTCCGGGCTCTGGGAGAATTCTTGAATGATTGATGGAACACCCAAGAGAATATCAATCTGTGTCTTCTTTCTCGCCTCTACGAGAGAGGCAGCGGTGGGAAGACCCCCAGATGCCGGAAAGATGACGGTAGTGCCTACTGGAATGGTTAAGAACAGCGAATATGCCAGTCCCGCAGCCTACAATATCATTAGTTTCCTATGCTGTCAGCAGATATGCAGCGAAGGCTTACATGAAAAGGTGGCGGAACGAGAAATATCCGCTTGCCAAACAACCAGCTATCTTGGCTCTCGTGACCTTCCGGGGGATCCAGAACCGTTGTGTGCATATGTTTGCAAGCACTATCATGGCTCCAGAAGATCGGTTTCGGGATACCCGTGGAGCCAGACGTATGACTGGAGAGTTAGTCTTCCATCGCTGCTCGGTCAATCAGGGGCTTACATCACAGCTAGAATCTCTCCAGCAGCTTCCGGGTAAGACTTGGAGAACTCGAAATGAGCATATTCTCTGCCGATCAACTCATCGACACTAGGAACCTCCAGAACATCCAGCGTTTGTCCTTCCAGAATGGCCTTGACTGGTGGTGGATGAGGCACTGGGGTGACCAGCTTAGTGCAACTGAGGCGATTGAACAGGCTACTGTGAGCAGCCACGCTGTTCCTTGGGGAGGTGAGAAACATCTTCGAAGATTCAGCGTCAGTTTAATTCATTTCATATCACAGTTATCAATGACATACGCGATATCCCGCCTTGACAGCACCCAATACCAATGCCGGGTACCGTAGGTCATTAGGCCCCACGTAAGCCAGAGTCTCACCGTCACCAGGACCCAGCTTCTCAGTCAGCCACCAGGCAATGCCGTTGATGGCATTGGCAAATGCTTTGAATGTGATCGGGCGATAGCCATCGTCGTAGCTCATTAGAGAGACTGGATATTCGGCATAGATGGCATCGGGTTTGACCTTCGCGTAGTGGTCGACAATGTGAGGGAGCAGTTGCGTCCGAGGATCGAACTGCGAGACGTCTGGGACAGTCATGGTCAGAAGCAATTTTAGTTGGTAAGTTATTTGAAAATTATTAGAAGTGCGCAACTACTTGTGTTTATATATTGGTGTCGAGTGAAGAGTAGGCGGCTTAGCTAGGACCATGTGGCCGAGGGACCCGCACCTGCGTCAGCCCAGGCAAGCAGAACCAGCTGATGTTTGGCGGAGCATTCCGACTAGAATAAAGTGGAGCCCAAGTGGGCTCCGGATAGCCAGTGGAGCTGCGCGTAGGGAGGTCTGTGTAGGACAGATTTCCCTCTGGTATGCGGGGTGGAGATAGATAATGGCAGGACAACGGAGTGAGGATATATGGACAGACCCAGCCAAGCTGCACCCCCAATAAACTCGACAGCCTCATCGGAAAGTTTCTGCCCCATTGAGCGAAGTATTGTGTGATATGGCATTTGGGGGCCAAACTAGTCAGTCAGCACTAGCAATAAAGCCCAACGGCTGAGTGGTGATGATCCATACTTAGGCTATGCTTTAATCACACTAATCAAGCCCTAGTCGCCGGAACAGCCGCTAATGATGGCGGCCTCGCGTCGGCGGAGTTTCAAGCCGATTGCTGTGTCGTATGTAGCCTTGCGGATCTTAACGCAAATACCATTGGATCTTCCCGTCTGGACCAACATCTCTCTTACTTCTTTGGGGTTAGATTTGAACGGCAAGGTGGACAGCGTGACCCGTTCAGCTCGCTCGGGGGTGGGACTTATCCCGCGATGGGTCTGAGCCTCTTCATGTGGAATCAGTGGATTAGATTTCCTTATCCAATTACAAAGCATGAGAAGGTGACGAATATATATAGACGGTGATATACAGTTTGGGAAAATGAGGAAATGTCTCGATCAATGCACCGAGAAGTGATGCTCCACCACAATTTGCCCCGGCTTGATATCCGCACCTGAACGACTGCCCAAGGTCACCATTCGCAAAACATCTTCCTCACTTCTCGAGGCTTCCATCCATGGGAACTTCGACTCATTGTGTGTGGAAGTAAGCCCCGGTCGCAGTTGACTCGCCCTGTGGCCCGTTCCCGTATGCAGTGATTCGCCCGTCTGGCTGCGCTTCCTGAGAACGCGACGCCAGAGGAGCTTCGTTAACGGGCGATATGTTGGCAAACACGCTGCTATGAGGTAGATTCCACCCTCGATTTCAGCCCAGATAACCAGAGTCGAGGCCGCCCAGGTCACATCCCCTTGCACGTCAGTCACGTAGAATTCCCGGAATCGGATGATGGAAGAGACCATGCCCCTATTGTTCGACGGAGTTAGTACCCTCCTCTCCAGTAATACAATGGCCATAGGAAAGAAGGTGAAGGGGATGTAACTTACACACTACCCATGAGAAACGTAACCCAAATACCCAGTTTAAGGCGACTCGAGGCGTGCAGGTTCCACACCACTGGCATCGGCAGAATCAACATGACAACATCCGTCAAGATGTGCGCAAATCCTCCCCAACGCAGCCATACATTGATGTCAATGCAGCTTCCTTGCGAAGTCCAGTAATAGCTGAGCGGCCGACAAGATACGAGACCTGCGATAGTGACAACAAGCCAATTGACAACGATGACTGCTCCGGTGCCGAAGCATATCTTTCGGAGCGTTTTGTGAGTGAAAATGCTCAGGTAGAGGTGTAAGATGGCCATTTTTGGGGGTACGACGGTGGCAAAGTATAGGAGCGGAGTGGTGATGAGGAACTTGGTCGCCGTCACCAGCATCTCGGGATCAATCTGGCGGACGATTTTTTGATGCAGGCCGATGCCACCGTATATTACAGCAGCTACCGGGTAGTGTGCATTAGTTACTGTGTTCCATGTCAGGAGGAGTGGGATATCGAGGCCTACCTATTGTGCAGCTCGCATCAGCAATGCAGAGAATAAGGCCCACAACCATAAGAGCATCATCCCAGCCGAACTTCAGCCGTTCAACAAACTTGGAAGTAAAGCGCAGGACCACGCATACCACTTCCAGTACTATAAACATGATCGAAACGGTGATGATCAAGTGTTGCTTGGATTGATGAAGATGTTCTTCTGAGTACTCGTCCATGCTGGCGAACTTGCGAGACAACAACCACGCCCCAGTAGTAGTAAGGGATATTGGGGGCTGAACCTTCAGTGTATTGCGATGTTAGAAAATGATTTTGAGAGAAGTTACTCGGTCCTTGAAAGCCCCATTTAGTCGCTTCCATTCAACTTGATATATACTCCGCGACATCCGTATATTCCACGCAGACCAACAATTTCAGCCATTCAGAACAAGCGACGAGTAAATAGGGGCTGAATCATAGAGCAACTTTCCATGGGGAGCTATAAAGAGAACCCCCAGAAACCGGTGGCCAAGTGTATTCTGCGGAAGCATAGTGAGAGCGGGTCTCCTGCATCTAAGCAGTAGTAGGAGGGCTGATCCGATCGCTCTGCAGGGTCCAGGCAGCGTTTAGCACGATGGAAGAAAAGCCAAATCAGCACTTCAACAGCTTCATTCATGCCACATCTTTTCTGTGCAGCCTATACTAAGCCAATAGACTTGCGAATGGATCAACAGCTCATTCGGAGAAATCTGATCTCGATTGTCCAGCCCAGGGACTAGCGCTGGACTATTGAATTCAGTAAGTTACACGAGTAGACAGAGCGCGGTAAGCATAGTCTGTCCAGTCTGCACTTGGAAATCCTCCGGCGACTTAATGACATTACTTGTCAAGGTCCAGATTAATGGCAGGCAGACGAAGACGCGTTCAAGATGATTTATTACTGATATTCAAATTCATTTTAAAGAGACAGCAGAAATAATAATGTTATGGCAGAGAGTTTGCCAAGGATGAAGCCCTACTCCGTTAAGCGCAGCCAAGATGCTTTCTTTGTTTCCATAAGGGGGGCACCAACACTCAGGAGAGCACTCAGCACTCTCTTTGATCATGCATCGCCGAATACAGCCATGAACTACATTTTCTATATACGCTGTGACCAATATCCTAGAGCTATTCCTGTTTCTTTGGTCTCGGCAAACCCCGGCACTTGAAGGTTACTTTGGGGGCTTTCTAGTATACTTCGATGAATGCGTTAAGTTGGAATGATACCGTCATTGCCATTGCTTTAGTTCATATATAACATAGGGTACTAGCCGAAGAGCCCAGACTATGAAACAGCCATCAGTATAGTACTTTTCACATCCCTGTCTCAGACTAATAGTGTGAACCGAATATCGAATCCAGGCACATGTGCTTCTTCTCAAGCTATCGCCGTCTAACTGCCCTTTCAAAGTCAACGAGCGCATACTGCCCCATAAAGTTAACACCCTTTGGGTATCCTTACTAGCTTGGAGACTGGAGAGCTTATGGTAGTGGCACGCGCCTCTCCGCAGGCAGAAATTGTCGGCCAGCCTTGCCCGTCAGTGAGTCACTCCGGACAAACTAGCAGCAAGCAAAAACATCATTTGTCATTAGGCTGCCATCTTCAAGTGACCCTGTGATGTCAGGCGCTCTTGGCCACTTATATATATCAGCCGTTCGACATGAAACCATCGTGATTAGATACTCCTAGTTCCTTACTAGGGCTACTCAATCCACCACATACTAGTAGTACTACTTTTTGAACATGCCCACACCTCAGACTGTATCCGATCCCCGCTCTCTGCGGGGATTGTATCTCAATGAAGTCCATCAGTCTCGGGTTAACACCAACCAGGACTCCACGCCTCCTTTTCGTCAGGCAAAGCTTGCTTTATTACACCCTCTCAGCAAAGCAGATATACTCGAATCATGCCGTTGCCGAACAAACCCACCCACAGATCCTCAACTATGCCGTTACACCTGCGATAGATTTCGACACGAATTCCTCAACCTCCATCCACTAGGTAAGATGTGGAGGGAGGAGCTGATGAAGATCCCGCCCTTATCCCATCTCATATTTGATCTCACGTTACCCCCAAATGCTCCCAATGACAACAACACCGAGCCCCCAAGCCGATGGATCTACTGGGATATATCTATGCCCCAGGAATCCAGTCTTGGTATTCATGACAAAGAAGTCATGAATATTGTCAAGACGATTGCTTTAACGACGAGGATACGGACGAAGAGTGGTAATGTCTCTTTTGATGTTGTTTATGACCCGACTGATGGGGCACCTGTTAAAACTATGAAGGCTCTGCTACAGCAGCTTGGGGAACTGAGTACCGCTACCTCTCCTTCGAGTAGTTCTCCCCAGGGTGGGGATATTGAGACTCGACAGAACTGAAAGACCTCGAAGTAAATGGTCAAATACTGATCAGTGTCGGGCTTGTTTGATCCTAGATGGCATGCAGAACAGTTCAAGATAGTCAAGAAAGGAACGGGGACAGTGATTAATACCTGATACGCCAAGTCTAGTATAGTATCATATGGACTAGAGATTCACAAACCGCAGAACAAAATAATGAAATCCAGATAAAACAACACTATAGCCACTGAGATCAATAATCGGACACCCCGGACGAGGTTGGTGTGTTCGTCCCTCGTTTGCCAATGTTGAAGCCCTACTCCGTCCAACGCGGCCAAGAAGTCTTTTCTTTGTTTTCGTGAAAGAGGACCCTGCCATCGAGGGCTCTCTTACATGCAGTAGTCCACTAAATGGTTATTATAGTGCCATTCTAGTCTTTCCAAAGAGAAATCTTCGCGTATCAGGAAAGTTCCACTAGCAGGTCCTGGCACTTCAAACTACAGTGCTTGTTCTATAGTACTCTGGATGGCTAGCGTCCAGTTTCATTACTATCCTAAATCTATTAGGGCCTTCAAATGAGAAACCGGAAAGAAACTCTAAAATCTCATGAAGTAAGAATAGATCCACTGAATTTCCACTAATGCCTAGTTCTGAAACCTTGGTTCAACTCCTAAACGATACCACAGCAACTTGGCCAGCTTGTTCACCAGCATCCCAGACTATCCTGACTCCATTGCATTTTATCCATGGACCAAACATCCGGACCTGCTCTGGAAAAACCCGCCCACAACTCACACCAGGCTTTCAAGTCCGACGTCTCAACCCAAGCAACTTACGGACAGCAACATCCAAAATTGTCTCTGAACCCTGGAGACATCCACGACAGCACTCTTTCTCTCCCCCTACACTCCAAAAGATGTAGCCGTACCCAATTCAATAATCTGTTGTCTCAGCATACCCATACGATGAAGAAATACTTCATCCGTCTCGCCGTCGTTAATGTTATTCTCATCGTAAACAATATCAAAAGAAACAGCCTCACCCTTCATCCGCATTCTAGTCGTCAAAGCAATAGTTGTAGCCATCTGCATCACTTCTCTGAAAGGGATTGCAGGAGTGCTATTTCTGGACCTGTATATATCCCACTGTATCCGTGGGTTGTTGCACTCAGCAGCCTCGAGTGGATGCCTTTGTGGCAACGAAAGATCGAATATGATCCTGGAGAAAGGGGGGATTCTCATTAACTCCTGCCTCCACATCTTGGAGAGGGGTTGCAGATCGAGGTATTCGGCTTGAGTCTTAATTTTGAAGTATGGATCATGGTCCGTGACTGGTGGCGGAGTGCATGATTTGAGAATATCAGCTCTTTCGAGTGGGCGTAACAAGGCCAGTCTTGCCTCGCGCAGAGAAGGCACGGTGTTTTGATCAAGCCTTAGTTGAGATAGGTCTTCGCTGAGGCAGAATTCCTGGAGAAATTCGGGGTCGGAGACGTATTCAGTTGTGGCCATTTTCGAGGGGTTGACGAAATGTAGCCAGGGAGTACTTGAAATAAATATGTGGTGGGAAGAGTAGTACAATGGAAATGGGAAGGAGCGGCTGATATTTATGCATTGGCCGAGAACGACTGGTATCACGTAACGAAGGGCTGCAGTCACCAACAATGTCAAGTGAATTCCACTACGTGCCCTGAACGGCATTATCCTTGCTGCTGCTTTTCACTTACCGACTCCCAACCTCGAGCTTCCCAGGCAAATTAAGTAATGGTTCATTCCGATACTTGAATTTCTGTGATCACACGTGATATATTATTATGCAATGGAGCTAAGCCTTAGTTGTTCATGACCAAATGAAGCCAAGCTACAATGGATCGCACACGGCAGAACTACACGATGGAGTCCCTCAACCTGAATATTATATCTCGCAGCCAGTTTGATCTCCCACACCAAGCACTCCAGCGATACCGTTGGAGTGACGGTCATTCCCAGGGAAAAGTCGGTCTATCAGCCATCCCTGTATATTGCTCTTCTCCTCGCTATGTATCCAACACAAAGAGATATCTGGTTAATGACCACCCACCCCCAACGAGCTATACAGCCTCGCAAACTTCGACTCCTCCCTCGCCAACAACACATCCGGCTTATCAAACTCAACCAACTCGCCGCCCTCCAGCACCGCGACCCGGTCATACCAACCCACGTACCGCAGCCGATGCAGCACAGAAAGCACCGTATGGTCTTGAAACTCGGTATCCAGAACATTTTGTATGATCGCCTCAGTGTCCGGATCAACGCTACTCGTGGCCTCGTCTAAGATGAGCACCTTGAGACCAGCGGTCCCGCGTACCATCGCCCGCGCAAGACAGAGAAGCTGCCTCTGTCCCGCTGACCACGCCGTAGCCTTCATCTCGGCATCGAGTCCGCCGGCTGCGGCAATGGTCGTCCAAAGACCCAGTCGTTCCAATGCAGCGATAATTGTGGCGTCGTCTGCGGCACTGCCGAACGGGTCGATATTGAAGCGCACGGTGGTGTCCTGTCCTGCTGATCCAGGGAGGAGGAGCGGATCCTGCGTGACGATGTTTAGGCGCGGGCGGATCTGCGATGCTGCGTACGCGGTGAGATCCAGGTCGTCGATGGTTATGGTGCCGGCACGGAGGGGGATCATGCGCAAAAGAGTTAGAATGAGGCTGGTCTTGCCGCTACCTGAGGGGCCACAGATGGCAATCTTTTGGCCTGGCTGAATGCTCATGCTCAGTCCGTTAAGGACCGGGGGTTGTCCTTAGTCTGGTTTTGAGTAGTGTTAGATTGTGCAATGAGATATCATTTCTTGACAGAGAGAGGAGTAAACGTACGAATGTGAGGCTACAACTCCGCTGAGCTGAATTGCGCCGTTTGCTGGCCACGACCTTGGTAATTCCGGGCGCGAGGATGAATCCTCATCCATGTTATCCTCGGGCTCCGTTGCAGCAACGAAATCTTTGACTCTTGCAATAGCTCCAATCGATGTCTCGGTCATAGTCCAATACTTGATGAGCTCCATGAGTGACGAGCTGAATGTCATGACCATGACGAGTGCAACACCGACATCGCCCGCATTGAAGTGATCCCTCAAGAAGACGACAGTCGAAACAACAATAACCGCCATTGCGGCTACAATCAGGTCGAGCACCAGACCTAGACACTGCTGGATACACGATAGCATATAAACTGGTCTCTGGGATATATTCAGCAGCGAGAGAGCTGTCGTGTTGAATGTGACATGCCAATGAAATGCACGCACAGTTGTAGCGCCGCCAACCAGTTCTAGAAAGTGTGTGTATAGCGGCGCCTTGGCTTCAATATCGAGGAGACGCATCTGGCGTGACGTCCGGAGATAAAACTTTTGTGTCAAGTACAGGACGACTGCCAGGAATGGAATTGCGATTGCGAGGTACTTGGCGAAGACGGCAAGGATAATCACTTTCACGAGGCTGCTGCAGACGGCTTAATTTTCAATGACTATATCAGCACAAGAATGGATACGTGCACAGCAATAGTAGTACATACCAGACAGCAAGTTGATGCCTTCGATTGGGAGGGTCATGTCAATGAGATCCATGTCTTGGCTGAAACTGGAGGTGGACTACGCTTAGTATACAACCGTAAAAAAGCTCGGGGTGGTTACCGGTTGGTGATGCTGCCGACATCAACGTTGTGAAAGAACTGGAATGGGGCGCTGCAGGTAGGTAAGGTCAGCGATGCGCTATACTTTGCCAAAATAGCAGTAACTGACCGCATGGTACTCTTCAAAAGGTCATCATGAAGCCGCAGCGACGATTTTGAGACAATCCTGACGAATAGAAGCCTATTCACGTTATCCCTGAACACTTGAACACGCCCCATGGACGTACCAGCAAGCAGCAACCATGAAAACCACGCTGATGATGCTGAGGAAGACATAAACGCCGAGATACATCCCCGCCCTCTCATTAGGGTGTTGTGCATTCGCTTCCGTCCACCAGTCCAACCAAATAGCTAAAATTGTGAGTTAAATCACCAAACAAGAAGGATATTTAGAGACATACTCGAAAATTCGTGGCAGAAGCTCCAGCAGAGAGCCATGATCACAGTCATAGCGACTGTCATGCGCCCAGATACAGAAGCATAGTAGGCGTAGACAGCCATATCGCCGTTCTGCCGCGTAGCGTCGGTGGATCCAACGTGATCGGTGTCCATGTCGGCCGAGTCTCCAGCTGTGCGGTCTTCATGTTCAGTAGATATTGAACGGGACACCACTGTGTCATCGGGCTGTTTGGCGGTGACTGACACATTTGAGTTGTGTGTTGCATTGAGATTCTGAATGTAACTATTGCTGGCTTGAAGGGCGTGCAGGGTTCCGGCTCCGTTGATGTGGCCGTCGGTCAGGACCACGAGATGGTCGGCGTACTGAAGAATAGAAGCTGCGAGAAGGATCAGTCTACAAGCGTTGTAAAGGGAATTGGTCGGGGCAATCCCACTGGAATGTGTAGCAAGCACAACCGTGCTCTGCAGAGTTTGAAAGAGGCCGCCGTCGCCGAAAAGACTTCGTGTGATGATCTCAGTAGTAGCTGCATCAATCCCACTGAAGACATCATCTAGCAGCAGCACCCTGCATCGACTGTATAGTGCCCGGGCGAGTGCCTATTTCTTGTTAGTACTCATAGTAAAGAGCTTAAGAGGGGCGACGTACAATACGCTGCTTCTGGCCGCCACTCAGCGCGATACCGTTGCTACCCACTGGCGTCTGATCACGACGAGGGAGGCGAGCAAGATCACCTTCTAAGCCACAGGCACGCAGAACGGTGTCATACCATACGGTGTCAACGGGCAGTCCAGCTAGGATATTCTCGCGGATGGTCGTGCTTTGCAGCCACGGTGCCTGCGAACAGTACGCAATGGGGGAGGCATCCCGGTCCGCGCGCCCCTGTAGAACAAGCGATTCTCCAAGGATAGTCTCAAGGAACGTGGATTTTCCGCTGCCGATTGGCCCGACAATCATGGTGACGGCACCGTGCTGAATAGTCAGAGTCATGTCCCGCAGGACTGGAGGTGCGTTCTTGGTCCATCCGACGCTAAGGTTGGAAAAGGCAACCAGATCTTTGCGGGAACTTTGGGACTTGGAGATCTCCTTCAGGTCATAAGACACACCGACCTTGTCAACGGGGGTATTTTGGAGCGACTTAACTCCGTCAGCCGGCTCCTCAGAACAGCAGTACTCTTGTATCCGGTTGAAGCATCCTAGGCACTGAACGACTTCAGGCAGAGATAGGATAAATGTCAAGACGGGGTCTGTGACCAATGAAACCAAAGACAACGAGGTGAATGCCTGTGCAGCAAGAAGCGACTTGTCGTCTCGTACGAGCGCTATGATAACATAGACGACGAAGGTTGCCATCGGCGCCAAATCAGCGGGGGAGTTGGCTGTTTAGACCGACTTGTCAGCTGGAAATCACCGGGTATAAATAGCACGGAGGACGTACAAAGCGTGCTAGTTACAATCAGCAGCTTGCGGAACACAGTAGACGTGGCAATTTCTGCATGTCGCAAACTCCTGATTATCGAATACAATTTCTCCGACAGGCCTAACATCTTGACGGCCTTGATATTCTCCAGGGTATACGACGTCAGCCGCAGTCTCTCTTCAATCCGCTCAATCCAGAGACGCTGGTATTTGTTAGTGGCACCTGATACCTTGAAGGTGGCGGCTACGAAGACTGCAAGGAAACATCAGCTATTAGAGCCTTACAGTCTTGTCAACTCGCAGGGTGGGACAAACCAAGCACGATCACGGCAGGAACAAGGCACGCAACACCAACCTGCCTCTCGAGGAGGTAAATGGCAATCGCTATTTCGAGTAGAGACGCCCACAACTCATGAGTCACTCTGGACCCAGACACGATACGTTCTACATCTGTACCCATGAGTGTGATTGCCGTGCTCTCCCCGAGATCCACTGCGCGGGTGTTGACAGTTTGCCGGTGAACGAGCGCTATCAGGCCCCCTCGCAAGCGGATGGTATATCGCGCTGTCTGATAGCCATATAGGCTCGTAGACACCTATCGTCACTCATGTTAGAATCATTCCCTGGTCTAATGAACTGCAAGAAACGCACCGCCTGTCCCACATAAACCAGCGCAAAAGCCCCAATCAGTGCTCTCCCAGAGTCCATGGGGGAATTCGGATTGCCGACCCACGAGACAGCCGCATCGATCAGAAACGGCTGGCAAAAGGTAAAGCCGGTCTTCATCAGACGCGGCAGGGCAGCCGTAAGCAGGGGAGACCGATATGCAGTCAAACATGCGCGAAGCAGCGCATGGGCAGCCCTTTTATCAGCGCGCGCCCAGACTGCCTGTAGCTGGGCCCCCACGACCTCGCTGTCTAGCTTGGGGTCGAGTTCTGGTAAGTCCTGCACGGAGATGACCTTGCTGTAACCATTTCTGAATGTTCCCGTTAGCCAGGCGAATGCAGCGCGCTTCCAAAAGCCACTGAATGGTTCTGGTGTTGCAGGTTTCTCGGATGCTTTGACAAGGGCGGATTCCTTCCCTATCGACTCAAGAACTGTCGACAATAGGATCAATGTAACACTCAAAGTAAAGGGGACTGCCGCGCGGGTTGCATTTGGTATGAGCCAGAGGGTGCGAACGCGGGCAATGCCTAAGAGTGATCTCGCCGAGAGGAAGCAGACGAGCAGAGTCGATGGACGGATTGAGCGAGTGTGGTGGAGCGATGACAGCGCAATAGCACCGGTAATCGCAAGCAATTCGAGAACATCCGCCGGAATCGACATTTTATTGTGCAGATGGGAGAGTTTCAACTGTCGGACGAGCACAAAGGCGAGCTGGCTGACTAGAAGCGCAATCAGTGCTACCAGCTTGCAAGATAGCAGTACCGATCGCTTTACTCTGCGAGATCGCGATCGGAGCTGCCATAGTGCCACGGGCAGCAGCGAGATGAATATCGCAGATGGCAAGAAGGCAAGAAAGGCATCCTCGAAGTAAAAGGTGAAGTCGAAGGTGCGACAGGCGACATCGACCCTGGGGCCGAAGACAGTGTCAGCTGTTGCTGGACACGCAGACATGATGTGGTTGGAACGTGGCTACCAGGCAAGTCACTCCTCTGGTCGAGGGGTCTTGATAGTCTTGTTGGATGAGGCCGTAAGCGTTGTATCGAGCGCTAGCATGGATGTCCGGAGTCCGGAGTCTCACCGACGCTAGGCTAAAGACTGATAGTCCCTGCGTTCGTATTGATAAGCTGCATCATTAAGTCGACTCACTGTGTCTTAGCACGAATCGCAGGAGTTTGGTTTTGAACTAAATCTGATGCTCAAGTAGGCAAATGTCCAAGCTGAAAATTGCACAGTAGCATACGAAATAGAAGGCAGATAAAGGGTAATAACAAATGCACGAGTCACCCAACGTCTCATAAGAAGCCTGATATTCCTTATCATCTGCCCCAACCACTAAAGGAAGCACATTGCTCGACAGACCCACAGGAGTCCAACGGCTGAAGAGAAGCCTAACTAAATCGACCGAGTCCCGCTAATCCAAACCCTCCTGCTTACGCTCCAATGCCATCCTATTTTTTCGATAATCGGCGTCCTCCTTATCAATGAAACCCCTCTCTTCCAAGTCATCTAAAAGCTCAAGAACGTAATCCTGGCAGTTATAACCCGGTGCCTCATTGTGTATGGTCATATTCTCGGCAGCGTCTTCGATGGCAGTGGCATGGGAATTCGCCACATCACAGAGGTGCACCAATTCAAGAAGATCCGCCGACTCCCGGGCATCGGAGTTTAGCTTCTCGAAATAATATCTGGTAGATGATCCCATAATCTGAAAGACAGTCTTTTCAAGCTTTGTTGGTCCGTCGAGGAATAGGCCCCAGTGTTTATATACGCCGTCATGGTTCCGGAAGATGGCAACGTGCAGACCAGAAGTTTGAGGCATTTGAACGGGTATGTGGTTATCGGAGTACGTTGAAAAAGGAGATAGGCTATCAGAGGTATGTGGAGGCAATGTAACGGACAAGGAAGTAACTTTTAGTTTCTTCGGAATCATAGGGTCTTCGTGTGAACTTCTTAAAACATGGTGGTTTTATTCTCATCAGAGTGCTCTAAGAGCCGCATTCCATTACAGCAAGGCGCTTCGCGATGTCTTAGAGGCTGCAGTTTCGCCTAGACGAGAACATAGATTAGTTCGTGAGATTGAATAGACCCTGTTTGTAAACTGGAAAGTAGCAACACACTTTGTCTGTGCACATCGCACGGGGCGCGCTGTGCTTCATTACACTGCATCATTAGCTTATATTCTCCCGCTCTGGATTGGACAGTTTTATCAAAACACCCAGAAGGCTGTAGGCAACAGCTTCGACCGAACAGGTGCCTGATATGCTATTTGAAGGAAAGGACAAAATACTGACAGCTGCCGTTCAGATGCGGCCGTCTGGTGCTAAGCAGTGCTCCTTAGGACTTTGCTGGAAACACGGGTTATTCTCTACAGAAGCTGTCATAATATCTATCATAAATTAGCCAAGGCCATCGAAATAGAAGACTATGTGGCAATGTTATTAGTTACCACATCCATCCAACTACAACATCTTCGCTATAAGTATCTCGAGAGAATATCCTCCCACGATGCCCAATACAGAACACCCATCTAAAGACACCATAGTCTCAAAACCCCATCTGCGTCCGGAACGACCAGCAGCCGAGCATCACTTGACACAGCCATTTTCGCCATAGGGCTCCTATCAATCCTGTCCTCCGCACGTCTTGTAAACTGCTGCTTGAGATTGCTTTCGATATCATACGTCTCCACCGTACCTTCCTGGGTCCGAAACACCAGCTTCTTCCCCTTATCCACGAACTGTACGCTTTGAATCCCGGCAAAGCTCCGCATCAGGGAATCCTCAAAAGCCAGACGCCATCGCATCCGCTCTTCACCGGTCAACGGATCCCAAAGACGCACTGTGCCGCCGTCTCCTCCGCCTGCAAGCACGGTCCCGTCAGGGCTCCAAGCCAAGCTGCGTGCCCAACGGCGAAATCCGTCGAAGCGAGAGACGGACTGTCCTGTTCGAAGGTCGTAGACATGGATATATGTCCTGGGGCTTCCCTGGCTCACAGCGAGGTACTTGCTATCGGGAGAGAAGACACCGCTCCAGAGCTGGCCGTCCACAGAAACCAGTACATGGATGCAGGCTCCGGAGTTGGCGTCCCAGACTCGTGCCCTGCCATCCCATGCGATGGACGTGACTAGAGAATTGTCTGGACTCATCCCAGCCCACATTATGGCGTCTGTGTGGCCGAGCAGTCGGTGTCGGAGGGACCGGGTCTGCATGTCCCAGAGGTTGAGGCATGGGAGGAGAGCAGGGTCACGAGGTCCGTGCTGGGTTGTTTCGTTTTGGCTGAGATAGATCAATGTCTTGCCGTCTGAACTGAATGTGGGACTACCGAAGGAGGCTAGTTCGCCTCGAAGATAGTGTTTGCTTTCTTGTTCGTGTAGATGGACGGCATTTCGGAGGGCTTTTTTCATGGCTTTGTCTAGGGCCCCCATGGCTTTTTCATCACTTTTCCAGCCGTGGCTGGACACTAGGTCTGAAATAAGGGGCTGTAGAGTTCTGCTTGTGAGGGTGTCAACGTCAACTGGCTTCTCTTTCTTTTGTCGGAGTCTCCCGTGCTCGTCCAGCTCCCATAGGATGATGATCCCGAAATCACATCCCTCATGGCGGTCACTACTTCCATCACTCTCTTCGAGTTCCTCGCCTGTCGACACCAGGATGTACCGGGTGTCTTCTGAATCCACGGTATTGATGATTCCCGGAGCGAACTTCACCTGCTCCAGGGCGCCCGTGTGTCCTCTCAAAACCTCAACACGTTCCTGCGTATCCGCATCAAAGATATGGATCTCGGTGTCAATCCCCACGGCAATAATCTTGCTATCAGGGCTAAGAGCAAGCGCATTTGCCTTCCCCTCTAATTGGATCTTCGCTGCTTCCTGACCCCAGTATTTGGGATATCCAGGCGCCCAGGCGGCAGGCTCCCCAGTGGGAGAGCAGAAGTCATGCTCAAGGGCATAGACATAGTTTTGGAGAAACGTGCTTTGGTTCATGCATCTCATTTTCCTTGGCAAGAAAAGTTGATGTGAGGAGTGATGTCTGTATTTGGGGGGAGCTTTATAGTCAGTAAGAGCGAGCTAAGTGAGTGTGGTGGTCAAGAAGAGTGAAATGGGTCAGTGAGTGAATGACCACGAGGCTGTGCTGCTAGCTTTATTTAAGAGACCGCCATCGAGCCTCCCAAGCCTTGTGCTAACTAACAAGTTAGTTCGACCCCACCATGGAGTAGGATATCTCCGGGCAATGCCACATTCTGTGTCACCTTTGAGATGCTGAGATCCGGGGGCCATGACAGCCTGGCGAGTGAGTCAGTCTATAGTTGAGTTTGGGGCTGCAGGCAACAAGCAATGCCAGATCTGCAGGCGCCCCACTTGGACGATGATAGTATGCAATGACAGCCGATCAAGAGGCAGTCGGGGCACGTGCAGGAGTCAAAGGCGACAGGATGTTCGTCGGAAGAATCCTCACTATCTTGCATGGATCAGTCAACACTCCCCAACCTGAAGGCGAGTGAAGGGGACGTTTCGGTAGTAATGTGCTCAATAACTATTAACTGATATGCAATGATAGTGACATAGTTGGTGATTAATCAGCTTAGCATACTGAATCTGGAAACGATGTAAGGCATCACTCAGTAAGCAGAAAATACCCAGTAAGTTTAGAGCTATGACAATATATTGGCAGCTACTATGACCGTAGATGAAGCCCCAGTCCGATTATCTGATCGACGTACAGCTCCATAACGTATGTGGGTTGTAGATAAGATCGAGACTCCAAATATAGACTCAAAGATGTGACATGTACCATTCGCAATCAGTCATAATCACTTTTCATCCAAGTCTAGCAACCAATCCGCCGCATTATATCCAGAGTGAAGAGTGTACCCAACCGACAAAGAAAACTGGCAAAAGTAACAGCAGATGTGAAAAAGAACAAATACACCTGTGATCAAGACCAGCCCAACCACATCTAGATATATAAACAAGAACCAACCATATCAACTATTTTTACTCCTTCTTCTTCTCCGTCGCCTCTTCCTTCTTAGGCTCTTCCTCCTTCTCTTCCTTCACCTCCTCAACCTTCTTCTCCTGCCCATTATGTTGAGGATGCAAGTAATCCGACTCCGACAGACTCATCTTCCTCTTCCTCAACCTATCCTCCTCGGCAGCAACCATGTCCTTCCACAGATCACCGGTGTGCTCCTGCTCAGAATTCTTCCTCTCCTCAGCAGCCTGCTTCTCGGCCTTCATCTTATCCTGCAACAAGCCGCGACCCTTCCTTTGATCCTGGATCTCAAACGCCGCACTAGCCACCAACACAGCGAGGGTCAAGCCCTGGGCGTAAACTCTCGCCTGGACAATCTTCTGCGAGCCACTGAGGTGCTTGTTCCGGTTAACCATGGCGAAACTACCGATCATACTAGCCACCCATGTGGCACCGACGATCTTGTACTTCTCGCGACGGGCCCACTGCAGAGCGCGATCGATCGGGGAGAGCTGCGACAATTCTTCCTGGCGGAGACGCTCCTCGCGGTTCTCGTACCATTGGCGACTGGCGTTGCGTTGGGCTTCGAAGCTGCGAGAGGCGTGGTCGGCGCTGATGATACCCACGAAGGTACCGGAGGAGGTCACGAGGAAGGACTTCATGGGGAGAGTGAGGTTGCGAATTGTCTGGTAGCGCCTGGTGGCGGCGAGAACACCTGCTGCGCCGCCGACCAGACCGATGAGACCACCGATGGTACCGCCCTTGACGACCTCGCTGGAAAGTTGCTGGGTTAGTTACTTTGTTCGGAAATTGGGTGGCGGGGAGGTCGGAAGTACCGGTAGTGAGCATCTTCTTCTTCTTTAGTGAGGATCTTCATTGTGATGGTGTTATGTGAAGAATCTGTGTGTAATTGATTGCAATGGTGGTAATTAAGAGTGTATTAGGTACACGTGTGAGGTGGGCGAAGAGAGAATTCAAGAAAGGAAGAAAAAGAGTGGGAGAATGATGCTAGAAATACGTGCAAAGCCCGGGTGACGTACGATCTGGACGGTCGGGGTCTGCGGCGGAGATTCGGACCATCCGGCGTTTGCCCGGGATCCTTGATAGCCTCGCCGAATTGTAACCGTTTTTACTGCATTTGGCTACTTTGTAAGCTGCGTCTCGCGCGAGAACGCCCGACCGTTTATCTAGTGCCTTCCCATTCGCTATGGCATGATCCAATAATACACATTCCGCCCTGCGCCAGCCCCCGAAAAATCTACGAGATAAAACCTGACATACATATGAGATCGGAAAAGGAAATAGAAAAAAGAAAGGTACAGCCAGAAGAATAAAAAGTAAGAAAAATTAAAGGAGTGAAAATTCTTCATCGACGGGATCCCTTGCTCGCCGCAATCTGCCGCGCCCGCATCTTGCGGAAACGATCCTCGCCGCTCGCTCCCAGAGGTCGCGCAAACTTGCTCTCCTGTACCATCGTCGGTCGCGGCACCACCGTATAGCTCGTGTGAGTCATGTCAGCGCGCGCGCGATTCGCCAGGCGAGGAGGCAGTAGCTCACGGGCACGAGCCTCTGCAGCAGTGGCCTGTACCGATTGAGTGCGTGTCGCGCTCAGTTTACTGTTCCGGTTAGCGATACAATCGACGTGGTAGGGTCTGAGTAGGAATGAACATACGTAGGGTCAAAAGCAGCCTCCTGGTATACCCTCTTCGAGTAATCGTCGCTGCGCTGGAGGATCGGGCGCGTCCATTCAGCCAGCAGACGCTCCGCCATGCGCTTGATGCCCGGCTCCGGACGCTTGCTCCGCGTGTAGAACACAATCACCTTGCCGATGCCACTGGCAACCAGAGCCTCCTTGTTGATCGGCAGCTTGCCCAGCGCAGTCATCAGATCCCGCTGAATGTTGTACGCCGGCAGGGAACCATCGTCCAAGGGCTCCAGGAAGAACTTAACCGCTTCCAGCAGGTTGATTTCCGGGTCGACCAGACTGTTCACGTATTGGTTGCGGTTGAGCAGCGAGACTACCTCAGGGAGCATCTTCAGCTTATGCATGGCAGGCTTGCCCTCACGACGGTTGATGGCGTCCATCTGCGCAGCGTGGGTCATGCGCTTGCGCATATCTTCGATTTCAGCATCGGCCATTTGTTCCAGGTCCTGTGGGAGTCAGCCATCATCGCTTCAACCCGCGAAACAATAGAAGTAAACATACAATGCCATCAGCTTTCCTAAACCGTCTCTTGGTCGGCTTCTTCAACGCCTCGTCCATTGCGCGATCAAGCGCTCTCCGCCGTCCTAAACATAGCAATTAGCATCATACATATCATCCCCAGTAAGAGAGAAGAAAGAACATACTCGTAGCCGGATCCAACAACTCCTCATCCGCAATCTCCGCCTCCTTCTTCTTCCTCCTCCGACTAGCCTTCTCTTCATCACTCGCACCCCCATCCTCCAACTCCCTCATCCTGCGACTCTTCTTCTCGCGACGTCCCTCTCTCTTCCTCTTCGAGCGCTCTTCATCCCCACCCTCCGTACGCTTCCGCTTATGCCGTCCAATAAGCTTCAAGTTATCCTCGTCGATCGCCAGCTGCGGCCGGTCCTCGATGTCAACATTCTCGGGATCGAAGTCCTCGAACTGGGCTTCGTCGACTTCTGAAAGAATTGATTCGTCGTCGGAGATCTTGTCTTCGTCGTCATCGTCATCATTATCGCCACCATTATCTTGCGCGGCCTCTTCTTCTCCTTGTTCTTCTTGTTCTTGTTGTTGTTCTTCGGCTTCTGGCTCTACCTCCGCCTCTACCTCCTTAGCGGGCTCTTCGTCGGAAACGGCGTCGCCGCCGGGCGTCGGGGGCGCTTCCTGTTGTTGCTGCTGTTCGTCCACTTCAGCGGCGGGCTTGAGCTCGGGCTCGGGACTGCGCGGTTCGGACATGGTTGTGTTTTGTGAGAAATGCAGTTGTGGTTGGGTTGGAGTAGTGTGTTACTTTCTCCCCTGATGAGGAGTGGTCGGCTAGACCAGGTTTCGTGAAGCGTAGATGGGATAGATCGATTCTCGAGGACCTTATTCGCCCGGATTCCAGATCTCTTGGTATATGTTGGATCCTTAAGAGAATTATCCTTTACATGAAAATAAGAAGAAAGAAAGATGAGAGAGAGAGAAACAGCGAAAAGAAATGGAAGGTTTAGTAAGTAGTAGCACCGAGCAACCGCGCAAGAAGTTGAAGCAAGCAAGCCAAAGCAAGCAGATTCCGCCTCCGCGGTGGTCTGTGCGCGGCAGAATCGAACCCGTTCATTCATTAACTAGAGAGTTATTCAACCGATTCATCATTCTTGAACATACATCTCTCTATCTATTTGTCCATTCACCCTCTATCCATACACTACTATCACAATGTTCGCTCCAGGTGAGCCTCAACCTTTTCTATCCAAAAAGATTGCATTATGCTAATTGTTACTAGGCCAGGAACAGCTCTCCAAGGAGGAGATCAGAGTATTTCACCCAAACCCTCTTCATCGTCATCGTCGACACCCAACAGAACATATCATGCTGACATTCTATTTTTCTTCCCATCTAGGCCGGTGAGGTCCAGGCTAGCCAGACCATCCGCATGGCTGTCTCCGGTGGTATCCTGCTTTACCTTTGTGAGTTCTCCCCATTCCCCGGGTTTCTGTTCTACGAACTAACAAACCGTACAGCTCCCTTCGCCATCGATTTCGTCAAGAAGTTCTTGTAATCGCGTGCCGACTACTTTTTCCACTTTACAACATACAATGCATACACGGGTATAGGGTAGGATAGGAAGGAAGGGATCGCATCATGTATTATATTGTACATCTCGAGTTGCAGAAATGAATGATACTCAAATGACCAGCTGTCACGGTTACTTTTTATGCTCTATTAAACCACGTCTCGTGTGCAAGACGTGCGGATACCAGCTCCTATAAACTCCATGCTCCAAACAGCACAAGCCAAACAACCAGACAGACCCTCAATTCATGATATGATGGAATCGCAATCAAGCATCAACAGCATCAGCATCAGCATCAGTGGTTCACGGCACCCCCGGGAAGCTTCTGTGCCTCCTCAAAGTCCTTTCTCACTGCTTCGAGTTCCTTCTGCAAGTGTTGGATTTGCGTGTGGTAGTCATCCAATATCTATAGACATCATTAGCATATGTAGAGGTCATGACTGGAAGTAAGCAACTCACCTTCTTGGCCGTCTTCATCGTCTGCTCGTCCAGCTCGTCGTCCGCCTGCGCCGCCGCGCCGGGCCCGGCCCGCTCCATCTCCTGCTGTAGACGCCGAGAATGCTCCCGGATAGCCAGCATGCGCGCCCAGATCTCCTCCGCTCGTCCGTTCAGTGACGGGTCAAAGACCGACCGCTCCAGCTGACTGAGCTTTTTCTTCAGCTCCTCCTCCGCGTCATCCATGGCGTAGCCCCGATTCCGCAGCACCTGCGTCTTAGCCGCAAGCGCCAGGCACCGCTTGCTGAGGACGAGGTGTTTCCGGCGGCAGTCGGCAATTTTGACCGAAATCTTCAGATCGTGCCGAGACAGTAGATCAGACAGGCAGTTGTTGATCTCGTGCAGTCGCGTCTGCATCATGGTGAGGAAGTCCTTCTGGCGCTGCGCCCGCTTGCCCAGCTCGAAGAAGCCCTTGACGAGCACAGGCACATATCCCGAATCAGGCCGCTTCCGCAGCGCATCCTCCCATTTCGTGTCATCGTCCTCCGGACCCGGCTGGTAGAATGGTGCCATTTCTTCGCCGACATTGTTATACAAGTACGCGCGGAAGGGAGAGGCACGGCTGGATGCATCCCACTTGTCCTTCACGATCTGAATCTGCATCGGTACGGTGCGGTGGACTACAACCATTAGTACGTGTAAACTTAAAGCATATAAACCACCTTCAACATACCTCCAGTAACTGCACGACCCGGCTCCCACAGACTCGAACCGAGCTGTGCCGTTGACTGACCCATCTGAGTCTGGCCCAATTGGGGCTGCTGCTGTTGCTGCGCCGGTTGCTGTTGCTGCTGCTGCCCTCCTAGTAGAGACCCTCCAAACAGACTCGGTTGTTGCTGCTGTTGTTGAGGCTGCTGCGTCTGACCCAACCCTCCGAACAGACCACCACCTTGCTGCTGCGGTGTCTGCGACTGCTGTTGCTGACCGAACAACCCTCCTCCTCCTCCAAGGGGTTTCTGTCCAAACAAGCTCCCTCCAGTAGTCTGCTGTTGTTGCTGCTGGGGCTGTTGCGTCTGCCCCAGTCCTCCGAAAAGACCACCACCGGCTGGCTTCTGCTGGGTCGCGGTTTGGCCGAACAGGCCGCCTGATGGCTGCTGAGTCTGCGTGTTCGTGGCGCCGCCGAAAAGACCTCCCGACGGTTGCTGAGTCTGCGTCGCGCCTCCGAACAATCCGCCCGTGGTGTTCTGCTGCGTAGTGTTTGTCGTCGAGGTGTTCCCGAAGAGACCACCACCTCCGCCGAAGGGACTGGGTTTATTTGCGGTGTTGTTGGCTTGTCCAAAGAGGCCGCCGCCCGTGGACGGGGCCGCAGGTTGACCGAAAAGCGACATTGCGAGTTGTGCTTAGTTCGAAACGGCGAAAAAAGATAAGGGGCGATATTGAGGATGACACAGTAATGGAAGAAACAATTGCAATAAATAAGTTCGGTCACTCCGCAACGAAGGCGCAATAACACCCAATTGAACCTATGTCGGTAGATACCGAATTCCTATTCAATGTCAACAATGGTAATGAATAAGCCTATACAATGGTGCGACAGGCCCACAACACATAACAAGAAGGAGCGAGGGGATAAAGGGGATACCCACAGACAAACAGCAGAATTAGAAGCGCAGTGCGCGGCATCAACAACAGCCGGGCAATGCTGGCGTAAGTCCCATCGGGAAGCTTTGTTTTTCGCACGGCTACGGTCACGTGTGGAGCTCTCCTTATGCCTGAGGCAACAAAGAAGCCAGCTACACGCTGATGCCTCAACGCTTCTGCCTGACATATCAGGCCACCAGCAAATTACCTAATCCAGCCATCCCAACCAATCAGCAACGAGCAAAAACCACTCCTTCCAAACTCGCAGCTTCACCTTCCACTCGGACCCGGCGAACCATCTCCATCAATTCGATCCCCCTCTCCTCGACTTTTCCACCCCCGATCCGGTCCATTGAGTCCTACGCCCAGCCGTCACCATGGCGTCCAGAGAGCCCCAGTACGTTGATACCTTGCCAATCCCCCAATCGACCACCTCCACGGGTTACCCTTGACTACTACACCACCACATATAATACGACACATATACATACATGCATGCAACACAATTGGATTAGAACAACTCGTTTCTAACGGAAAATGATTGCTTCAGGTTTAACCAGCAGGTGCTGGTCGACACGACCCCCATGCCCGATCACATCCCCAAGGTGGAGGAGATCGGTGCTACGTCGGCGCCGCTGTACAGCGCGGCGTACTTTATCGGAGACCGCTGCAAGCCCTACAACGACGACTTCATGAAGTGCAAGGACGAGTCGAACGGGCGCGGAGAGCTGGACTGTCTGAAGGAGGGTAGAAAGGTGACGCGCTGTGCGGCTAGCGTGTATGTTGTCTCCATGCTCTATATTCAATTCACCCATTGAGTGATGAGAATCACCGGAGAAATGGATACTGATTACATTGGGATCCCTGCAGAATCAAGGACATCAACACCCACTGCCTGAAGTCGTTCACCGCTCACTGGGAGTGCCTCGAGAACAACAACCACAAGCTCTGGGAGTGCCGTGCGCAGGAGATGAAGCTGAACAGCTGTGTTTTCGAGAAGCTGGTTCGTATTACCTTCTTAATAGACATCCTGTTTCGGATCCTTGTTAGCGTCCTACAGAAATACTGATCCGGTTGTATAGGGCCTGAAGAAGGAAATCCCCGGAACCCCCGAGAACGTCGTCCCCGTGCACTTGCGCCCCAAGCAGCTCTACTCGGACTGGCCTGGTCGGCAATATTAAAATTACAAAATGAAATCTTGAGGGGAGCATATATCATTGTGTTTTTCTTAACTGAACTACTAACTTAACGTGTCTTTTGTATTCCGGTGTTTTCCTTTTGTTCTTCCGTCTCTCTGGTTGACGTCTGTTTGTGTATATATTAGCATCAGGAATGTCATTGGTTCCGCGAGTCAGTCGCTTGGATACTAGTAAGAATATTGCTCTTTGAGTTACAATAAATATAGATTCGATTGGTATCAGATGATGACGATGATGCATACACTATAATCCAGGCTCCAGATCTATGGACTGAAGTATGAAACTACCTAGAATACAAAAGTATACAACCAGAACACCGCAGAAATATGCAGACAGCTAACCACTGCAATGAGATATCAAGCTCCGCAAAGAAGTGGACAGCCTCTAAAAATGGACCTGACACAACAAAAGAAATGAAAATAAAAAGGTAGAGAAGGTATAATAAGTAAGAATAAGAAAGAAAGGAAAGGTATATATGTATATGTACCAAGAAAAGACAAAAGAAAGGGAATTATGCACCCATTGACGGTAAGGCAAAGGGCATCAGAACCTCACGATGAGGTCTTATCACCAGAAGAAGAAGATTCAGGAGACGTCGACACCACCCTCCTAACCCTCCTGAACACCATCAACAACACCAACCTCGTCTTCACCTCCGCCCAACCCACCTTCAACTTCTCCTCCAACCTGCGATCTCCTCGCAGTCTCATCCAGATAAGAAGCATACCCAGCAGTGCCAAATCAACCATGATCTGCCGTGCAGCGACCCAAACTAACCACTTCAGCCAGGCCCACAGGCCCGTTCGTCGACGATGAGCTAACGCTCGCGCTTCCAGTTGTTCTCGCACGGCGGCGATTTCCGCGGTCATGGTCGTCAAGGCCTGCTCGACTGTGCGACGCCAGCGTTTGGAGTCGTCGGGGGGTGGTCGTCTTCGACTTAGGGTATCATGGTGGTGGTGATCGTGGTCGTATTCTTCCTGGTGGGAGGGGAAGTTGTATCCTTGTTGGTGATAGTCATGCGATTCGTGACGGTCGTGATTGTTGTTGTATTCTTCTTCCTCCATGTGTCCTTCTTCGTCCTCTTCTTCTTCATCATTCTCGAATAGATTATCCTGTGCTTCCGCGTACACTTCCTCCTCTTCCTCTTCTTCTTCCTCTTCTGCCGGCTCCTCCTCCATCTGTCGTCGAAACCCTGACTCCGCCTGACTAACCGGACTTAACACCCGTAGTCTCTCACTCCCTCTTCCTCTAGCCGTATTGGCAAGTAACTGCTCATACTCCGGACGAGTCAATCTATTACTAGACTGCGGCTGTAACCTCGCGTGATCACGCATCGACACCGCTGCAGAAGCCACCGGACTACCCGGTTCCTGGGATGACGACATAGACGACGAAGACGGGTTGGATTTGATCTGATCCCAAACGAATTCCAATTCGGCGACGAGTTCCCTTGCCTCGGCTGTTTGGGAAGCGTAGTTATGCATGGTTTCGATGAGGGTGGAGATGTAGCGTCGTTTGGCTTCTGTGCGGGAGAGACCTCGTTGGGCGTGCCATGCGTCCCTACATTATTAGTACACTGACAGCATATAGAAGAGAAAGCGTGGGAGGGTAGATATACCATTTCTCACACTCCATAAACACATCCGCAGTATTCCCGACCGGTCGATCCATGACGCCTTCGACATCGCCTTCTACAAGTTCCAATTAAGTACTCGTCAGCATGACCATTACATTATCATCCAATGTCCAACACAGACAATGCCCCAATAAAGAAAGTGAAAGGAGGGGAGAAATACCCATGCTCTGCTTATACAAGCCATAGAGCTTCAATCTCTCCGACGCCGGCGGTCTAGCGGTCCCCGTGCGGGGAATGCGTTTCACCGTGTTAAGGGCATGGACGAAGACACGATCTGAACCATATCAATCAGCACATTATCTCCCTAATACACTCTGTTCCTTCCTCTCATAGCATGCTCGTAGACTATATTCCTTTCCGGGGTAAAACGCACCCACTGAATCCGACATGGTGCGAGGAACAAGGCGTCGGACGGGTTCAGCAACATGAGAGCAGACGGGGACGGAAGTGCGCGCGATGATGGGTCCGCATCAGTGTCTTGCTGTCTCTGTATATATTCGGAGATTGATGGAGAGTAGCTGTGTTGTGGTGTATTGTTTATCGGTGCGAGCAAATGAGAGAGGGTGTTGGAGTTGGAGCTTCCCCGGATTTCGGCCTAGGGAGAGAGAGTGCGCGCGCAGGACTTGTGGCAATTGATTTCGGGGTGGACGGGGGAAGAGATAATGAGAATCGGATATGGTAGGTTTCGACACCCGTGTAGAGCTGGTTGGTCGCGTGAGAATTGTTTGGGTGTGAAGAAGTGCGAGGCTGCGAGCTGAGAGATCGGTGGTGTGGTGGTGTTTGATTGCTTGATGGATGCTGGAGCGATTGAACCGCGGTTGTCGGAGTTTAGTCCCTCGCGCTGCTCAGCCAGCCCAACTTGTGATTGATCGGCTATCTATCGATCTACCAGATGCAACCCCTACCTCGCGCCGTCATGTTCATGTTTCTTACTTGCCCGGAAGCAATCTTTATCAATATTTCACAGTTGCTGTAAAAATACACAGATAATAGTAAAATCCATTATAGCATCGAACCTAGTTATATACAGACAAATCGCTAATAGCCATCATTCCTTCCCCGCTTTCTCATGCGCCGCATAAGTATTCTCCGTATCGATTGGTTTCCCCGTCATCACGCCGGGCATATCTTCGTCCGTGACAGGTGGACCAGTGAAATGCTTGCGCGCGTAGACCACATACCACCCGATACTGATCGCCGCGAAACCGGCAAACACCACACTCGCATAATTCATGCTACTCGCATCCACCGGCAGCGAGGTGGGCATGCAGAAGAGCACCACAGCCAGGCAAATCCAGCAGATGGATACGATGTTAATCGCGTATCCGAATCGTCCCAGTGAGAAGCTGGATTCCTTGACGGCTTCACGCCCGCGCAGAACGCAAATGAAAATGGGAAGGCCATACGAGATGGACAAGCAGATGGTGGCCACGCCCGTAAACGAGTTGAAGGCCGCCGAGGACCCGAAGTAGATCAGCCCTAGCAGGCAATCGACTACGGTGGAGAGGATGATGGCCCACACGGGCACATCTAACTTCGGGTTCACTTGCCTCCAGAGCCGGAAGCCGGGGATGGCTCCGTCACGAGCAAAGGCATACGTGCATCGACTGGCAGCCGTCAATGCGCCAATCCCCGCAAAGACCAGGATGCCCAGCACCAGGAACAGCAGCCCGAAGCCTCCGCCAGCGGAGCCGGTGGCTGTCTTGAAGATGAGTCCGATGGGCTGGCCGCTGGCCACAGCCAAAAGGGTCTCCACCGGGGGCAGAACAAACATGATGGGGATCAGGTAAACCAGACCCGTGATACCGGCCGCCACCACTGATAGCACAATGGCCTTGGGGACTTCCCGATGCGGGTTCTGCACTTCCTCACACATGGCAGCCACCATGCCGTAGCCAGTGAGTGTGTATGCTGCCTGCAGCAGTCCGACAAAGAACGCCCATCCAGCAGGCCTAGAAGTCATCAGCCCCATCAAGAGAAAAGGAAAAGAAGCAAAAAGAAAAAAAAATGGGGGAAACATACCACCCACTCTGCGAAGCATCATAATGGGCAAAGACAAACTCGGCATCGCGTCTCTCATCCGCCATCGTCAAAAGCGTAACGAGAATAATCACGACACTCCCGGCGGTCCAATAAATGCACACTTTATTGATCAAATCCAACCACTTGGAGAAGAAGATATTCACCAAGGCACAAGCCCCAATCACAGCCCAGAACATGAGAATGGTCTGCCAGGTATTGGCGACAAAGTCCTCATTCCAGAGGGAAATGGCGCTGAGGATCAATTGACCCCCGGAGAAGGTGATACTGAGTGTGACGGTCCAATTGCCAACGAGGGTGAGCCAGCCATCGATGAAGGACATGGCGGGGGCCCATTTCCGCGTGGAGAGCATGGCACTCCAGTAGTAGACTCCGCCGGCGGTGGGGTAGACGGCGCAGATCTCGGCCAGCGAGGCGGCAATGGCGATGGAGATGAGGGTGACGACGACCCAGCCCCAGATGACGCTGACGGATTGGCCGTCGGTGAGGGTGATGTAGAGGGTGGTGCTGAGGCCGAAGGGGGCGGCCATGATGGCGAAGGAACTGTGGGATACAGTGATTTCATGAGTATGGCCATCGCTACTGGATACAACGTGCTGGAGAATGGGAACATACAGGCCCAGAATACTCATCATACTCAAATTGCGAGGCAATTCGCTCTTGTAACCCATTCTAGCCAACGCCTCATCGGCGTTGGCATCCATGGAAGGTTGTCGCATGTTGGGCAGTCAATCAATCAGTCAAGAAGCTGTGTGTTTCTTTATAACAGAGAAAAGGAGTAAATGTGATCCACTAGAATTATCTCAGGAAGGAAGTCTTTTAATTTAGGACAGACATATCGCAATAGAAAGAGATCCAAATCCCAAAAGCGAGGGATGGGAGTAGAGTGAAGAAAACAGGAAAAAGGAGAGAGAGAGAGAAGAAAGAACACGAGCAGGATAATGAGGGGAATAAGAAGGAACGAGAGAGAAGCAGCAAAGCAGCAAAGCAGCTTAGTTCCAGTTCCTGAACTCAACTGAACTGATGCAGCAATCATCATCCCCCCCGCACTTACACTTTTAACTCTGTCACCGTCTAGTCCACAATTCCACAGTGAATCCACACCACAAGAGACAATGACAACAACTGCCACAACCCGGAGAGAGTGTGTGACTCCATCGTTGCCAATGAGAATCGTCCTCCCCGCGATAAGCTCCCCAACTAAAAGCCCTCCGGTGTCGGGCTAGTGGCCGGCGGTCCGAGACCGCGCTGATAAGCCCTAGACAACTGTCCCTGCCAGATAATAAATGGTTAACCATCATAGTTAGTTATCAGCCCGATGACTTGATCCTATCTCTTCTCTCTCTTATCAGATTTGTATAGCTTTTTTGAATCTTCAAGGAAGATATCCTGAGGCAGCACAGTATCATATAGAATCAATCCTTCTCTTCCAACCCACTTATTCAATTGTCTTTCCCGCGCGGAATCCACCATCATGAATAAAGTAATCGAATGCAGGGCTGCTCGCCACCAGTGTCCTTGGCTGGTTCTTTAATGCATCCATGCATGTTCCCCCGCATCTGCACGTCCGGAACCACTACATCCTTTTCTGCAACCCTGTACATCATCTCTCTGGGGCTCGTGACACTTACACAGACACGAGGCGACAAAGCTAGTACTAATGCTCGGGGGGATTATGATCCCGCCGGATAAGTTTTACTGACTGGGTCATGACCTCCGCGCGCGGTCTCTCTCCTCCTGTGGGGATTTCGTTGGTAGTCTCCATCACATCCGCTCGCTCCTCACGTTTGCGAACCATGGTGCTGCCCTTCCCCCCATTATGTGGTTCGTGGGGTAGGGTGGGTGGACTTGATCTGGGCCTTTCTACGAGGGACCTGCTGCCTAAATTGACTACATTGTTTTTACTGTGTACTATACTGTTGGACATTATGTGAGTTGTAATAGGAAGGAGATATGAACGATATACATATATATATATATATATATATATATATCGTACTACTAGACAATATATGGCAGCAATTCCTCGGGTCATATAGTATGATTTCTAGCTATTTCGGTTCATTCAGAACTATCCATTTCCAACGTACATCACGGGTGGTGTCTTGTCACTACTAAAAGTGACGGCTGCCACATCCATTTGCCGCCGCATGCTCACCACCATCACTCGGCATCAGGCAAGGATGAGCGCCACGGAATAAAGATAGACAATGCGGGAGAAATACGGGCAGGAGGGGGAAAGGGAACGGGGAGAACAGACACAACAGGGTCGACCGAGAGGGTGAAATCCGAACGAATAGGAAACACAGGGGAGGGCATGTAGGTGGGGGGTATCAAACAGGTAGGGGGGGTGGGTTCACTATAACAGGAAGACAAGTCCATCACCTTCGCAGGAGATATCGATTCATCTCGAAATGGGGGGCATTTTGTGTTTTGTCTTTTTTGTGAATTTCTTTTCTTTGGTGTGTGACATGTCTAGTGTACGTGCGGACCAGAAGTAGAGGGGCGAAAGTAGGCCCCAATATCTCTCCAACAAATAAATGTGTAAGGTAGGGAGAGGGTCCAGGCAGGAGATAAGAAAGAGGAAAAGGGGACGAGGGACAAGGGAAGATCGGAGGGAAGATAGGGGGACGGTGGAAGCAGGGGGAAGAGGGAAACAAATGATCGCGGGAACGGCGGCGGGTGGGCCAGCCCGGGCATCAAGACGCCTGGCGTTGGGTATGGCGGATGGCCACCTGGCCGACTCGCCCACCGCCACTTTTTGAGGGGGGCCAGCCGGTCGCTCTCCTTGAATCTGTATACTGGAACTCCTTCGCCTTCATCATCACTTCAGTCAACACCCTCGCAGAAAATGAAACAAGATCATGCATGGCCTCCAGTAGACAAGGCCTCAAGTTGAGTCGCAACCAGCCAGCTAGCTTCAACTCCGTCGTCAATGATCATCGCCCAAGTGATCACGAAAAAAAGAAACGTTCAAAAGGCACAGAAATGGCAAAGAAGCAAAACAAATCGCAAACGCCCAGTCATGCAGTCGTCAATCCAGATAAGTCGTTACATGATGATGCAGTGATGATAGCATCCCAAATACAATGAGGTCACGCACGCACGGCCCCCAGCATCACGGGCTCAGAACGTTGCAGAGGTCGTCCGTTCCATCCATGCCGAAGCCGGCCATGTCGACGGAGTGCAGAGATCCGGGGCCACCACGGCCCAGAGAGATATCGGAGGAAGCATAGTCATGCTTGAGTCGTTCATGAGGTCCAAAGAATGGCCGAGTCTCTTCGTTGGGGGTGTTACCATCACCCGCTGCCCAGGGCCCATGCTGCCAGAACCTCGTGTTGGCCTGTTGGTCCCCAAAGAGGTCATGATGGTCGTGGTGGGTCTCAGGTCCGTGGTTGGTAAAGTCATTGGGGGACTGGAACCGCAGATGCGACCGGCTGAAACTTGAGCAG